CGCACACGGGAAAGGGGGGGCAACCGCCGGCCCTGCTTGACCTTAGTCAAGTTGGGTGTCTCCGACTCTGGCATGGGCGCAGCAACCTGAGGCAGTACATGGACAATCCTGTCCCGCACGTGTCTCTGCACCCGGCCCGAGGCCGAGTCCCGGTGCCGAGGTGCCGGAGGTTCAAGGGAACCCACCTGGCACTGGGCTAGGTATCCACTAGTGAAAGCCTCGGCCTCGGAAGAGGCGTCTGGCTCCGCTAGGGTAAATTGTGCGTCGGTAGTGCACAGGCCGGTGCCCGCCACCACTACGCTGGGGAGCGACCTCGAGCCGGAGCCGAAGCTCGGTCTCGGATCGTCCCCGAGACAAAGGGAACCAACCTGGCTCCGGGCTAGGTATCCACTAGTGGACGCCTCGGCCTCGGAAGAGGCGTCTGGCTCCGCTAGGGAAAATTGTGCGTCGGTAGTGCACGGGCCGGTGCCCGCCACCACTACGCTGGGGAGCGACCTCGAGCCGGAGCCGAAGCTCGGTCTCGGATCGTCCCCGAGACAAAGGGAACCAACCTGGCTCCGGGCTAGGTATCCACTAGTGGACGCCTCGGCCTCGGAAGAGGCGTCTGGCTCCGCTAGGGAAAATTGTGCGTCGGTAGTGCACGGGCCGGTGCCCGCCACCACTACGCTGGGGAGCGACCTCGAGCCGGAGCCGAAGCTCGGTCTCGGATCGTCCCCGAGACAAAGGGAACCAACCTGGCTCCGGGCTAGGTATCCACTAGTGGACGCCTCGGCCTCGGAAGAGGCGTCTGGCTCCGCTAGGGAAAATTGTGCGTCGGTAGTGCACGGGCCGGTGCCCGCCACCACTACGCTGGGGAGCGACCTCGAGCCGGAGCCGAAGCTCGGTCTCGGATCGTCCCCGAGACCAAGGGAACCCCCCTGGCTCCGGGCTACGAATCCACTAGTGAAAGCCTCGGCCTCGGAAGAGGCGTCTGGCTCCGCTAGGGAAAAATTGTGCGTCGGTAGTGCACGGGCCGGCGCCCGCCACCCCTCCGCTGGGGAGCGACCTCGAGCCAGCGCCGAAGCCCGGTCTGAGATCGTCCCCGAGACCAAGTTGCCTGCCTCGGCCGACGCCGGGCATATCACAAGGTCTCGAAGCCGCGTCTGGCGCCGACAACGGGGAAGGCTCGGTCCGCATCTCCTCTCGGAGCTGAGACTTTACCTCCTCCATCATCGACGCCATCTGCGACTTAAGTAACGCAGAAAAGTCTGCCAAAGACAGTGCAGGAGAGGGTGCAGTGCTTACTACGGGGACCCTCGAGCCTTCTCCCCCGGCCCCCGGAGAGGGAGCGGGGGAGACAATCTCGGCAGCTTTTTTACCCTTTTTAGATGGGGAGGGGGGGATGTCTTAGTAGATCTGATATCTACCCCCGCCTTTAATAGACCTCTTTAAAGTGGAACAAGTCAACTTGTCTCTTTTGGGGGCCCCGGGGGGTAAAGGCAATGTCCTCCGCCAGACATATTCGGCAGCGTTCGTGCCTGTCTTAGAACAACCCGTACACAGTTTGAAGGTCTTGTAAACAAGACCGTAATTTCTGAGGTGGGCGGGAAGGGTATCAACGTGTATCAGTGCGATATAAAGATCGGAAAGAAACGTGCATAAATTGTGAAACTAGAAGCAAAGGCGTAATGTAGAATGCGATTTGTAACGCGATACTAATAGCCAATGTGTAGTATAATTATAACACCAAAGGGGCGTGTTACGCGCTAAGGTGTAAAAACCCGTAAAAAAGGTAAGTGTAGTTTATGAATTAACACACCACCTTGGGTTTTGTAAAGGAAAAAATTGTAGACCAATGCTGTATGATATAACAAAACCCCAAGCCGTTTCTTAATGGCCTTGGTGTTACATGTATCAGCCCGTGGAACTACAATATGGACGCCATTACGGCCATTTGAATTCAAAGGTACCGTGCACGTGGCGTATTATTACAACTCTATAACTTCACAATGCGAGGTATTACGCCTTTGCAAAGAAAGAAATGTACCATACATACAGTTTGGTCAGCCATGGTTCTTGTCGAACGATAGATTTCTCTTATTTTTGTCTTGTGTGAAAAATCAACACGTCTGTCTCTTACAGATGACATAAGGAAAGTGATTTGGGTGAGAGTTGCTCCCCCTGGCGTGAGGCGCCGTTGGGGGTGAGGCCCCGTAAGGGTGGTCGTATATCATATAAAAACGAAGTTTTTTGTGTGGTAACATTTTTTATTAAGGAAAATGGTTACAACTATGTCATATAGATTTTCTTGAGCAAGGAAAATGCAATAAGTGCCCCAAGGAGGATTTCATCAGAAAGAGAATATCTCTCCGGAATCATAGCGCTTTAAACGACGGGATTATGGATAACGTCTCAGTGGGCAAGTTGAATCAGACCAACTGTCTATTGGTTGAAATGATTCCACCCAGGAAGTAGAACGATAGTCACGATCCCGAAGACCGACGGGAGAGTAGCGAAAGGAGCGGCGACAGTTGTTTCACCATGCTTCTCCGTGTGACGAGTTATGAGACGGCAGCAAGAACAGAGGGCAGTGGCGCCGGGGAGGCGATTGCCGATGGTGCCCCTTAAGCCGCAGTAGAAGATCGGATGGTCGGCTCGTTGATCTGAGCTTGATAAAGCTTGTTGATCTGAAGCTTGTTGAGCGCCGAAGACATCAGAGGATGCGGAGGCGCCGGAGCGCGGAGACATCAGAGGCGCCGAGACATAAGCGGCGCCGAGTTATCAGCTTGTCATGAACAAGTCATGAAGCTTGTTGAGCGCCGAGACATCAGCGGCGCCGAGTCATCAGAGGCGCCGAGTCATCGGAAGCGCCGAAGCGCCGAAGCGCGGGGAGCGCCGGGAGCGCCGGGAGCGCCGTGTCATCAGAGGCGCCGGAGGCGCCGCGTCATCAGAGGCGCCGGGAGCGCCGAGACATCGGAGGCGCCGAGTCATCAGAGGCGCCGAGTCATCAGAAGCGCCGGAGGCGCCGCGTCATCAGAGGCGCCGGGAGCGCCGAGACATCGGAGGCGCCGGAGGCGCCGAGTCATCAGAAGCGCCGGAGGCGCCGTGTCATCAGAGGCGCCGGGAGCGCCGAGACATCGGAGGCGCCGGAGGCGCCGAGTCATCAGAAGCGCCGGAGGCGCCGTGTCATCAGAGGCGCCGGGAGCGCCGAGACATCGGAGGCGCCGGAGGCGCCGAGTCATCAGAAGCGCCGGAGGCGCCGTGTCATCAGAGGCGCCGGGAGCGCCGAGACATCGGAGGCGCCGGAGGCGCCGAGTCATCAGAAGCGCCGGAGGCGCCGTGTCATCAGAGCGGGGAGCGCCGGAGGCGCCGTGTCATCAGAGGCGCCGGGAGCGCCGAGACATCGGAGGCGCCGAGTCATCAGAAGCGCCGGAGGCGCCGTGTCATCAGAGGCGCCGGAGGCGCCGCGTCGTCAGAGGCGCCGGGAGCGCCGGAGGCGCCGTGTCATCAGAGGCGCCGGAGGCGCCGCGTCATCAGAGGTGCCGAGTCATCGGAGGCGCCGGGGGCGCCGGAGACATCAGCGTTGACGGTGTTGGAGACCGTGAACGGTCGTATGTCGTGCCATGGGAGGCAGACTCTACGTTGGGAGCGCTGGAGCCGCCGGTGGAGTAGGAGACCGTGAACGGTCGTATGTCGTGCCATGGGAGGCAGACTCTACGTTGGGAGCCGCCGTGAAGCTCCGCTGAGCGCTGCTGCCGTCAACGTAGGTGGGGGTCGACGAGCACGTTGAGCGAGGTGTGTCCTGGATACTCGCATGAGCTGAAGGATCACAGCGACGAATGACTGCAACATCGGCACTGCCTTGTGAAAGTACAGGGCGTCGTACAATCACGGCAGAAAGGGGCGGCCCCGACCAGATTTGTTCCCGCGGAAACAAGTGCAGCGAGGCAGAAAATCTGGAATTTAAGCAAAACATAACTATGTGGCAAAGCCACAAAGTGCGGGAAGCATAATGTGTGGCCAATCACAAAGTATGGGAAGCATAAAGTAACTCAAAAACAGTATATTTTATTAAGGTTTATGAGATAAACAAGTACGCTAAAAGGGAGCGAAAAGGCAAAGCCTTAAGCAAACACGTAACCATGTGGCAAAACCACAGAGTACGGGAGACATAATGTAACTCAAAAACTTCGTATTATATTGAAGTTTATGAGAAGAAACAATTACGCTGAGAGGTAGCGAAAAGGCAAGGCTTTAAGCACACCAAAACAACATACATAAATGTAATGTATTACCCAAGCCAAAGAGAGAATTCAAAACGCAGAACACGACATTACGTGGCCACGTGGTGAATGACCAAAATGGCGGGAAAGAAAACAAAATGGCGGGAACAACATTGCGCCCGTAAATTACTGTGACGTGAGCCACAGACGAGCGATAAACGTTACAATTTACGAATGGGAAGACCCTAAGGTCACGGCCCATAACAGGTAACAATGTAGCAGCATATAATGAATGTAGAAACACGCAAAATATAAAAAACAAATAATAAGCTTTAATTTCCACAAGGGATACAAAGTACGTCCGTCCGTGGAGGTGACAAAGCAGTTATGTCTTTTGGTGTGACGTCATGACTTCCGGGTCACGTGCCGACTGTGAGAGGGCGCTGCCTCCTGGGCTGGTTGGGACAACTTTCTTCAGCAGCTGGATCTCACACAGTTCGTCTCTCTGTCAAACATAGCAGTAAATGCAATACGGAGTAATGCAGGATAAGTTAAAAAATATACAAATTTACTACCAGCCAGTCTGCCTCTCCCAACCTTATTCTGCAGTGTCAGTGTCAGTACTTGTACACTACATACAGTAGTGCCCTGCCCTGCCCTGCCTGCTACTGTTAGAGTTGAGGAGGGACTGCACATTCTCTCCCCCACACACACACCATCATATCAACCCCTCCCATACCATCATACAACCACCTCTCATACCATCATACCAACCACCTCCCATACCATCATACCAACCTTATTCTGCAGTGTCAACACTTGCTGTGCCCTGCCCCGCCAACCACTGTTAGAGTTGAGGAGGGACTGCACATTGACATTCTCCCCCACCTCCTGCTGCAGCACCTGGAACAAACACACAGAGTCTTCATCCCTTCTGTGGCTACCTATCACAACAACAGGCCATTTATATTGTGCATACTTCCATACCACAGAATAGCACACTCAAAGCACTATTATTACTCCAGTCACTGGATCAGTGTGCACTCAACAACCATTCTCAGTTCCCCTGGGAGCAGTCAACCAACGCTGCCTGTTAGATGCTAGAAGGTTAACAGTCACATCACTATCACATTATACCGGAAACCCATTCACTGCTGGGTGAAAAGAGGCACGTTTCGAACAAAGTCACTTGCCCCATGAGATACCACAGTGTGGGCAGGACCGAAGCCCTAGACACTCTCAGGAGCCAAACTGCTGGAACCCGGTCACCCTAATAAGGACTCTCCGCGATCAATGTTACCTAACTTCATCTGATTTGTGACATATGCGCTGTGCACAGGACCATGTACCACCACCATATTTAACAACCAATGTATCAAATGAATCAGCTGGTCTTCCTTGACTACACCACCATGTAAACAGCCCTTGGGGTCCAGCTTCCTATCTATCTGCATAGCAAGTTTATCTGGTCTACACCATAAGGTAGATATTTCCTGCAAGATACTATCATCGTTAATCATCAACTGTATTAAATCTCTATATTATAACCATGAACACCCACCATACCTTTGTTTCAGGAGCAACATCCACGTTTCCAACCCTTTGTCACTAAGCACAGATTTTCTCTCACTCATGAGGCTTTTTATTGACCTCTCTTGTTATCATAATTGGCTCAAAATGAAGCTGTGGTATCAATGGTCCAGGGTGTTATTGTAAAAGAAAGGAGATTGCATACACAGGATAATCAAGGATGGATATGTTGTGCAAGGCAGGTGTTTCAGTAGGTTAACGTAGTAGCCTGCTTCTACTTCCCACAGGTTCCCACCTTGTGTTGTATCTTGAGCTCCTGTTTAAGGGCCTGGCACTGGTTACGGTAGTCGGCTAGTTTGCTCTCAGTTTGTTTCAGCTTGTCTTGCAGCCCCTTCACATCCACTCCCTCATCAGTCTGGAACCACACAGTTGAATATTCAGCAAGTATTCAGCAAGTATTCACCAAATATTCAGCAAGTATTCACCAAACATTCACCGACTGTTCACACTGAACATCACTAGCACATCACAAGGAAGAATTACTCACAAATTACCTTGGATATTTGTGAAAAACTGATAAACATAATACAAATGATCTGTCAATAATTACAATTATCATCAATTTGTTACCATCATCAATACCATGATATAATCATTCCTTCCCACAGAAGTAATATCTGGTTAAGTTGAAAATTATTATGTGACATAATATGTCAAACCTTCCCCAGATGCTGAAGGAAATGTTACCAAGAGCGTCAGTGAGATGATTTATACATAGTTTTGTGATTTGTAACTCTAGAAAAATAACGCCACTTCTCCAAAATGTTGGTCAACATTTACCATGAACACATCATGCAACATTCAGTACATGCAAATTAATTACAATAACTACAATAATTACAATAATAATCTGAAAATACCAAAGTGCTGTATAATACAGTCAACTACTGCTGTGACTAATTGGACATCGTAGTTGGTGCATCCCTCACAAGTATCAAACAAGATAACAACTAACGTGGCTATATCGCCCACCCCTGTTGCAGAATTTATGACATAATTAAATCTAAACAAACCCTAACCTTTTTTAACCGAGGTGGAACTTGTCATGGAAATTGTAAAAAAAAGAAGAGTTTGGAACCTAAGTCCATCTTGTTGCCATGGAAACGTAAAAAATAAAAATTTCTAAAATTTCTAAATAACAAAAGGCACCAGTTCAGCATGTACCTGACAAACCTGCAAAGTTTCATGAAAACATATTGAACGGTTTATGAGTTATGCTCCGGAAACAAACTCTACCCCCACAGAACCTTAGTCCATCTTGTTGCCATGGAAACGTAAAAAATAAAAATTTCTAAAATTGAGTGTATATGTGACATGCCTTCTCCTCTAGAAACTGGGACTGCAGGCTGATCATGGAGCCCATCACTGAGTGGGTGTCGGTCTGCATGCTGTTGAGCTGGGTAACCTGTGTAGTGCAGTAACACTGTGAGCTATGACATACGCCACATCAAAACAATAAATAGTGAATGAAATGAGTTTGCCAGGTACAAATGACATTAGGATATTTTCATCATTTTATCACATTCTTCTGCATCATTACGAGATTCGAAAAACATCATCAGGACATTTTATATTCCATCAGTCAATGCCCTAGAAAATGAATCGATCTCAATTAAGCATGCCCCAGTCAGCATATTCCAGCTATAATCCAGCTATATGACTGAAAAGAAGTTAAAGAACGTCCATTTTTTTCATATGACTTTGGTTAATCTGTCATGTCGTGTTCCTTAATTTCTTTTAAGTAGTATATATAACAGAGACCTGTAAATAACCAAATCTGGGCAAGGTAAACCAGTGGTGGATATTGTGAGCAATGATCCATGATGTCAGGATATAATGACAATCAGAGAGGTCATATTTTATGACCATTTGATCATCATTTGGCTCATATGACAAGCATGGATTACAGGAGACCTATTTAGACCTTGAAGATCTGTAGTGTGTTTAAAACAGCACAGTAAATAGATCCCCAAACATTAGTACATTTAGAGAACAATTTTCTTTGTTATCACACATTTCTAAATTTATTAACAAGATACAATATAGATAAATAGAGCAATGTTTTATTTAACAAGTGATGTATCAATCACATTCACAGTGCACACACTAATTGTCTGTAACTACTAAACATGCTGCATGCATTAATGCCCGACAAACTCAATGCAAGGATGCAGACCTGTCTCTGAGCATCCTGACACTTCTTCTGCAGCTGTTTACATCTCGTCCTCTCACTCTCCAGTTCTGCTGTCAACTCTCTCACTTTCTTGGATAGTTCAACGATCTTTATGGCAGCCGTTTCATTTGTCACACCTTCAAATGAAGTGTCCAATATTTAGCCATCAAGCCAATGCAGACGCAATCAAAGTTGCTGTAGTCAGCCTGATATAATTACTGACACCAGTCTGTATTAACAACTCGTCTCACTCACAGTCCAGTCAGTCTCACACATCTAGATGATAATCCAGTCTTTACAAACAAGACCTACAGAAAATAAGGCTCAACAAAAAGACTTGTGAGTAGACTCAAAAGCATTTTTCATAAAGACTGTTGTATCTCTTTTCTACAGGGGAAGCGGAGTAAACAAAATAATCTCTTCTTTGATAGGCATTTAGAAGTTGGAGTACTAAGTAAGGATAAGAATTTATGGATGAACAACTTCTTTATTAAAATTAAGAGCGACGTTTCGGTGTAGGTTCTAACACCGTTATCAAGCAAGTGTTTATGCAGTAGAGTAGATATTGTTATACTGGAATAGAGAAGCCTGTTATGTACACACAAGGGTAGTGATGACGATCATTGGTGAAGTCAGTAGTAACAATATCTACTCTACTGTATAAACAGTAACCACAACCACACTCTGTATATCACTTACTTGATAACGGTGTTAGAACCTACACCGAAACGTCACTCTTAATTGTAATAAAGAAGTTGTTCATCCATAAATTCTTATCCTTACAAAATAATCTCTATTCAAATGAAATACAAATCTTGACAAGTGAAGTATGTTGTACATATTAGTTATTTGATGTGACACCAACCTGCCACTGCTGAGTTTTCTTCTACTTTCTTTTTCTTTAGATTTCTGATTTCAAAATCTCTCTCACTTAGCAGCTTGTAGAGGCGTCCATTTTCATCCTTGAGTTCCTGTTAAACATAGCATCATCATGATACTGGTAAAAGAGTTTCTCACACATCTGTTCCATTTCACTAAGTATTCAACAAGGAGTGAGTGAGTGAGTGAGTTGAGTTTAACGCCGCTTTGAACAGTATTCCAGTTATATCATGGCATGTCAGTTTCATTTGGGAGGAAAGCCCGAAGTGATGCAGGTCTCAGACATTTACCTCTTTGGTGAAACCCACGAGCAAAGGTATGATGCTGATAAACCCAGAAATATAATCAGGGCGAACCAGATTCATACCCACAATCAAAGGTGTCTGGAACGCCCAAGGGATGCAACAGTGCAGCAAATTGCGGCCCCTTATGCCCCCATTTCACTACGACCATGAATATCCCTAATCACCCGGAATAGGAACTTTTTCATGTTTGTTCTTAAATGAATCTTATTTGATTCCCAAACATTCGTACAGTTCGCAGGAGTTTGTCAAATCGGCGAGAAAGTTTTTGTTTGTCAAAATCTTTTGTGGAAGGGCTGTAATGTAATCCATCCGTAATTAATTCTTATGTTCCCTAACAGCTTCGTAATCGATTCTTTTGCATTCTTGGCTATTCTTTGCGATTCGTGGCTCCCAAAATGTCTTAACCTCAAGCCGAAAACATCCCGAAACAGCCACGAATGTCCTGAGTCAACTATGAATCATGTAAGAATTAAGTAAGAACAACATTCGGCATATTGGTAACTTAGTCGTAGGTGATTCTTACAATTGGTGCATGACCCGTACATGAATCTTGTAATTCGTACATGTTTCTTAACATGTTCCTGGCATTCTTCATATTTTTCAACCCGATTAGCCACGAAAATTTGCATCATTGGCCGAATCATCACAAATTTCGAAAGCTTCCAATTCGGGGTGAATCGGGATATTCGTGGTTGTAGTGAAAGGGGGGGCATTAGATGACTGGGCCACATGTGACCCCAGATCAAGCAAAGATGATTACTTTAAGTCTAATGATAGTGAACAAAATGTCACAATGACATTCAACAGATTAAATTCACAAAGAAAGACAATTTTCTTTGCTGTGGTGCAAATACTAATGTTTACTTATACAACAAACTAAACGTTAACAATATTTTATAATAACTTTCATCATAAATCATTCAAATATAATTAGTTACCCGTAACTGGTCATTGAGGTGATCAACCAGCTCTTCCGACAGAAACCCACTGGTAGCTGGAGGGTCAGCAAGCTACAGACACATGACAAACTTATCAGCTGGTAACATATGAATTATTTACACAATCAAATTCAATCTTATTCTTCGGAACTCAGTAACTTTTACATGGATAGAAACCTAATAACAAGGACAACGTTTTCACAATTTACTATGCATGTTTAACATTTGCATTGACTGTACACAGTATGATCAGGGGGTGACTTAACATTTGCAGAAATAGCAGAGGAAAAATATATAGTCAGTGGTCCAGTAGAGCCGTTAATAGACTATGCTTACACATACTTGAGTGTAGAAGGTAAGTGATATGCTATCTTAGTAACTAATATTCACAATATTGAAAAATCTGAAATTCCACATGTTAACAAAAAGTGACAATTTTTGGGAGCACCAGTTCTTTTCAACAAAAGCTAGACTTACTGGCCAAAACATAGTCGATTTCTGAAACCATTCTTTGACGTCTAGGTGCATAAGGTGTATGTTAAAAAAGCTTGAATATCAAATGACACCGAGCAAACTGACTGGCAACAGGCAAGTTGAACTTGTTGAATACCAACAAGTTCCTGATTCCGCAAAACAAAGATCTTAGGACATTCCATTCTGGATCACGTCAGAGTGACCTTTCAATTGACCAATCACAGCGTCGCTTACCAGATCGGGGAAGTGACAGTCGGATTGTGTTTTCTGATCATACAACCTTGAAAAGGTTAACACAGTGGCATCTGTGTATAACAGTTACAGGGTGTACAACTGAATCCGTCAAAATCCTCATCTACCTTTCACTTCAATTGGATAAACATTTGAAACGAAAGAAACTTTCCATAGCCCATGGGAAGAACTGCCATACAATCTCGGCCATTTATTAGACATTCTAGAATTTTCTTTTGCTAGGTTTTCAAATATTGAATCAACATTTTTTAAAGTGTAGTCTGGAATGGAAGTTGCCAGTGTCGTAAAGCTCAAGAAAGATGCTTTCTCATTGGCTGATGTCAACTCCTTGTTAGTCATTTCATTGGTTGGCCAAATTCGCAAAAGGTCGTTCAAATGTGACCTGTATTGGGATGCCCTCAGATCTTGTGTACGACACAAGAGGAATTCCCTACAGGTCTAGTGCCTGTTCATGCTGCAGAGAGTCCTTACTTTCAGATTCAGTTCATCAGTAACACCAAATGTACTTCTGGCAGTTCCCGGTTTCTCCTTCTCTGTTTCTTTCTTCTGTTTCCGTCGCATCAACTTCTGTCTCTGCTGTTCCTGGAGCCGCTCAAATTGCTCCTTCAGTGAGGGGTCCTCCATCTCAATCATTGTCTACACTGAAAACACAAATTGAACATAAACCAGTGTTAGAAATGATTTGTGTATTCACATGGTTTTATCTAGACATGCTCAGATGCCGATATTCAGCCCCATGTCTGCAGTAAATGTCAGCAAAAATAACCAAACAGCAATAAACAAATCCCTATTTACATCAATATAGTTATACTTAATGTGATGTCTTAGTCAAGGTGAGTTGTATTTCACTGATAAAAGGACCAATTCACATGATAAAGAGTAAGTGGTATTATTTTACATTATTGCATTGAACACAATAAGGTGTCTCTAAAATTAAGAAAATAAAAACTCTTACTGGTATACATGTATAAATATTTTTTAAAAATAAAACAATTCCCAATTTGCCTGCACATAGTTAGGAGTCCTACATAAATCCCTGAAACATTAAAAGTGCCAAAACTAAGTGTCCTTGTCAGGCAAATATTATTTTGTTCACATTTTGGATTTTTATCAGTTCTAATTTTTCTAATTTCAGAGGCATTTTAACATTGCATTCAATGCAATAATGCAACAAGTGTTCAAGGCTCCTCCTCTTTAGTGGTCCTCTTATCAGTAAAATTCATGTCCCTTTGACAATTCTGTTACATTTGTTTAAAACTATAGCTATAGAGGCTCGAAGATTGTTGTTAGCATTTTCGGTATATTTTACTGTTTATATATGGACTGCCAGGTATTATTAGCTGAGCTGAATGGACCAGACTTTTACTAGACAAGGGCTTCAGACTAGTTGCTAAAGTCACAGACTGCTATAGTAATATGAATTGGCTGCATTTGCTGCAGACTTGGGGATGAATATTAGCCTCAGATGATCCCTGTAGCATCATGTATGATAATCATGATGGACTTTTCATGGCCTTATAACAGTTATCACATATACAACAGCTAAACTTAATCATTGAACGCAGCAGTTATCCATCTGGATGACAGCTGCCTGTAAATAATTAAGTCTGGACCAGACAAACCAGTGACTGATATTATGAGCAACAATTGTCATGCTGTCAGAGTACAATGACATGCAATCAACCAAGTCATTGGCCACCAGATCTACTAAATTGCCTTTTATGACCAGCATTGGTGACTTTTTCTAACAAGGAATCCCACTGGACAAACAATAACCGCATGGGAATAGGTCAAGATCAATACAAGATAGCAGTCGAATAGCAGAATTGGCATTATTATTCAATCAATCATATCCAGCTATGGCCCATATACCGAATGACTCATCATACCAATTAAATATCTCTGATATGCATACAACGTAGGGATATGAAAAGCAGACATATATCGATATACATTTCCAGAAATGTCTACTTCAACATCTTCTCTTAGGCTAGTGATGGTTGATGACGTGAAAGAGAAACATTCATCTGATCCGATCGTTTTACTTTATATCCTATCATCCAGGTGACATTAAAACTCAAACTGGTAAAATATATTCATTCATGGCAGTGCGTTTTTAACAAAACTAGACACTTAAATTAATGAGAACAGAGATGTCATATCCAGTTATTTACCTTTCGTAGCAACTACTGTCAACTTCCGCTAAGAATTCATAGGTACGCACTGACTGACTGGTAGCGTTGTGATTGGTCAACAAAGGTTATGGAATTTGGTATCCACGAACTGAGATTGGTCTAAGGACTGCATTATATTTTCTATTCCATTCTTTAAATATGACAATTAGGCATTCTCGGAATTCACTTAGGAAACCAACTTCAATGTCAACACCTTCATATAATCGAACATATCCAAATGCATCAGAAAGTTAAAAATAACATACGTCCGATGCATTGTATTCTGGACAACTAAAATGAAAAAAGGACATAGGACATTATGGTTTGTTTGTTGTTGTTTTTTATTTTGGGGTGTTTTTTTCTGCTGTGGTTGTTGTTTTTATTTTTTTATAAGCCTATGTTTCTAGTTTTGTTAAGCTGACATGCCGTGATATAACTGGAATACTGTTCAAAGCGGCTATAAACCCATCTCACTCACTCACTCAGATATACCTTTTTATTGAGACCAGCATTTCTACAGGTAAGGCATGTGTTGCTTGGCGGGTCAGCCCTTACAAAACGGCACAGATGAAACAATATTTAAAGAGTCCGAATTCACTTGGTGAACGTCCTACAGGCATGCAGAGCTAAAAGTCTTTACGACAAACTATTTCCATAATCATAAGACATCTGCTGAAAGTACGGAATTGTTATAAACATTGACAAAATAAGATGTTTTTATACAGTAGTATGGCCTCATGACCTAGAGTACTATTTAACGTTAAACAAATTGTAGTCACGTGTGAGAATGTCATCTAATAGTGAATACATGATTAAGGAACACTTACAAATATATGTATGTTAAATAACATGTTCACCATTTCCTGGCAACAGTACTGGCAGGGGGTAAATATGTTGTTCTTAAAATAAAATACATGTCACAAATCAACCGAACGTGATACTCATCAACAACAACACTCAAATTAAAATTTGTAGACGATGAAATTTATTCACTTGAAAGTTATGTTATGAAACTATAAATTTATAATGAATATTGACCCGTGATCCGGGTTAGAGTTAGTCTTCAGGAACCCATGATTGTCGTAAGAGACGACTAACGGGATCGGGTGGTCAGGCTCGCTTACTTGGTTGATGCATGTCATCGTATCCCAATTGCGTGGATCGATGCTCATGATGTTAAACACTGGATTGTCTGGTCCAGACTCGATTATTTGCAGACCGCCGTCATATAAGTAGATTGCTGAGTGCAGCGTTAAACAACAAACAAACCAACAAATATAATGAGTATTATAAACCTTTACCAACCAAATATGAGCTGTATATTTGATTTTGTTTATATTGAAATAATATTATATTAGATGTCGATTTAAGACAAAAGAAACTGGTACTATAGTTTCACATTATAATGTTACATCGTGTGACAGCTTGAGATATACGTGTTGACAATGATAACACGCATAGATTGTGTTTTTCTTTCTCTTTTAATAAAATACAGACATAAAACAGGCAGGGCCATCTGCCAATTCATGCATTTTATTGACAATCCTCACATATTCAATTACCATGATGAGGGTTGACATCCATATTCGGTTACATAACCAGGAAGAGGAGCTGTGAATATCGTCTGTAGTATATAGGGATTAATGGTACGTCTACCCCATATATCATTTACCGTTACGCAATGCAGACAATCGAATGGTGAACAATTTGGCCTGTGGCTAAACGTATTTCAATAGCGACTATAACCTCAAGCAAAGTGACGATCACATTTATGAGATCGCATTGTGTGAATAATAAATAATAGACTCTTTGAGCAACGTGTCAGTGGCAAGAAAGGTTTCAGATTTTGTCTCTCGCATATTTATTTATCGAATTGGTCAAGTTTGAGTTATCTAATATTGAAAGCTTTAAAATATAATTTAAAAGAGTTCATCTACTTACTGTAGTAAATCATATTGTCTAACGAATGAAAGCACAGATTGCATTTCGTCCGAATTGATATATTATTTGAAAATATATTACTTCTAGTGGGAGAAAACTGACGATGCGATTATTTGTGAATGTTACCCTAATTCACATTTATTCATATAATTATAACACAGACAACGTATTCATCTTACGAAGGGAGATAACTGTCAATACGCTGAATATTAACTGCCACGCACCTGTTTCGACCAATAAGATGGAGCAAATTTCCGTGTGGCCAATCAGATCGTACATGTCAAGTCGTCACTCTCTCTTTTTCGTCACTTCCGGTAGCTATATCAGTCAGAAAATTTAGCACAGACGGTAGAAGTACTTGAAATATTTACAAGGTGAGTTAAATACTGATATATTTGATTATTCTGCTTTTGTAACAATATCCTTTATACTTCATAGTCATTATGTTGACGTAAAAACACTCTAGGTACAATGTTTAGTTATATTTATTTAGTCTAAGCGTATGCCCAGTTTGTGTGACGTGTCACAGGCACTGGTACAGTGGTCAGCTGGTGCTGTACCAGCATCTCACATCCCTAACTACTGATCACTATTATCAAAGACTTTCGCTTCACCATATTGATGGTGTATAATATATTGATCATAAAATGCCATTTCATCATTGCAACAACAATCATGAGCCGTCAATATGATGAAATCTATTTACTGTTACATAGGCCAGTACGTACTAGTTGTTATGGGAGAGTAGTGCTTGTGACTTCAATATACAGATTTAGAAAAGGGATGGAAACTGTTACAAATGTTGCTTGATGATGTTGCTGAAAATATGTTTGTGTGTAGTGCCGTGTACAGTGTATCGTTATTAAAGTGCATTATCATGATTATCTGGATTGCTATTTTATTTCAAGGATCCAGAGTTGGGTTAACATAACTTTGTTTAACACAACTAAGATCTAGTTGCAATTGGGTGGCAGGCATATTCTATAATCTCACCCATAACTGTTATCCCTATGTCTACTTTGACTTTCAACATTACCTTCAATGTTTATTGCAGAAATCATGGATCAGGTTATGCAATGGGTTGAACCTGGCAAACAGTTTGCCAAGGATTCTCTCCGACTTGTGAAGAGATGTACAAAGCCTGATAGAAAAGGTGTGTAGCATATGCAGCAATAGAGACTAACATGTTGAGTCCACTAGTCTTTATAATGAAAAAATTGGCAAAACCCTTAGAAATGGCAAATTACTACCAGTCCTTATGATACCTTAACTTTTCAGACATGTTCCATGTAGTGGGTCAATTGTCAAGGCTCTTTTACTTACCTCATGGAACCCTATTTATACCTATTATGTATTATTTTGGTGACTAAAACATGTTTAGTGTAAATGAAACTTAATTTAGAACTGTTATGGTTTGAAATGACATGGTGTAAAATAACAGAAGAGTGTTGCTGTTTTCAAATAATTTGTACAAGTTCTAGTTCTCTTGGATCAGTGATTTTGGAAGAGACAAATGGCATCACATTTTCATGATTTTATGTACTTTTGATAGGACATTCTTCTGTATCAGTTATCATTACCAAATTTGAATGAGGTCTTAACATATTAGAGTACAATCGGTGAATGTCCTAGAAAATTAACATATCTGAAATCCTGTGGTTTTACATTGGGTGTGCCATCCATTCTTTTTAAAGCTCTATTTTTAATTAAAAAACATTGTTTGCAAATGTTATTGTTATAACTTATGTATTCATAGATAAAATTATTGCTTATTTTGAAAGTGTGAAAATATATAATGAAAAATATCATGTAGATGCATGACTTTGTGTTGAGCATGTTGAGAATGTGTAATGAGTATTAATTATTCTGTAAACCTGTTTTCAGAGTTCCAAAAGATCGCGATTGCCACAGCAATAGGATTTTGCATCATGGGCTTCATTGGATTCTTCGTCAAGTTGATCCACATCCCCATCAACAACATCATCGTGTAAGTACAAGCATAGTCCCAATGCATTACTACATATATCGGCAATGTTCAGAGGTTTGCCATCACAAATTTATCACTCTTTCGGTCATACCAGATGAGGGGCATGGGTGGCCCAGTGGTCTGAGACGTCGCAATTTGTGTACAGTTGCATCCATTGGTCACACCAGAACCCTATGATCATGGGTTTGAGTCCCGGTTCGCCCATTGATGTTTTTAGGTTTGTCAGCACCATACACATGCTTCTGTATTTCACCAAAGTGGTAACCGTCAAAGACCTGCATTCCTTCAGGCTTTCCTCCCACATTAAGCTGACACAGTGGTATAACTGGAACACTGTTCAAAGCGGCGTAAAACCAAACTCGCCCATACCAAATCAATGTTCTTTTAAGGGCACGGGTAGACACAATTTGGTCATATTTAACTAGTCAGCAGATTTGGGGAGAAAACAACTAGTCTCTAAATGTTTTCTTACTTGTGGCCGTGTCTACCCTTGAAGGTTTCAGTCTGATCCATCATAAAAGCTTGAGCATGTTCAAAATAGAAACTGTAACAATAAGATATCATCCAATACTTTCTTGATGCTACGGGTTATGAGAACATGTTTTACATCCAATATAAGTTGATTTAAGTTTATGGTCTGTCATTTTATAGAATTATGTTAAGAATAAACATTTGTTTTTCAGTGGCTCCTAAACGACTTATCTGCTCCCCCTTGAAGAATGAGAGGCTGTGTGAATGTGCAGGATTACAGACAAATTTGGATCATCTCACTGTGACACATCATGTTATTGGATCTGTTAATGATGTCATCTCAAGACTTTTTCGAACAATGACTGTTAAGGCGTTAGTGTTGACCACTGCAAGTTTGAGTGTATGTATCGACTGACTCAAGTGAGAAATAAATAATTTTATTTAGTATGTTGTTTTGTGGTATTTCATACAGTGTGTATCTGGGGGGGACAAGGGGTCGGTCCCCATTACCACAGCTTGTTGAAAGAACAGACAAGGATTGGAAGGTTCCAATGCGCGACAGGGATAATTGTGTCATCATGGCCTGCTGGTGTGGATTGATCCATTTGGTTGCCTGTTAGATGAGACAACCTCTGTGGTCGAGTGGATAGAGCAGAAGTTTGGCACTTCAATCCCTTGGTCGTGTCATAACAAAAGACGTTACAAGATGGTACTTGCCTGGCGCTCGAATTTAAGGGGATAAAACAAGGACTGGTCGGCTGGGAGTCAGTATACTGTGTCTGTATCCTTGTTAAGACTGCTCCATGGTATCTCAATGGGCTAGCACTACAAGTATGATAAGTGAGGACCTGTACAAGCTGCCACACATATACATGCACTTTACTATTTAAGTGCAATAATCTTAAACACAATGTCAAACCTCATCTCACCTGTTTAGATAAATAATAAGTTTAAAGTGATGTATGATGTATCTTTATTATCATAAAATTGAGGATTATCACAATATAACGATAACTGACATTGTTGAGCACATTCACAGTGATCTAATAATCTTGCTTCCTTGGCACTCCTAACATCAGCAAATACTTCTTGAAGTATACAGTACTATTCTCCTTCTATAACCTTCAAATTTTTACAACTGGGTATCACATAACAGGTCACTCACCTGATCACTTCATACCTGAAAACCAGTTCTATATTTTCACCCTACATAATGGATCCAACATGTTACTACAAAGTGGGTACACCTTGTTTAAATTCAATGTTTTCAAACTTTGAACGACTGAGAATAAGTAATAGTTTGTATTAAAACAGACCGAACAATTATAAAAAAATGATCAGATAAGGAGACATTGACTGAGCAAAGCTGGTTGTGATAATACTGAATACTGGCAACTGTTGCATATTTATAAGGTCACACACTGAATAGCCTTATTTATTGCTAATATTCTGAAACTGTGCAAACAAGCTACAAAACCAAACCAACTGATTATTCTCATTGGAAGTCTTTTTCAACAAGTACACACAGTATCCAGATTAAAAAAATGATTTACTGACAAGTCTGTGTTATAACTAATGGCAGGAGATAGTGATCGTAAAATAGGAGATAGGGTGCATGCAAAGGAAATTCCTGTCAGCTTGAATGGCAGTAACTTGACATCGTCGGGGGAGAGGAGGAGCTTTCACGGTCCCCACAGCATCCTCATCCTATCATTATCTGACCGAGTTCACTACAAGAAAAATACCACGCAAAAGAGGTAAAGGAGCACATATTCTTTCACATTACTATGGTTAATCTATCATACTGTGACAGATTAACTATAGTGATATGAAAGAATCAGGCGGTCCTTAACTTCTTTTGAGTAGAATATGGTGTTAACCTGCTTCCCAGCCTAAAAATACATGCACCCTAACACAAGCGTGAGAAAATACCAACTTTCCGGTCTGGTAAGCCAGACTTTACTGGTCTTACAGCAATGACAATGGAGATATGTCCCGATCATCTGAACACTGGGTGCTTCAGTCAGGAACAGTTTGGGAACAAGAGTAGTTGTCGGGAACATCTACCGGTAATCAAGCTAGATCCCTTATTCCATCCTTGTGGTAAGGTATATCCCTTATCAAGTTTCTTATTAATATCTTAACTACATGAAGACCACTCGCATACAAACTCTGTTTGACAACAGAAAATATGACTACAGTTCAGAGGTAGAGTAATACTTCAACTGAAATCACAATATTCAAATCAATACGTCGAAGACTTTTCAGAATATGGACATAAATATTCTGAAACAAACATGCAGATTTGAAAACGAGATTGAAAAGAAATTAATAATAAAACTTTAAAACAAACAAGAGAGAAACTAGGACCATTCATAATTTACTTCATATTCATATTGTGCACAATAATTACTGGCAGAATATTGCTTTGTAATTGTTGTGATTCACACTTAAAGTGTTCAAAGATGTACAGTGGCAATTCGGACACTTGCCTTTTGAAAACAAGATATTCTCCAACAGGTTTTTAAGTCCTATACAGCGTCTGAGGTGAATCTATATATCAGTATACACAACAATAAATGTACAACAATCAACTACAAGAGGTAAGGGAAACATAGTGGCACTATTAACCACCTGAGAAACAGACATCACATCAGTCATGTTTTGACACCATAACATGAGAACTACCACCAGTGAATATGTCAGCCACTCTCTGTGCTGTCCTCACTCATAGCTTCACACTACATGCAAATAAACATGTACACCTGTATCTTGGGCAATTCAAATTTTAACTGTAGGTGTTTGCAAGTACTTGCAAAAATTAAGGCAGCCTCTTCACTGACTTTTCCCCCAAAGTCTTAACATACTGTGTACTTCCAGTCTGAGAAACATTACTCCAGATCTTGGAAGTTAACAATAACCAAAGTTACACTGACTGGCAGTGATAATGTCATAACCATGTTTTACAAAAATCCTGAATGCTGACCCTATCCTCTTATTTTGACCAAACCTTTTTCAAAGCAGGCCCTGTTCCACAAAGCGATCGTAGAGCAATCCAAGTCGTAAGTCTCTGCTGAAGTATGGGAGTAAGGATAACTCTAGTGCTACTCTAGTGCTACGATAGCTTTGTGGATCGTACCCTAGGGCCCCATCCTGAAGAAGGCATAGGATGAGTCTTGTGACCTTGACCTTTACATCACATGTGCCAAAAGAATTCCCTAGATCCATTGAAGGATTTCCAGTAATGAAAAGATCTTTGCACCATAGTCAAGAGAAAGTAAGATATAACATGTTTCACATCAAAGATGAACTTGACCTTATAAATGCAATTGTAAATTCATGTGGTAAAGTTTCATGTCTGCAGAGATATTGCCAGAAATTTATTGATGAGGGGGAGGTTCCCCCTTTCACACACAGAAATTTCAATTACAGGTTTGATTATTTTTCTGCGAGATCTTTTAAGCATTACTCGTTTGGAAATGCATGATTATGATAAAATTGGCATGAATTCCGTAATCGCAAGCCTTGGCAAAATCTGTCTGTACAGGAAAGCATGCCTCAGAAACACAAATTTCAATACCTTAAAGCAGTCCCATTTCATGTGGCTGCCAATCACTACGAATTACCTAGGTTTAAGATCCATGAAACGAAAATAGCACAGATGTGGATTAAAAGGATATTTTTGAGAATATTACGACTCTAGAGAAAATGAGACTTCTCTCAAGAATCTACACTGAAGCATCCCTGATAGAAACCAAGGTACTGAAATCCATCCGAATGAAGAGAAGAGTTGGTGGGAGACAACAGGCTGGAGCAAACCAGCAACAAATAATTACCCTGATGACCGAGAGAGCCTAGTCTCCCTTCAAATACTCATGGTACTTAGTGAGTGAGTGAGTTTGGTTTTACGCCGCTTTTAGCAATTTTCCAGCAATATCATGGCGGGGGACACCACAAATGGGCTTCACACATTGTACCCATGTCGGGAATCGAACCCGGGTCTTCGGCGTGACGAGCGAACGCTTTAACCACTAGGCTACCCGACCGCCCCTCATGGTACTTAGTCCTAGAGAGAGTCTATGCTCCATAATCTGGGCCTGTTCCATAAAGTTATTGTAGGACTCAGACAATTGTAACGCCCATACTTTAACATAGACTTTTATGACCACTTCCTATCTATGTCAAGATGATGCACAGTACTTAGTGTCTTGTGTTTAAATGCAACATTGTTTGTGTGGGAATAACCATTAACTGCTATTTTGATATACAAATGAAGGAACTTCAGGAGAAAAATGTGTTTTGAAATAACTTCAATTAAGACTTGATAGGATCACCAATTGTTCCAAGCAAGTTTTTCATTCCTTAGGTAGGACACAGGTATGGATGCCCACGGGGTACACAGTACCTTCACTCAATATACCTTCACATCTGACATCACTCTATATATGTAGACACACCATTTCAATAATAAATGAAAACGTCTTAAATAACATACAATGTCATATGTACACTGACACACTTGGGTTTAATGGAAGATGTTCATCATAAAAGACTGGCTTACTGAAGGAATACTGACAACTTTATCAACACTTTCTTCAATAAAATAATGTTATAAGAAACAAAAAGTTACCTTTTGTTTTGCTTTGGTGCCTGTATTTTTTATTTAATTCTTAGATCTGAAGGATCGTCTACTACAAGTCTGATACACGTTTAGGCTGTGGATCACACTGACTTCAAGAACAACATTAAAAAAATATTAATACGTCTTGTGGCAAAATATAACCTGCCTGACTGACCAAGCAATGTGGAAGCAATGAGATGGCAAGGTTCAGGAAAGCATGTCCAGGTACATGTCTGGTTCCTGGGCTGAGACACATACTGCACTTGTTACTGAAGATCGGTAGCTTCTCGATATTTCAATAGCAAAAGCCTGCGAAAGATTTTGTCTTGTTTTAACGGGCATTAAGCACTCTTTCTAGCATTTCTGACAGTACTATACCTGGCATCCGAGAATCAATGCTGGAGCAGAATCACTGTTGTTTTATCATCATCGATTTACCACTTTCTGTCAATCAAGTAAGTCAGTCCAGCTTGAATGAATTTGAAAATGGTTACCTATATTCTGTTTATGACATCACTGTTATCAAAATAAGTCAGCGAGATAATAAGGGGCAAGATTTCATCACGTATCATCCTGTTTCAAGACATATCCTGTTAGACATAGGATTGGTATTATCCAATAATACCTGTACGTGATAAGGCAAGTTTTCTCAAGTCAGACTCACTGAAAGCTAACTGTGGATTGATGAAGCAGCATTAAGCAATAGTCACTCATTAAAGTCATGAGATTGTTGATCTGACATGACCCGTAATGGGATGTCCTCAGATCTTTGTTTAGCGGCAGCAAGAACTTAGATCTGATTTTAATGACATTGCCGTTGTACAAAGCAATCTTAGCGGTAAGGTGATCGTAACTCCCACACCTTAACATAGACTTACAACAGTCATAGTGCTAAGGTTGTTTTGTACAACGGCACCCTGGGCCCACTTGCACAAAGTGATCATGGTACTGACCAGTGCAAGTCTTTGTTTAAGAATAAGAGATTCAAGGTCACTTTGTGAAAATGGCCCTGGTAAAATACCATGCTCCGACTTCTCTGGGTGATGTGTATCTATCACCTCCATTAGATACAATAAAACAGTACAACACATCATCTAACCTGCAGTTGAATTATGTACATTCTGACAATAAATTATTCAAATCATAGTAAAACAGAAAACTTCTTGTAAACACACAGATTGGTATAATTTTAATATTTAGAATAGTGAGTGAGTTTGCTTTAACGCTGCTTTGAACAGTATTCCAGTCACATAACAGCGATGTCAGCTTGATGTAGCAGGAAGACCGAAGTGTTGCAGGCCTCTGACGTTTACCACTTCAGTGAAACCCATGAGCACGGTACGGTACTGACAAACCTAGAAATATAATGGGATTCAAACCCACAATCATAGGTTCATGGGGTGGTCAAGAGACGCAACTCAGCACAACGCAACGCCTTAGAAGACTGGACCACCTGTGCGCCCCATGTTGGAAATAAACCACATTACAAAAATATAATTGCAAGAGTTTGTCAAATGACATTTTTCAGAGCTTGCTAATAAATATGGACAATACTTAATTGGAGATGATGGTTTCCTCGTGTGTTTATTAGAAGATCATGAATTCATATATATAACTCTTATAATAATTACACCAATTTAGTTGACACGCTGGTAGAACAAGACATATGGTGTCCCAAGTAGTGAACTGTTCTCGGATGTCAGGCATTCCCGGAAATTCTTGTCTGAGTGAATGCGTATAGATTCATCATCACACTCAAACCATTGCACAGTTGAGGGCTCACTATCATCGTCTGTGTTGTCTTGCTTATCTCCCTTTACCGGAGACCATTCCGTCTTGATGAAGTTGGCAAGAGGTAGATGAGAGGAACCGGGGCCCGAGTCGACACGGACGTAGGACAGGTAGTGGCCAGATGATATTGTCACCCCAGCATGTGTCACTATACCATAGAGGTTGTACCTGAAATACAGACACAAGTTTTGTGGGGAACATGTAATTTTGAATTTGACAGGAAAAACAAAATTAAGTGCTTATTATATCTCCCCCACAACCACAGAAACATTCATAAGAAATTAATGGATGAATCCTGATTGTTTAAGTTTAACTCATAATATTTAACTTTTCAAAGATACATAGTACACAAAAGAAGTTAAAGAATACTTGATTCTTTCATGTTACAGGGATGTGAAATCTCCGCGGAAATGTGGAAAATCGCGTTTCTTAAAACAGTAATCCTTGGAAAAATTAATTTTCTGCGAAAAAATATGATCAAAGATTTAAAAGAATATACTCCTCTAAATATAATCGTTATTCCTGACAACCGTCATGGATTGTCCTGTTTTCGATCAGAGCTTTCAGCATCATATATGCCTTTATTATTATTCATGATATAATACTATTATCGTCGGATCATAGGTTTTTGGACATCATACATTTTCTATCACGAATACTTGCACTAGAATGTATCACACAGAAATTGTAAATAAACAGATGATGGCTTGATTTTAAGATAAAGTTGTTTTTTAAGCTATAAGTGAATGAGATGTTTTACAGTTGTTCATGTGATTAGCGAGAAACTATGAATGTTTCTTCAGCATCTGAAAACCCATAACACGGGGATATATGTTGTATTAATGTCTTATGTTTGCAATGTTGTTTTATTTTTTTTCAACAAAAGGTAAGTAAGTACAAGGTAAGTTTTTCCATATGCTTCAACATGGGAAAAGGGTCAGACATTGCACCCTTGTGACAGTTGTCCTTGTGTCTGGGGGATAGGGGTGAGGTTTATGGCAGTATTGCTCCCAGACCCGGCGGGTAGCCGGGTGTGTGGAAGCTATGCCCAATTTTTTAAAGTACTGATTTAACTTCGAAATTTTACTGCATCCTCAATCTTTGATTATTTGTCATTGACTTTTGCCACTGACTTATTACATTTCTTGGTGTGAATGTTGTCCAAATTGCACGAAATTGCTTAAAATGCAATCAACTGTTTAAAAAATTTATGGGGGGGCATGGGGGGGGTGATTAGAGTTTTCCTCTCTTTTTTGGAAAACCTGCTCACATCCCTGATATTACTATAGTTAATCTGTCACGGCAGTTAAAGAACACCTTAATCTTTCATATTACTATAGTTAATCTGTCATGGCAGTTAAAGAACACCTTAATCTTTCATATTACTATAGTTAATCTGTATTTCTTGTATACATCCCATATTACAAATAGAGAGAGAGAGAGAGAGAGAGAGAGAGAGAGAGAGAGAGAGAGAGAGAGAGAGAGAGAGAGAGAGAGAGAGAGATATTACCTATGATCTGGTCGGCAGCAAGGCTTGGGGCACTTGTACCTAAGGCATGGCAGGGACAAGGGTATCGTTACATGGTCATTGATCTTGGAGACACACCCAAACATTCTGAAACAAAACACAACACAATTAACTTCAGAAGGGTTTTGACAAGCGTTTATCACAAACAGGTCGTTTATTTAAATTGCAGTTGGACATTTCGGACCTCTGTCACTGATGTTTACGACAGAAATTGACAGGTAATCAAATATGGCTAACTCTGTGAAATCAACATGTGACTTGATACAGATATACCACAGGCCCGGAAGCAGGATGGGGATATTACTGAAACACTGGACCTATAGAAATAGTGAGTGAGTGAGTATGTTTTACGCCGCTTTTAGCAATATTCCAGCAATATCACGGCGGGGGACACCAGAAATTGGCTTCACACATTGTACCCATGTCGGGAATCAAACCCGGGTCTTCGGCATGATGAGCGAACACTTTAACCACTAGGCTACCCAACCGCCCCCAAAACTAATAGATTCAGGGGCCTGCGAAAAATACCTGTGGTGATTGATGTTGATTGAAGTCATCCCTGCAAGTTGTGTTTACACTAATCAACAACAAAACCACATGTCAGTCTGGTTGCTGCTCTTTATTTTGTATCCTTTGTTATTATATTCGGTCTCAGGTTGTAATGTCCTGCAAATAGTATTTCGAAAACAACCAGTTGTCAAATTTTAAAATGTCCAGTTTCCACTTTTTCAAATCGGACAATTTGCAGTCACATTCGGACAAGTCCGGTGCACGGAAAATGCTTGGGCGTCATTAAACGATTAGCAAGTAATTTATTTTAGCAAGTGTATCATCTTGTACCAATACAAAAACAAACGTATTGTGTATTGTATTGTCTCATGAAAACTCATGATGCACTGGTGCACTGATGTATCGTTTCACCCCGAGGATAAAGACAGCACATGACGTTCAAGCGCCAAACTAAGCAATAACATTAAACATAACAATCAACATGTTTACCCTGATGATGCTGAGAATCGTTTGAGATGCAGGGTCAGGATCTCGGGAAGCTGGTCATAGTGGAGAGACCTCTCCGCTTCAACGTAGCATCTGCACATGTCACAGTAGTACTTGTTGTCGTCACGGAGACGTTCAACCTCAGTAAACGCAGACATCAGCTTAGACAGGCAGGAGTCATCGTCATCTTGGAAATGAAGGACAGTTTGTGATGTTTGTTGAATCATGGACGTTTATCTGCCTACCTAATCTTTCCATGAAGCAAAATTGTACATACTTGCAGTGTGAATTTTTTTATGTGAACATCAACCATACGAGAACTTCTGCATGTTTAGTTTGCACATAAACAAGTATGCATATTGCATGCGTTCTTTCATCTGAATTTGTTATGTACCTGAATAAAAAACTTTTCCCCTCATATTTTTTAGAACTGTCAGTCACTTTGTTGCTATGGTCACAATGCATGCGTAATAGACATATTTTATGCGGGAAACTGGTCGTGAATAGTTTCGCTTCTTAGATCACAGAAATCAGTTGCTAATTTCAGTATATTATAATTTTGATACTTGTCACTGTAAACTTTGCAAACAAGATGAAAAAAATCATTATTTTGAAAAAATCAAGATAACAGTATTGTGACTCCTATTCATAAGTATTTCATATCATGGCATACCAGAATACCAGTAATACCGTGCACCTCTAATACGGTTAAGCATTTTCAATGAAGGTGTGTCACTATTCACAGTACAGTTATTACCTGAGTCTTCATCCTGCTCCTCCTCATCGTCTGACTTCTGCTCCCGCCTCAAGGGAACGCTGACATCCTGAAACTCCTCCTTCCTCTCGCGGAAAAACTCACACTCCAGGCATCTGGTTCTCAACATCATCGTTCCCTGAAACAGCTTTTCGACAAAGTCCATTTTGGGTAACTTGTGGCCAGAAAGGTACTTCATGGCCAGGTGAGCACTGACAGACTTCTGGGGGCTGTCACAGACCCGGTCACACTTTTCCACTTTCACAGACAAGGGTTTCACTGGAACTGACTTAAGATGTCCTAAATATTCATCATCACTATCATCTAGGTTATTAGAGTCCTCCTCCTCTAACTCAAAGTTGACTTGACGTTTTGCTGGGCTGAGAATGTTCATGGCTATTGTGGCCTTCACACTTTTCAAAGGACTGTTACATACATGATCACACTTCTGTAACTTTAACATAGGCTGCTTCACATCTACACATCCATTCTTGTCATCAGACTTTGATGGTGACTTACAAGTCATTTGGGAAAAGTCCTGACTTAGTTTGGAGGGTGACTTTACACATGATTCAGACTTCCGAGGAGAAACATTCAGCTTCGGAAAGGAAACTTCATCTTCGTCCTTCATCTCATCAGATTCATACTCCATTGTTAGAGGTTCCTGTTTGACACCGACAGTTTCCGTGTCGTCTGCTTCAGGTTCTTTCTTAACAAGTCTTCCTCGCATACCAAGCCTACGCCCTGATTTAGTAAACATGGACAGTATACTGGGCTGAGATTTATCACCTTCACAATGAGCAGTATCAGATTGGGTCTTCTTAGGTCCATCCTCCGTGGATGTAGTCAGATCAACCTTCTTCCTTCGTCTAGATTTCTTGTGACCTCCGGTTTCTGCAGCACTTTTATCTTTGCTTTCACTCTCGCAATCGTGTTTGGTCGTTGATTCTTCCTTTCCGTTCGAACGTCTCTTTCTTCCTTTCTTAACAGGTTCAGATGTTTTCATTTCTGAAGGAGTCTTGGTACTTGATTTGGCAGAATGTTCTTTGGCATAATTGTCAAACGTAGAAACACTTTTGGCTGATTCTTCTGCTTTAAGTGAAGGTAGAGGTTTTGAGCGAGAACGTCGTCGTTTCCGATTCTTGTTGCATGATACAGCCTCACTTCCCTCTGCTGACAGTTCACACACTTTTGAGCCACATATTTCATGTTCTCCATTGGTCATTACCATGCCATCCACTTCATCAGCTAGTTCACCATTGAACAGCTGGGTCTTGATGGGTTCCTTTGAGGGACCATCACCACTTCCATTAACAGGAGGCTTACTGACCGTTGCTGATGGCTTTTCATGCTTCTTCCCAGCTGCCAGGAAGCGTTGCATGATGGGATTGACTGGAGCAAGTTGAGCTGGCATTAGACTAATGGGTATTGAAGCTATGAGGTCCGTCTGAATCTGATGGAGTTCTTTCTCAGCATCCTCGAGGTAACACAGCAGACATCTCAGCAGCTCCTGGGCATCGTGCTGCAGGTTGCCCTCGAACATTGGGTTGAATTCTCTGCAGAACCAAATATTTTGATGGTTGAAAAAATAGCAAAATATTGAAAATGTTATAAAAAATTGTATTTTTATATACTTATCCTATCTCACACTACACATTTCTTCTTTGATCCTATGTGGGAACGTGCTTGAACAGTGTTTCCAGCTTCTAAAAAAAATCCCAGCATCACCATGGTCACCAATCCCGTGCATAGCATCATAGATGACCTGATCATGTGATTACCCCTGCCCCTTCGTTCTGAACAGGCTAGATGAGCTTTGATGTTTGGGAGGGCACATAACGTGTGAGAGAGGATAAGTATATAAATATACAATTTATCATAAAATTTTCAAAATCTTAAACTTATCCCATCTCACACTATGCATTTATCCCACAGTTGGATGGACACAGATATCCTAGTCTGTATAGACTACAACTGTGAGATGTATACGAGGTGCTAATAATTGAAATAAGTTGTGAGCAGAAAACACCAAAACCAGTGATACCACTGCGATATGTTTGTCGGACACTGCAGCATGAAATATGCAATAACATGCGAAATGTGTTTTCACGTATAACATTGTTACATGAACAACCGCGTAGCTGTAAAGAACGAGCAATAAAGCGTATGACTCATAATCGGTCCGGAAGGGGTCTCCAGTCAATCGACTCTACAAGACGTAGACACAATACTATCTCCCATGGACAATAGCGTGCGACTGCTCGGCATCTCTTAACATTTTGTCAAAGCTATCAATCTCGTCCGAGGGAGTGAAGCATGCCAAGACAAGAAGAGGAATGATTGATAATATATCCCCAAGAGGATCTTCAAGCCAGTACCAGCACAAGTGTAGACCCGTGGTAAGGAGCCAAAAGGAGATTGTGGTACGGGAGACTATTGAAAGTGGCATGAAGAGTCTCTTCCCAGAGCACCAAAGTGGTCTCGCAGCTTCCAAGTAGATGTGGAGCGCTTGAATCTTACATAAGGAGAGATCTTCAAGGTCACCAGGGCTCAGGTTGCCAGTGGTGGGGATTGAAAGTTGCCGATCTGATTGTCCCGGAAGCAGATTCTTCACAATAAGATCCAAGTGAAGGCCACCTTTCGACTCTCTAACCGTTCAAACAGGACTCTGTTTACAACCAGAGCATATATCTTGCTAACGTGTGGAGCACTCGCAAGGGCTAGCAGAAAAATGGTCTTGAAAGTGATCAACTCAAACTAATTGTCTGCAAGTGGTTCATACTCGGCTGAAGTCAAACGAGGGAGGATGACATAACATTGCAGGTCGGAGGCCGGAAACAGGATGACTGGTACGCCAACTTGTAGGCCAAATAAGGGACAGAAGTTCAGCAACTGTAGAAATCCTCAATTCCGTGGTAGTAGCAATGATGGAGTTGAGCGCAGCAAGATAAGTGGCCAAAGAAGATCCCTTAAGCTTATGCGTAGATCTTAGATGATGGATGTATTCCACAACCTGTTGTGGTGAAGCAGTGGTAGGAGCGGAGATGTCATTAACATACAATACGCCTCAGACGCCTTCCACTTGTGGTCGTAGAGGATCCTAGTATAGGAACAGTGAGCCTCCATAACGTTCTTCGCTACCAGCTTGGAATATCCTTTGGACCTCTGTAGATACGCCAATTGCAAAGATGGAAGATGGTGGAACCTTCTTTCGGCGTGCTGTACCAATGTGGTGAACCAATTCTTAGTTGTCCAAAAGGGCGCAACCAAAAGCAGTGTCAGGGGACTGGTGGCAGCCACTTTCTGAAGGACCTGAGGTAGAATGCGGTCGGGGGAGGCATAAAGCGTTAAGGCGTTCCCATGGAATCGCCAGAGCATTGTGGTCCCAAGCTTGAGAATCCGGGATGGGAGTGACGAGCTGTGAGAGATGAGCATTGACCCTTGTTGTGAACAGCTCGACCTCCGGGAAGGGTAGAGGTGGCAGATCTACTGGAAGATCGACGGGTGGAGTCTATTTCCTTGATGACGGTCAATCGGGTCAGGATAGGGAGTCGGCTGTCACGTTGGTGATCCCTGGAATGCGCCTCGCTAGAACCAGAATGTTGAGGGAGTTGATCAACTGGAAAAGTTGATCGAGAGCGACAGGAGCAACATCGACTTGGTGGAACCCAGCTTGTTGATGTACCAGACGACCGAGAGATTGTCCTTTAGCGGTCCTTTGAGCTTTCGATCATACGATTGACTAGCCAGGGTTCCAGTGAACCCTGACAATCGGTGGCAGCGGAATCTTGTTAGTCACCACGGAGGAGCGTGATTGTCTTTAGGCAAAGAGGAGCGATCGTTATTACGCGATACAACACATGAGAAGCGGGAGACACAAGGCAGCTGGTAGCAGACATACAAGGAGCAGTGGAAGGGTCGACCACAGCTGTAGATGTAGTTTTGGAAGGAGGGAACCATGCAAACGTCCGTAAAAGACAGCAGTGCCGATGTAAACGTGGACCCGGGTTCTTCAGCAACCAATTGGTAAGGAGGTAAAGTAGCCACGTCTTCAGACAGGAAGCTGTCTATAACACCATCATCAGCCACTGAGAGGGCAGGCAGGGAAAATTCCACTGCCACTGTTACGGTGGAGGGGACAATCAGCTTGCTGGACTTCTTCAACTTGATAGACGACGGCTTGTGCTTGACAGCGTACTCAAATTCTTGTCGGAGTTCTTAGACTTTGAACGGTGATCCACCTCACATTAATGACACTTGAGAAGATATATGCTGAAAGATTTGTCTGGAAGATGATTACAGGCAAATATCTGTAAAAAATATTCTCTAACACTGACAGTACACGTCTCTACAGAGTGGTGATGATAAAGAGATGATGTGGCTGGGTTAATCATGTGATCAGGTCGTGTAGGTCGCTAGGCACGGGATTACAGTGCACGACCCATTTGTTTAAGTGGTGATAATAGTGATGCTGGGATGTGTTTGGGGGAATTGTTTTTCAGAGGCTGGAAACTCTGTTCAAGCACATTTCCACATAGGATCGAAGAAGAAAGAAGAAATGCATAGTGTGAGATAGGAAAAATCTAACAATTTAGTCGGTTAGTGGGCTGACATACATACAGTTTTTCAGCTTTAAGCAATAGACCTTATAGGCTTTACATGGGAGGAATGTGAACGAGATTGCAAAAGTTCACTACTTTTTCTTTTTAACCATGTTAACATTTTATTGTATATGTTGACATACTACAGTTGAATACATTAAAATGGTGATGTTAACATAGAAACTGCAGTGATTGGAGCAAGCTAAAATTAAATTAAATTAAAATAGAATTTAAAAAAAACATACACAGTTCACTATTTGGTGAAAACCATGAGCAGGACTATGACACGGATAAACAAAGGTTATAACTTCCAATTTAGTAAAATCTAAATATTTTTTACATTTGTATACTTATCCTGCATTACTCCGTATTGCATTTACTGCTGTCTTTGACAGAGAGACGAACTGTTTGAGATCCAGCTGCTGAAGAAAGTTGTCCCAACCAGCCCAGGAGGCAGCGCCCTCTCACAGTCGGCACGTGACCCGGAAGTCATGACGTCACACAAAAAGACATAACTGCTTTAAACATAACATCTGAAACTTCGTGGGGAGGTAGCGTAGCGAAAGGGAGGGCACTTAGACTTCGTAATGCAGGATAAGTATACAAATGTAAAAAATATTTAGATTTTACTTAATTTTTTAACTTATCCTGCATTACTCCGTATTGCATCTTTATCAGACGGCATGGCCGGTGGGCATACCTGCAGATGTGAACCATATTAAACCCTCGTCAAGGTCCGATGAATCCGCACCGCATACAAGTGATGACCGGAACATCTACGACCATTCCTGTCTTCGGGAAACAAGAGTCGATGCAAAAAACGAAACGCCCGAATAGGTAACCGAAATACAACAAGTATTTGTCACAGAGTGACGAAATATCCCCCGCCATATACACCATAGTACCAAATATGAAGACAATCCAGCGATTAGTTCTTGAGATATTGTGGCAACACCGTTTTCCAACTCCAAAAACAGATTTGCCTGCTGTGACCTTGAAAATGGGGTCAAGGTCACCAAATCTGACAGGTGTATGCGGTGTCTGTATATACACTATAGTTCCAAATATGAAGACAATCCAGCGATTAGTTCTTGAGATATCGCGGCAACACCGTTTTCTAACTCCAAAAGCAGATTTGCCTGCTGTGACCTTGAAAATGGGGTCAAGGTCACCAAAACCGACTGGTGTCTGCGGTGTCTGTATATACACCATAGTTCCAAATATGAAGACAATCGAGAGGTTTAGTTCTTGAGATATCGCGGCAACACCGTTTTCCAACTCTAAAAGCAGATTTGCCTGCTGTGACCTTGAAAATGGGATCAAGGACACCAAAACCGACTGGTGTCTGCGGTGTCTGTATATACACCATAGTTCCAAATATGAAGACAATCCAGTGTTTAGTTCTTGAGATATCGCGGAAACACCGTTTTCCAACTCTAAAAGCAGATTGGTCTGCTGTGACCTTGAAAATGGGATCAAGGTCACCAAAACCGACTGGTGTCTGCGGAGTCTGTATATACACCATAGTTCCAAATATGAAGACAATCCAGTGTTTAGTTCTTGAGATATCGCGGCAACACCGTTTTCCAACTCTAAAAGCAGATTTGTCTGCTGTGACCTTGAAAATGGGATCAAGGTCACCAAAACCGACTGGTGTCTGCTGAGTCTGTATATACACCATAGTTCCAAATATGAAGACAATCCAGTGTTTAGTTCTTGAGATATCGCGGCAACAAACAGGTGGGACGTACGGACGGACGTACGGACGGTCGTGAATACTATATCCCCCGCTTCGCGCCTTCGCGCGGCGGGGGATAATGAGGCGTGTAGCCAAAATATATAACTTACCGAAGAGCGAAAGCGAAACGCAGTAGAGCCCTCTAATCTGAGGCGATAAACACCAGAGAGTTCGACAGGCCCCGCTCGGGGAATCGAAGAATCAGTGGCGTCGGCGGCAAAATCTACGACCAATCCCAAGAGCGAATGCGAAACGCAGGAGAGCCCTCTAGGCTGGAGGCAAGGAACACCGGTGAGGTCGACAGGCACCGCTCAGGTATCAGAGAAGCAGCGGCGTTGGCGTCGGCGCCGGTGTCCACATCAACTACCATTCCTGTCGTCAGGAAGCGAGAGTTGATGCAAAAAGTAAAACCCGGATAGGTGACAGCAATAGAATGAGTCGGGTAACCCAAAACTAAAACTGACCTAAGAGCGAATGCGGAACGCAAGAGAGCCGTCTCGTCTGGGGTGATAAACTCCAGAGAGGTCGACGGGCCCCGCTCAGGGTATCGGAGAATCAGTAGCGTCTGAGATAGATGACCTGTTGGGCTACAACCAGGGACCAAAACTGTGAACGCCGGCGACAACTTTCAAGGCTACATCACGGAAGTAGTGGTTGGTGAAGGCGGTGTCCGATCGCCACGAACAGGCTTCCCTGAACGACTGGATGGAACAGTATACCGTGAAGAACCAGTGTAAATACGATCGCCCTGATCTCATTTTATTTCAGGTGATAGCCTTTGGGGGGAGGGTCCAATCCGGCGGCTCATAAGCTTTAAGGATGACCGCCCGGAGCCACAGGGAAAAGTATTCCGGCTGACCAACGACTGCGACGAAGGGGAGACCGGCAGAAAAAGGTGTTTCCTAGACTTGCGGCAGTCTTTAGATCGTAGAATAACCTTCAGTGCCCTTACTGGGCATAATGACGCTCATCCTCATCCTCGGCACCCACACTGGACGAGGGGGGAGGGGACAAGGAATGATCTATCAGGCTGTCCTGGGAGTTGAGTCTTTACGCTGACGTCCCAGTACGGTCCATGATGAACGGTGCCCTGGGTACCGCATTCGAACCGGGCACGGGAGACGTCGAGGGCGTGCTGTACATGGACTCGAGCGGCAGTAGTCAAAACCAGTAGAAACACCCGTCTTCTACTTAAGGTCGTAGAAGGAAGACGAGGGGAGTGGTTCGAAGGGCATTGAAGACCATATTCAGATCCAACGCAGGCGGTCCGAACTTGGCCTTCAGCTTCAAGACTGAACGAGCGCAGCCAGGCCCGTAGGTCGGGAATTTTCGTCTTTCTCCGATCGTCCGGGATGGCCAGAACGGAGTAGATGGCGACCAGGTATGTGGGGGTGGTAAGCCCTTCAACCGACGGGTGCTACGCAAGTACAGAAGGAACTGATCCAGGATCTGCGGTGACGCTGTCATCGGATCCTGGTGTTTGTCAGAACAAAATGCCTGGAACAAGCATCATTTATCAGCATACAGTCCTCCTGTAGATGGACGGTGGGCTGAAGCAATAGCCTTGGTCGCTCTAGCCGAATAGCCCTTGGCTTTCTGCATGTGTGTCAGGCGTGCAGACGATAACATGCGGGTATGAGGGTGTGGCAACAGACCGTGTGGATGGAGCAGAAGGTTGGACCACACCGGAAGTTCCAGGGGTTGTCTCTGGCTATATTTCGGAGGTCGATAACCCAACTTCTGGCTGACCAATAAGGCGAGACCAAAGTCAATGGCAGGGGTCGAGTGGCCTGGATCTCTGAAGAACCGTGGGAGGGAGAACCGGAGTCGGAAAAGCGTACGCGCGTAATCCTTCTCAGGAACGATGGAAGGCTTCGACTGCCACAGCGGTCGTATCCGGCACAGGTGGAATGGAAGACGTCAGCTGGCCACATTCAGATATGAGGCAAACAGATCTAGGGTTGGGGTGTCGACCGTTTGACATAGTCTGGCCCGAGGCGCCGGAGAGCGTGAGGCGTCGGAGAGCTTGAGGCGCCTAGAACGCCGAAGATGGTGATTCTCGGGGGCGCCGGTCGAGTTTGTAGCGCCGGGAGAGGGGCGAGTACTCTGGGTCCGCAAACACCACACTACGGTGACGTCGTCAGTGGACACGATCAACAGGGCGTGACCGAGAATGCACTGTCAGCAAGTGACGTCCTGGATAAGCCTTTATCTCGAGGCTGTTGCTGTGCCAATGGTGTTGATCTCTGGATCACAGGTGGTCACAATGTGGGCTGGTGTGGGCCACTAGCCACTGACAAGGTGGCAGGGGAGGTAGTCAGCAACAGGGGTCTGCGATTGCGTACCGTCGGTACGATTCGGAAAAAGGTGTGATCGCCTGCGAGCCAACCTCAAGTAGACGAAGTAAACCAGCTTCACAATCGACCGCCGGGGCATCGACGTAACCGGGTAGTAGGAAGTCGAGGCAATATGGCCATTGCACGAAGTAATGAGATCGTTTTCATCCCTGAAGCGGCGTATAAGTACTCCTGTTCTTATATCGAGGTGACGATGGAGGACGACAACACGATACGAGGCAGGTATGCAACAGGGGTCAGTGGGACGGCCGAGGGACTTTAAGTATCAAATTGACACTGTGTCCGGTAGTCAAGGCGGAAGATAGGAAGGTGTCGTAGTCGAAAAGATCAAACCGGACGAAGGAAGGCGATCTTTTCCATCCCTTGAACGCCTATAGGCGCTATCATTCTTATAGCGAAGGGTTGATGAAACAAGGTTCCTTGTGACAGCCGTGTTGGAAGAGGAGGTCTATTGTTTCCAACATCCGTGCATGGATGGACTGCGACAGGCGCCTGGTTGAGTGGTATCACCAAGCGTACAGGTAGACATGGAAACCAATCTGTAGAAATACATGGCACCCCTTGCCATGGTAAGTTGACCTAAATCCGGTCGGAGTTGTTGACAGTCCGAGTACTTGACACGTGACATGTAAATCACTCTGCGCAGTAGCCGAGAAAACCGCCTTGGAGTCGGAACTGAGGTGCAAACTCCACACACAGACAATCCTCAATGAACTGTGTGAGAGACGATCAAGTGGTGTACCCGAGTTTTGCGATAAAACACGGAACCCCATGGGCGTCGTGGAAAACCCGGGGAGCGCCGAGGAAGAGTCTCTTTCAGGAACGCTGGCGCTAGGGTAGGGTAGAACAGGGCAGTGGCGCCGGGGAGGCGATTGCCGATGGTGCCGAGATATCGGAGGCGCCGGGACATCAGAGGCGCCGAGTCATCGGAAGCGCCGGGAGCGCCGGGAGACATCAGCGTTGACGGTGTTGGAGACCGTGAACGGTCGTATGTCGTGCCAGGGGAGGCAGACTCTACGTTGGGAGACATCAGAGGCGCCGGGAGACATCAGAGGCGCCGAGTCATCGGAGGCGCCGGGAGCGCCGAGTCATCAGAGGCGCCGAGAGCGCCGAGACATCAGAGGCGCCGAGACATCGGAGGCGCCGGGAGCGCCGAGTCATCGGAGGCGCCGGGAGCGCCGGGACATCAGAGGCGCCGAGACATCGGAGGCGCCGGAGACATCAGCGTTGACGGTGTTGGAGACTGAACGGTCGTATGTCGTGCCAGGGGAGGCAGACTCTACGTTGGGAGCGCTGGAGCCGCCGGTGGAGCAGGGGACCGTGAACGGTCGTATGTCGTGCCATGGAAGGCAGACTCTACGTTGGGAGCGCTGGAGCCGCCGGTGGAGTAGGAGACCGTGAACGGTCGTATGTCGTGCCATGGGAGGCAGACTCTACGTTGGGAGCCGCCGTGAAGCTCCGCTGAGCGCTGCTGCCGTCAACGTAGGTGGGGGTCGACGAGCACGTTGAGCGAGGTGTGTCCTGGATACTCGCATGAGCTGAAGGATCACAGCGACGAATGACTGCAACATCGGCACTGCCTTGTGAAAGTACAGGGCGTCGTACAATCACGGCAGAAAGGGGCGGCCCCGACCAGATTTGTTCCCGCGGCAACAAGTGCAGCGAGGCAGAAAATCTGGAATTTAAGCAAAACATAACTATGTGGCAAAGCCACAAAGTGCGGGAAGCATAATGTGATTCAGAAACTTTGTATTTCAATGAAGTTTATGAGATCAAACAATGACGCTAAAAGGTAGCGAAAAAGCATAGCTTTAAGCAAACACATAACCATGTGGCCAATCACAAAGTATGGGAAGCATAAAGTAACTCAAAAACAGTATATTTTATTAAAGTTTATGAGATAAACAAGTACGCTTAAAGGGAGCGAAAAGGCAAAGCCTTAAGCAAACACGTAACCATGTGGCAAAACCACAGAGTACGGGAGACATAATGTAACTCAAAAACTTCGTATTATATTGAAGTTTATGAGAAGAAACAATTACGCTGAGAGGTAGCGAAAAGGCAAGGCTTTAAGCACACCAAAACAACATACATAAATGTAATGTATTACCCAAGCCAAAGAGAGAATTCAAAACGCAGAGCACGACATTACGTAGCCTCGTGGTGAATGGCCAAAATGGCGGGAAAGAAAACAAAATGGCGGGAACAACATTGCGCCCGTAAATTACTGTGACGTGAGCCACAGACGAGCGATAAACGTTACAATTTACGAATGGGAAGACCCTAAGGTCACGGCCCATAACAGGTAACAATGTAGCAGCATATAATGAATGTAGAAACACGCAAAATATAAAAAACAAATAATAAGCTTTAATTTCCACAAGGGATACAAAGTACGTCCATCCGTGGAGGTGACAAAGCAGTTATGTCTTTTTGTGTGACGTCATGACTTCCGGGTCACGTGCCGACTGTGAGAGGGCGCTGCCTCCTGGGCTGGTTGGGACAACTTTCTTCAGCAGCTGGATCTCACACAGTTCGTCTCTCTGTCAAAGACAGCAGTAAATGCAATACGGAGTAATGCAGGATAAGTTAAAAAATGAACTCTTTACTACTGACCGTATAATATCTAGCACTTTGTCAGGCTTGACAGCCATACTGGTAACATCTGCACTGGCTATCTCACAGTATCTCTCCTCTCTCTTCTCCATGTTTTTGTACAGCTGAAAACAAAAATAGTCAGTCAATCATGGTCAGGTTAGAGCACTTAGAGCACTTATAAACATGTCCCTGGTGAGCATGAGCTGGATAAAATCCCATGTGACATTGTCAGAACATATGGGATACAATAACATGCATCAACCAAGTCAGTGAGCCTGACCACCTGATCCCGTTAGTCACCTCTTACGACAAGCATCGTCGCCTGCTATGCCAATCATGGGTTGCTGAAGACTTATTCTCTACCCGGATCTTCACGCGTCATGACCATTCTGTGACAATCATGAGAAGATTGAGCAGACTCTGGCATATTTATTGATTAAAGAAGGCAGTACTACAACAAACAAGCCCATCAACCAATACTCATTCTGAATACATTTGTCAACAAAAAAGTATCTAATTTGTTTTTTTTAAATACCACCAACCTTGAACAGTTGCTTGACCAGCTCGAGTGAGAGAGGTGGTTCTCTCTCCTCCTCTGCTTCAGTGACCTCCTTATGACGTTTCATCGTCTTCTCCACCACAATGATTTCCCTGTACAGCTCCCCAAGGCCATCCAGGAATCCCGGGGTGTAACGCAGGATCTGGAGGACGCTGTTCAGGAAGCAGGTGTTGCCTACAACATAGGATCCCTGGATCAGTGCATCATCATAGCCATAGTGAGGTGAGGCGAAATCGGGTTTAACACCACATTTAAGATTATTGCACAAATATAGCGACATCCAAGCATGTCTACCTGTGTGTGACTGCTAGTCTAATGCTGGTTTTATAGTGCTAGCCCATTGAGATACTGCAGCTTACATGGATACACTACTTAGACTCATAATACTGACTCCAAGCCGACCAGTCCTTGTCTTATCCCCTTAATACTGAGCTCCAGGCAGGGTAACAACAATATCATCTTTTGATCAACATCTGGTATGACATCTGGGTTCCGCCCCCCAACATTGAATGCCAGGTTGTGAACGTGGGTCATTAAAATGACAAACTGTTGACAAGAAATAGAATCAGTATCTCTTCTCACGATAATGCGAATGCAAGATAACACCTAACACAGGGTCGAGTACCAATGTAGAGAATGGACGCAGAAAAAAAATATACTGCATCCCAAACGATGCACAATAATATTCATTGTACCTACAGCTCATCAAGAGCAGTGATAGTTGTCTGTTATTTCATCCATCAATAATGACCAATGTCCACATGATCATTCATTCAGTCCAGGCTCGAGAGTAATTATCAATATGTTCAGTACACTAAATCCATATCATTACTTTACAGGGCCTTCATACTGCCTGCAAGGACCCCTAAAAGTAGTTATTGGGGGTTCCCCTGACCCCCAGTTTTGTAAGTCAAGGTTAAACCCTGCTAACATGTAACATGGGTTGTTTACTGCAAAGGGAGCTGATACTGCAGCAACAGAAATGCACACTTGTCAGTTGAATGGGGATAGTCTGGAGTATAGTGTTGTATAAGTGGGCAATTAATATTACGTAGCCTTTTCAGTTACTTTTCAGCTAGGCACTATTGTAAAGGGATACTATCTTATTTATTCTACCTACCCAAGTTCTCCAGGGACGCTACAGGGGGTACAGTTGACCCTTCATCAGGGGCGAAGCTTTCGGACTGGTTCACCGGGTCCTCAGTGGTGTTGCCGTCAAGCGTCTGAACTGGCTCAGCTTCCTCCGATCTGAAACAGACGGAAGACTTTCATATCGCACATATTACAGCACAGGATTCAAAACCCTCTGAACATAAGAGATCACATCAGCCATATGATCCACTCCTTTTTCATATTTATCGTAATTCTTGGTAAACAAGTTTCAACACAAGTGGTACAGTAAGAAAAACAAAACAAATTTACTCTGGAGAGGTAACCTAAACTTGAAACTACATAATGTTATCATTTAGTCAAAGTTTTAGTTCTCTGAGTAATGTGCTTTCTGAGTAGATGATTAGCATCTGTAAACCATTTCATCTCTCTACAGAAAAAGTCCAGTTAATCATAACTGATTATGTTGAGTAAACATAATGCTGAGGTTGATAAAGATACTGAGTGGTTTTTGAGTGGTGCTCTGGCAATGAAATCCACCCCCTCATGAGACTAAGTACAACTTCTTTCCATTGAAATCGAGAAAAACAAAAATGACCAAAATCTGTAAATAGCAAAAGGCACCACTACAGGTTCTGTTTGATATCTCTGCCAATTATTGTTGAAAAATATTGACCCTATCAAACGGTTCACGTTCTGTGCTCTGGAAACGAAAGGATTATAGACAGACAGACGAGGCATTGACTACATCCCCCCCTCTCCCTGCATCATATGTCCCCAGGGGGATAAAAATGCTTTCAAAGTCACTGATATCCCCAGCAATGGTAAATACTTGTCTTGAATAAATATATGGAACTTGTTTTCGTGGAAACTCAAAACAATATTGGTTTAAAAAAATCACAATCAAAAAGCACCAGTTCACCACACCTATCTATGCACCTAGATTGGTGAAGAAATGTTGTGCCTATTTCAAAATCTGCCCCCATTTTCAGTCTAAGTCAAAGTTGATGCCACAGTAACTTAAAAAATATTTGGGTTTTTTAAAATCCCAAACTATCAAAAGGCACAAGTTCACGACTACACCGATCCATGTGCCAAATTTGGTGAAGATATATTGAACGTTTTTCAAGATCTGCTCAGGAAACGAGCACAAACGCCATTTCCAGCCCTTGTCAAAGTCATGTTTCTATGTGGAAACTCGTAAAATATTTTTTTAGCACTAGGGGGCTCTTATTAGAATATTATTTTGGTGAAAAACAGGAGTTGAAAGATCGTAAATTTCGTGGTTTGTGCTGACAGCCTGAAATGTTTATATATGACAGATATATTTTTCCAGAATTTAATTTCCCATGATAGAGGATGCATATATCACATGTATTATACACAAATAAATGTCTTGTGTACATTGATCAATCTGAAGGAGTGCTAATTGGGATTGTTCACTAGCCAATATATTAGCAAATATCGCCGTGGGCGCTTATTACGTAGAATACGGTAACCTTGATTGAAATCTTTTTGATTAACAAGTCCGAAATTAATTCTCTCCCTTGAAGTATGGTATGACTTTATGAACGTACTAATATGTATTATTTTAGTTGATACATCAAAACATTCACATCAATTACCATCACAGAATAAATATAAACTTAATCGAAAATTATATACCGTATTCAACGTAATAAGCGCCCAGGGCGCTCTCAAAATTAGAAATAGGGGGCTCTTATTAGAAACAGAGTTGAAAGATAAATTTCATGGTTTATGCTGACAGCCTGAAATGTTTATGTACGACAGATATATTTTCCGAAAAATTTAATTGCCCATAATTAAGGGTGCATATAACACACAAGTACGTATTATTCACGAAAAAATAGGTCTTGTGTACATTGATCAATCGGAAGGGGTGCCAATTGGGATTGTTCACTAGCCAATATATTAGCAAATATCGCCGTGGGCGCTTATTAGAGCGGGGCGCTTATTACGTCGAATACGGTAATAAAGTTTCTTGGGGGACTGTGCTGTATATTTGACTTGGTTCTACTGAAGCTACCTTTCACATATATCTTGTGGCGTGGTTCCCTGAAATCCATGCGAGTCATCAACAGCAGCTGCAGCAGAACTGGCACTCTTCCCCTTCCCTTTGAGTGAGAGACGAGGTCGCTTTCTGACCTGCCCATGACTGTCATCGTCAGCAACAACCATACCTATGGCACAACCTGGCGACTGGGATCTGGCAATGAGAGCAAAGAGATGCTTCTGTATAAACATATTTCAAAAATAGTAATTATCTGTAATATATTTACTTTGGGATACAAAATAACTTTGGGTAGAAATGATTTTAGTAATCAATTTCTTTTTCTTGCTTATAATGATCATATTAGAAAACCACATACTAGCACCTTGTTTTCTATATGCACTGTCTGACAGTCACTGGATGATGAAAGAGGACACTTATCAATGGGGTGACTTGTAGGGCTAGTTTCACTACTGCGATAGTATTGCAATAGTAGCCAACACTAGTGCAATAGTATTACGATAATATCAAACAACTTAAAGGTTTGGTAAATTTATAACAATCGACATAACAGAATTTGTTTGTTTGTTGTTTAACGCCCAACACAGCAACATTCCAGCTATGTGACGGTGGTTGGTAAATAATCATGTCTGGACCAGATAATTCAGTGATTGACATCTTGAGCATCAATCTTCGCAGTTGGGATACGATGACATCAACCAAGTCAGCGAGCCTGTCCAATTGATCCTGTTAGACACCCCTTACGACAAGCATGTGTTGTTGAAGACAAATTCTAACCTGCTTCTTCACTGGTGCAGTGTATTAGAAATAAATGAAATATTGCTACTAAAACAAAAGGGAGGTAACTCTAATTGGAAGCTGACGTAATCCTTGCTAAGCAGGTTTAAATACAAATGAGTTTTCTAGTGCAAAATATATGCGAAATATACCATAATCTAATCTAATTGATTACTTTTCATTATATTGATTCATACTATCGACAATTCCATTATCAGTTTTACATTCCTACTATTGTAGGGGGGTGGAAGAAGCCTTATGGAATATTTACTTTGTCATTGATTAGATTTAAGGAGGCCTGTTTGATAAAGAAAGACCATGAATTCATTTGTTTAGCTCAGTGTTCTGTATTCACATGTAACTTCAGATCCATGTCATCACCAAGTAATGTCAGCTGATGACAATGATTGCTTATCTTTCATATTAGTGTTGGGAAATGGTTGGGATCATATCACCTTTCAAGGATCATAATCCATTTGTTTGCTACTGTAAAACAGGAATTTAATGTGACATGAAAATAATGCGAGCTCTTGATTTTAGACATAAATGCGCATTTTAAAAATGCGAGTGCCCATACCCTTTCCTAAAAATTTATCTCTGTGAACGGCGATTTCAAACAGCTGATGAAGGAACAATTCACTGAGCGGTATGCTGACAACATTGCATCTAATCTTCGATCAGGTGACAATCCTCACACTCATGTTGACCTGCGGATTAGTGTCATGAAACCCATTCATGCGCGTCGGCTCGTGTCTGCTCTTGACAAGCTTGTAAAGGACACTGATGGGATAATTCGTGGCTGGCGCCAATCTGGGCTGTTTGACAGGATGTGAACTGACCACTTCTCAACTTCACTTTGTGTAGGTGACTTTGTTATTTTGTCTAGTAATTTATTTATCTATTACCTTTGTGACTGATTGTTGTCAGTGGCTGCTATCAACTTGTAATGATCTGATATCATTGTTTTTGATGTAATACTAGTAAATAATACTGAAGTGATTTATTTCGTTTGTTGATTGTTTCCTTATTTTGATGGTACAAAATTAATGCGCATAAAATTAATACGACCTTCCGTCATTTTTCGCATTAATATTCTGCTCGCATTAATTTCCTGTTTTTACAGTATTTGCCACTCTGAACCAGTATTTCAGTTACATCACAGCATGTCAGCTTGATGTGAGAGAAAAGCTCGAAGTGATGCAGGTCTCAGACGTTTACTACTTTTGCGAAACTCACGACCATGGGTATGGTGCTGACAAACCTAGAAACATATACAGGGTGCACTGCGATCATAGGTTTTCTGGCATGCCCTAGGGATGCAACTCTTCACAGTGAATTACTGCGCGTTAAGACGACAGGGCCTCCCATGACCCCCATTATCAATTCGCATGATCAATCAGTTACATATATAACTTACAAATATTTACTGTATTTTTGAAATAAACTGTCAAAGGACCAGTGGACTAACTTTACAATTCAAAAACAGAAAATTCACATTCACATGACAATACCCTAATACCTAATTATTAAAATAATGGTCTTTGTGAGTGCTTGAGTTGGGTTTATCGCAGCTTTTAACAGTATTCCAGTTATATCACGACATGTCAGCTTAATGTGAGAGGAAAGCCCGAACTGATGCAGTTCAATGACCTGGACTACTTTCGTGAAACCTACAAGCATGGATATGGTGCTTACAAACCAGGATTCAAACCCAAGATCATAGGTTTCTGGTTTGACCAAAGGATGCAACTCTCCATCCTGAATTGCGGTGCCTTAGCCGACTGGGCCACCCAATGGTCTTTGTAATATAAATAAACAATTCCCTTGATACATTTGGCTATCAACATTGTAGTATTCGCTGTTTGCCTTATTGTTTCTTTGCAATCTGACTCTATACTATCGCGGTATTGGTAAATACCATAATCTATACCCACTGTCAACTTTACTTATATAAACTAAGCACGATATTTCATCACTTGATTGAATACAGGACTCATTGCGGTATGTCACGGCTATTCCAAAGTATACATTTTTAATGACAGTTTCTGGAATGAAGTGGAATTACCCCTACCTCCATTCGAAATTAATTAGAAAAGAACCCAATCTAGGTCGTATGCCTACTGATTATGCATAATCCAAAACTGGAAGAATTGTAAGTCCAATGTACCACGCCACAAATAGTGATAATATAGAGTTGTCCGCCCCTGAGTCACTAATGACAGGTACTTTGTTTACCGAAATCGGTAGAGAAAATCAGCAACAATTGATCCTCACTGATGTGTCATAAAAGATGAACAAGAAACATTTTGCGTTATTTGACACTTAATAGGATAGTGCGCCATTACAAGCCATCATAAATTAACTACCGCAATAATATACTCTAGTGTACCATGCTAAATGAATGCATGTATATGGGCTATTTGTACAAATATAAAACATTGTTATATGTGATGGGATCAGACAACAAATAACACAATACAGTATAATAATTTTGTGCTTCTTCCTTATGCGCTATTGAATACTACTATTGAATAAAAACAATGTCATCGATGTGGAAGTACAGTATTGGCTGTTTGCCATCATTGTGAACCAAGAAGCTAGACTAGGCTTTATATCATTTGGCTCTATGATCTATCATTCTGCCTTTTCAATCAAAAATAAAAGGTAAATGATGATATCTACGAATCTGGCAGTCGTTTTTTTAAGCTAAATTCACAGGTGACGGAAATTGTGTTCTTGTGTTTTCCAATAAAAGAGCCACATAATTTGTAGCCATCGCTTTCTTCCTATGATAAGGATTATCATATTTCAGTTGTGTAGTAGCTTCTATACTGCATCGCATTATCATATACCGTTGTTGAAACAGTTCTTACTTACCACCGGTTTCAATAAGTCATAAAAGTTGTCAACATTTTGTGCAAAAAGAACCTGCCGCGCTAAATGTAATTATTTGACTAGACAAAGTTTCGTATATGTATTTAAGTCCATTTTAAAAAACTTTATATACAGCAATCAATTGAAAATATATAACACAAAATGTTAGTGTTCATTGATATGGATAGTGCAAAGTTGTTAATTGCGATTCTGTTATTTTCGTAGTCTTATTAATTTGTAGTATTTGTGAAACAACTGTTGTTATATTCTTTAATGCAGTGAGTAATATTGTGCAATAAAACACACAGTTACCGGCTTTTATATAATTATTATTGTTCTGTTCTTTATACAAATATTATGTATATCAGTTAGTACAAACATTGTAATTTTGGAACGTTATTTTTTAACTTAGTGGCCAACATGTGTTATGAGTTGCACTGCTCAAACCGATGATGATGAAAACATAACTTCCGGTTGTGGATACGGGAAAATTCTACTTTGCTTGTTGTCTGCTAGCAAGCTGTCAAGTACATCATAAACTAACTGTAGGTTGAATTTTCACTTTTTCCGTAAGACAGAATTATTTTCCTTCGATAGCATGTTTTTGTATTGATAGTTGTCATATTTTCAAGCAGACGTTGCTGAGCCTTAAGCGCAAAAGAGAGCCCAAGCTGCACGCTCTGAAGAAAAACAGGGCGAAAAACATACCCCACAAGACCATATTAATCATGTAACTGGAGAAATTATGTAACATCTGTTATTTGACATGAAATTTTCATCACGATTTACTTATGATTGTCATTGTTACTTTTGACAATATGACAGAAACACTCGAATCGAACTGACAATTCATTTGCTATTTTCGTTTTCAGCGTAATAAGTGTATCACTTATTCAAAGACACGTGTGACCTAGTCATTTCGCATTTTGATAACGTGGGGTAACAAGAATCCATATGAGTTTGTATCAGTGTGTGTCATGTATTAAAAAGTACAACTGCAAATGTGATTGTTTTGAATACATGTCAAACCTCATTAATTTGGATCTTTTGACGTTATTTTATGCTATTATATAGCTTTATTCATGTTGAGTGTAATGACAAACAAATCGGTCCCATTGATAAACATTACATTGACAACTGATTGCTAATATTCACCATATGTTGCACTGATTTGGGATAGATGTTGGGTGTATAATGCATTTCTAAGGGTCTTAGGACGTTTGACTGTTATCCCTTTCAGCTGTAGTATGCATCATATATCCCCTCGTAACTTGTTTTCAAGCCCCTAAACAATACGTTACCATGCGCTTAGTAATGTAATCAAAGTAGACGCATCTAAGATCACTGAAGACATTAAAATGTTCACCACTTGTCGCTGAAGTTATTTTACGAATTAAGCTACACGAGGTAAGATATTAAAAAAGTAATGAAAACATGCCTCAAACATTACTTTTTCAGTAATGCACATTTTAATCAAACTTGATCTGATGACAGTTTTGCATCAGAACAATCATATGCACTGGTGATGTATTGGCTGCTGTAGGTAAACTTCCTGTCTGTAATGTCATGTGACTGATCATGTTGTGCATTTATTTTTAACTTGACTGTCATGGAGGGGCTCGAAATCAGGTAACAATAACAAGTTGGCGACTGCTTGACTTGTCATGCTTGGCGAGGCATTCTCACGATTAAATTGACAAGATGTGGTCATTTACTATCCAAATTGTAAATAAAAATAAATGTGCTCAAAGGTAAGACTTATTTTTCGTGCTTTGCGATTGTTATTAGACACATAATGAGAAATACTTCTTAGGGGCTCGAAAACACAATATGCAAGGATATGTGAGCGGTCTGCACCTTAAATTAAACATACCATAATTCTTCTAATGCGCACTGTCCTGAAATAAGAGGGAGCACCTTTAGAATTCAGTTCCCCAACTTTCTGTGTGGCGGATGATTCTATGGCTGTAGAAGTGCAATGAATAACAAGTGTTACTCTCTCTGTCATGTCTTGAAACCATAAGCTGGTATTATAAGGTTGCCTTGCTGTTGATTGACCTAAGTCCTCACTGATGAACTCAGTGTTAATTTTCCTAGTCATACCAAAAATGTTTTGGAAATTCATCAGCTTTGTCGATTTGTGTGTTACTATTGTATTGCACATGGATAAATTTTGTTCAGCACATAAACACATCCTGCTTTCTTGATATTTTCATGTGAACATGGTGAAGATTAAAAGGACTAAAACTGAAATTAAAAACTAATGAAATTTTAAAAATACATTGACAAGTGTATTTATTTTACTTTTTTCAACACTTGGCTCCCTTCACTGTGAACCCACGAGAAAGGGGCACAACCCCCACTGACCCCTACAGTTCGTCCTACATGGCTCTAATTCTACCTTTTCATCTTGCAATTAATTGATAGCTTGCGAAAGGAAAAAGGATTAACACAATGTTCGGGAGAGTAGATAAAAATTGTGTTTGGACCAACCAAGTATAATCAATAAGCAGAGAACTTAAGTAATCAACATACCCAGAAGTGAGACAGTGAGTAAAGTTTTAAAACAAAAAGGCATTTTTGCACATCCTCACAAATCAAGTTTATTATTTCTTATGAAATTGAGCTTTTGTACCTTGGGAACTCATTGGCATTATTTTGGTTCAAAACTAGCCTGAACAGTTATGATTCAGAAAATGATAGGGGTCATGGGTGGCCAAATCATCTCAGGCCCTGCAATTCGCTGAACAGAGTTGCGTCCCATGGGCACGCCAGAAACCAATGATTGTTGGTTTGAATCCCAGTTCGCCCCTATTATATTTCTAGGTTTGTCAGCACCATACCCATGCGGGGGGCACGGGTATCCCAGTCGTCTAAGGCGCCGCGATTCGCTGTGCAGAGTTGCGTCCCTTTGGCACGCCAGAAACCTATGATTGTGGGTTCAAATCCCAGTTCGCCCCAATTAAGTTTCTAGGTTTGTCAGCACCATACCCGTGTTCGTGGGTTTCACCGAAGTGGTAAACGTCTAAGAATATAACTGGAATACTGTTAAAAGCGACATTAAACACAACTCACTCACTCACCATACCCGTGCTCATGGGTTTCACCAAAGTGGTAAGCGTCATGCTTAGGGCATGATGGATGCATGTTGCATGGTAAAGAATTAAATTGTACCACTTGTGAAGGTTGCTGTTATGTCCTATGTTTGAATTCATAACTGTTATCTTTACATTGTATCTATGTCTGTGTGGGGGCTAAGGCACCACCATTCCCTGTGCAGAGTTGTGTCCCTTGGGCTTGTCAGATACCTATGTTCTGTGTTCGAATCCGGGTTCGGCCTGATAATGTTTCAACAGTCTGTGCCAAAAACCTTTCAGATTACTAGCCCAAACTTGGCTCTTGTCATCAATGACAGTAGCATTTGGTGTTTTTATATATGCTATTATTACCTGAGTTTACAAGACCAAACAGAATTTTACTATACTCAGGCTTCGGACTGATGGCTAAGGTTACATACTTGTTTCTAGGTTTGTCAGCACCATACTAGTGTTAATAGGTTTCTCTGAACTGCATCATTTCGAGGCTCTCCTCCCACTTTAAGTTGACATGCTGTGATATGACTGGAATAGTGTTCAACATGTTCAAAGCAAAGTTAAACTCAGCTCACTCACTCACTCAAGTCTATTTACCTCACTGAACATGCTGATGTAAATAAAAACAAGCCTTATATGTTTTGGCATGGTGCAATGTACCCCAAAATGGGACATTTTTTTCTTGGAAACTTCTATGGATACAAGGATGACATCTTGCTTGTATTATCACCAAGGGATAGCATGATCAAGGGATAAATATGTTAATCAAGTTTAAAAATCACAGTGGCAAATATAACTTTTACAGGGTTATGCCCCTTGTTTGGTCCTCCACAGGACTCATTGAGGTCAAGTATATCTTGGAACATATATACATCTTGAATGCATCATCTGTGATGATTATTCAGAACTAGATACAGAGTAGTGGGGAATATCCTTCTGATATACATTTTTTCTCCTTCCATTGTTCAGGTGTTTTGAGGATATAAATCTGTTGGACAAGTTATTAATTTGGTCTGTCTTAAGAAGGATAAAAAAGATTCCATATCAACCTCAAGTTTGAAGCACAACTTCACTGTGTTAAAAGTCAAACGCACAGCATATTTTAATTTAGACCACTGGGACAATGAAAATAGTAGCATCAGTTAGTCTTTCAAACTTATTATCATGATCATAGACACTTTGTCACTTTATTTGCATCAACATGCTTTTAAGGGAAATTCCTCATGCATTTTGGGGAGCCAAGGTTTACCCCACAGTGCATCCGGAGTAGTGGTATATTGAGGAGCGTTATGTCGAGGAATCACTGTAGGTGCCATTGCTATTGTTACGAGGTGATTTCCAAATTGAAATTCAATCAGTTGTTCAGAGCTAAATAGTGAAATCAGTAAATAACCACACAAGAGCATTTAACAAATTTTATTAAAACACCTTTTAGGTTTACAATCACAAAAGGCATTACAATAGGTCAAATAAACTCAAAGAAACTTTATGCCGTGACGGACTATTTACTTTTCTTCGAGCTACATCATTGTACACAGCGATGGCTGTGTAGTTATTTCCTCAGTCAACAAGGACAGTTTTGGTGTTTCAGAATCACGATGTATGATCCTGAAGCTGACCCCGTTGTGGACGACAATGGTTTCCAGGAATACAACAGCTTCAGTGAGAAGAGTATCCGGCTTGGTTAGTATATTGAAATTGAGGAGTTGTCGTTCTGTTGATTTCCCTGCTTCCTTCATTGCTCTTATGGGTACATCTGTAATGTATTGTATAACTATGATATATCCTTATGTTCATGATGGACAACGATAGCGCCTACGCATTACGATATCTCACACATGACATAATGCATAATCTGCTTATAAACGGCTTGTATAAATCTCCAAACAAAGATGTACTTTTTCAATTCATTTGTCTTGTGGACGTCTTGTGTGTTTGAAAAAGTGAAATGTATACACCGAGGCCATTATACAGCCTTAGAAAGTCAGTTTTTTAAGACTGTTGTAAACTATATTTTACTTGTCCTCAGAGTTTGTAGTTTGTCCTGCTTGAACAAAACAAAAATGTTTATCAGATTTTATTTTCTGTCAGTTTTATTCAGTTCCAATTTGTAGCAAAACTGAGGACTACCATCACTGGATGTTGACTTGACCTCAGCACAATTTAGTAGTCTCGAGCTAGTGGACTAGCATGAATTTTGAAGGCTATTATATGTGTGGAGACAAATACTGAATATCTGTTGCACTTGATGACATGTAAATGGAATAGTCTTCAGAATCATGACACATACACAGTCATTAATAACTACAAGTTTTTGTTAAAGTTTGTTGCCATTTTTATACTACTTTGTAAGATAAACACATGTCCTAGAAAATGTGGGATATTTGACGATGATCATGATGACAGAAAGAATATAACCTACTCAGTGATACACTATAGAACATATACATATAGAATGGCCATGTATGTGAATATCCTCACACTGACTGTTTGCTATTTGTCTCCTGTGGGGTCAGCAAGAACACTGTTTATTATGTTTATTTCATAATGTTATGTTTATGATAGGATAGTGTATGAAGAAGTTAAGTGCAGTTAAAAGTATGACGTGCGTGATGTGAGCAGTAAGAGGATCTAAACAAATTTTACCACATTTACAAATTACCATCCATCCTATGAAGATCTGGGGTAAAACAGGTCTTCAGGAACCCATGCATATCGAAAGAGGCAACAAACGGGATTGGGTGGTCAGGCTCGCTGACTTGGTTGATGCATGTCATCGTATCCCAATTGCATGGATCGATGCTCATGATATCAATCACTGTATTGTCTGGTCCAGACTCGATTATTTACAGACCGCCGTCATATATCTGGAATATTGCTGAGTACTGAGTTAAACAACAAACAAACAACAAATTACAGTACTGATGTATTCTCTTCATATTGATGATAGTAAGTTTATATTTAACTTTCCATCAACAACATTTCAGCCGTCTTATTCATTCTTTAAACTAAAGCATGCACAGTAGGACAGTAAGGTGAATAACACTCATTAAATATCCCCACTTGAATCAAACGAGATAGGTAAAAGAAAAGAAACTATTTAGACAGCTTTATGATGGTGATCATATAATGTGTATGGTACATAGATAGCATATATTGCAAAACTGATTGCTGTTAATGTGGTTACAAAAAGAAGAGATATGGTGACACATCCCTTCTTTGACATTTGTGTAATGTCGATCAATGATATTCACAGGCAACAGCTTCTACATTGAGATGTAAAAGTCCACACAGCTGTTGCGGCACTTGTCCGATGTGCTTGCAGTAATTAGTCGCAAACATCGACATCATGATTATCTGTGCAACAGGCTGTTAATCGACTCAGTACCCACCATACCAACCAGTTGAGCATTGCTCAATATGTTTTTTGATATGTGAATATTTAAAGCTAGATTGACTATATTTCGTTTCCATATTACAAATATTATTAATGTATGCAGGTATATTCCAAACAGTATGTGGAGTAGGGATTTCATGATTCACCAGCATGACCAATGTGTTGACGCACAATAAATTGCACCTAGTGCTACAGTTCATGATGTATTGATGATGTTATTATAGATCAGTTTTTAAGAACTAATAGTTGCTATGTTTTGGAAATCACCTTGACTTCTAACTACTCAGCATGCTCAGTGGAACAGTGTTCTGCAATAATTTTGGCTTCATACGGCTGAGGCATTTATATTGATAAACACTGCTTTGATAAACACTGGCTTTTAATCCAATAAAACTGGCAATTAGTCACCCATCTGTCAGAAAAACACATGAGCTTTCTCTTCAATTTGCCTCTAATAATAACATGACCAAAGCCACTTATTCTGTGCAGCGCTTGGGTTGTCGGTTTCCCTGTGCGGAGCTCTATTGGTTTAGTTTGAGAATCGGGCATGAAGTAAAGGTGTGAAATTAAAAATTATTTCATGCATGATTTTAAAACACCCATAGCTGTCAATGTACTAGTCCTTTAAGGCTCTACATGAAACAAAAATGTTAAACCTGACTGCATAGTACTGTGAGAACTACTTAAATAAAGTGAAGGCTGACGGCCTAGAATTTTGGTTGGAGTAGAAAGACCTGAGGGGGATAGGTAGAAATGTGAGACAGATGGCTGATTAACCCGAGATGTTGCTTTTCGGCCTATCCAACCAAGGTATGTTCATGGGCAATTATTAAATTGACAATGGGGGCACTTATTAAAACCATACACATCAAGGTAAATTTGTTTTAATAGATCGAGTGAACAAACTTAATTCAAACTTTTCCTTAGTAGTCACTAGACAATAACGTACCCCTTCTAAGCTGCTGTTACAGTTAAATAACGTGTAATATGTACACAAGGAATGGACTGTCATGTAAATGTTTGGTCTCAGTACCTTTTGTAGCAGGGGGCACTTGTAAGGATTACTTACAGATTGGTCTAGAAGTTTGTCAGGGAGTGCTTATTGGAGAAGGGCAATTACAGTATTATATTTCAATACAGTGTATCACCATGACCAGTGGATGTGATGATGAAATCTAAAACATTCTAATTTGCAGGATTTATCCGCAAGGTCTATGGCATTCTCACCTGTCAGATCGCAGTCACCATTGCCATTATGTCACTGTTCCTCTATGTGTAAGTATTGCACTTCCTGAAGTGCTGTTTCTCCATGTGTCTCTATAGTGCACAAATATATAAACTATACATGCCATCTGTGTCTTGACACGGGGGTTCCAAGGTGAAATAGGCCCTTTTACCTTGAATTACTTCCCTGATGTAAACTATAGAAACAATTTTGTATGACTGAGGAATTCATGGTAGTTCTCTTTTATGTGACATTCTGACTTAGTAAGTATACTGCCATGCAGTGAGTTATCTCAGCTTGCCGGGGATTCCCCAAATATTAGGTACAGTACATACCTTGTAAAGATTAAACAGCAGTAGTCTCATCTGTAGGCTTATCTTTGAAACTATGCCATCAATCTGAACACCTCCTCTGAAACTTCTCAAATCACAAATCCGGATGATTGCAAGCACCTCCTGTACTGTGGGTACTAATGTCTGTTCTGTTTTATTGACCACCTCTGTGGTGTAATGGATAGGGAGTGGCGGGTGGGTAGCCTTGTGGTTAAAGCGTTGGCTTGTCACGACGAAGGCCCGGGTTCGATTCCCGACTTGGGTACATTGTGTGAAGTCCATTTCTGGTGTCCCCCAGCATGATATTGCTGGAATATTGCTAAAAGCGGTGTAAAACCATACTCACTCACCCACACATGGATAGAGAATCTGTAATGAGAGCAGAAGTCCATGGTTAGATCCCGTGGCATTAAAGGGATAAAACAAGAACTGGTGAGCTCAGATTCAATCTCAGATCTTCAGATCTTCAGATCTCGGTGGGCTAGCATTATAAAACCGGCGTCAGATTGGACAAGTTCAACAGCCAAACATACACCATCTACACATGCATGCACATCACTCAAAATCTTGAACACAACATTAATCCACATTTCACATGACCCCTAGGTCTAGTCTGGAAAATATGAGCGACTGATTGGGAGATGAGGGGGCTAGTATCAGATCTAGCCGGTGTCAGGCAGGCAACATGATGCCGGTACTGAGGCTCCAGATCATCAAATGACCAGTCATACTTCTTAGTTGTCTTTAGAAAGGACGTAAGGGAGAGCAGGGCAATAGCGTATTTGTTGTCAGTAGAGCAACTTACATAACAACAGTGGTGGAGGTCAAGGTGAACTGTTGAAGTCAACCACAGCGACCAGTGAAGTAAGTTTGTAATGGCGAGCTGACTGTAACTGGCAGCTACACCCAGACACCCACCCTCCCCACATACCATTACACAATGTCTTTGAATATTGATTAACTAAATGTCAATGAATAGTTTTGTTTCTTTACAGTCATGAGGTTCGTGAATACTCAAGGAACAATCCATGGATGTGGTTCCTGGCACTGTAAGTGATGCAAGATATATTGGTTCTAGTTGGAGACAAATTTGGTGTAATTTATTGTCACAAATAATTGTCCCAACATGTACATTATGTTGTCGACATAGTTTGCACAGCAATATGCAAGGGCAGTTAACTAATGACCCTAAAATTGTAATGTGTCATATCATCACATATCTTTCCTCAAAAAGGACCGCCTCTGTGGTCTATTGTTAGAGCGTCCCCTGGAGAGCGGAAGGTCCGGAGTTCGATCCCCGTCCGCGTCATACCAAAAGACGTTAAAAGATGGTACTTGTTGTTACCCTGTCTGGCGCTTGGCATTAAGGGGCTAAAACAAGGACTGGTCGCCTCGGAGTCAGTATACTGTGTCTGAGTGGGGTATTCATGTTAAACTGCGGCATGGTATCTCAGTGAGCTAGCACTATAAATCGGCATCAGTCCGGTCTAGTACAAGCAGCCACACACACACACACACACGTGCATGCACGTCGCTATATAAGTGCAATAATCTGGGACGCGACGTTAAACCCCATTTCACCTCACCTCACCTCTTTCCTCAAACTGACACTGATGGAGTTGTGTTGTCAATCATTCTGCCCTTCCTGAGGACAAGTTGGAGAACAGCTACCCTGTGAGGATCTGGGTTAGAATAGGTCTTCAGCAACCCATGCTTGTCGTAAGAGGCGACTAATGGGATCGGATGGTCAGGATTGCTGACTTGGTTGATGCATGTCATCATATCCAAATTGTGTGGATCGATACTCATGATGTCAGTCACTGGATTGTCTGTTCAAAACTGGATTATTAACTGACTGTGTCCTTAAACATGTTAAACAACAAACAATCACTGTCAGTCACAGTTCAGCTGTCAGGATCTGAGTTTGAATCCCAACTTTGGACACATGATATCAACCTCTGGTTTGCATGTCCCATGCCTGAATATTTAGCAGGATAATAGCTGAAATATTGTTGAGTTTGAATCCCACCTTGATTAGGATCCGTGGTCTGTCAGCACCATGTGTGTGCCCACCGTTCTCCACAGTAACTTATTGAAGCTGACACACTGGGATATTACCGAAATACTTCAAAGCTCTGTTGACCCCAACTCCCTAACTACAGGTTTGCAAGAAAATGTATTGAACCCTGCACATAAGCTGTAGGATTCTTGTGTTAGCTCTCAGTGTGTTTTGGTGTCTTGCAGGGCCATCACCTTCATTGCAATCATCGTCCTGGCTTGCTGTCCGAACGTCCGGCGACAGAGTCCCACCAACATGATTCTGCTTGCAGTGTTTGTAAGTTGTGGGGTACATTCTGCTTGGAATTTAGGTACCTTTGAGTTAGATTCGGGCTAACTGGCAGTCCTAAATTACTGAGAGAAATAGAAGTAAACATGGTTGTAAGCAATGAAGATTTACGGTATTCGTAGATTTTCGTCCTTCTCAGCACACATATAGAGTAATGCTGTCACTTTTATGAAAAGGTATCATCAATAACATTAATACCAGCACTTCCTCTCTGCATCTGAAGAAATTTTCACCTCAATGGACTAGTTTCCTGTTTGATGCATGGAACCTCTAGAAGAATATCACTTGACATACTGACAGAGCCTGTCAGTGAATTCAGGTCAAGAAAGCTGTATGGAAAGTGTATGTAATAACTTTATTAAACATGTTAAAGGCTGGATAGGAATATGTATACCATAGGGATGGGTATTGGAGGTTGAAAGGATTTCACAATATTTTGCGATGAACAAGGCAGTATTGTGATACGTATCACAATATATTGTATGATTCTAAATTTTGAATTCAAAAGCAATCTGACACATTAAGGTATGAATTGAAGTTTATTAATGGAACAGAACAAGATGCTGGTACAACATAATGTTGACTCAGTCAATAAATACGTAGCCATCTTCAGGCCCCAGATGCACACTCCGGGGCAGTGAAGGCATCTGGCCTGTACATAACATTAAACACATGATAAAAATAGCTGTTTAAAATCACCCGATATATCGAGCATGAAAAAATGATACTGTGATATGTATCGTGGAAAGTATGAACGTCAATTTACCGATATACCGATAATAACGCACACCCTTGTATACCATTTCCTGATTAAACATTCAGCTCAACTCCGCTTAGTGGATTCAAAGATGGATTTCAGGATGCAATCCCTCAATGACACAGAGTATTTTATTATGTTCCTGCCTGTTTTCCAAGTAATAATTTCATCCACTGGTAGCTGAATCATTCCTTTAGATACTCCATATTTAGATTGAAAATTATTTTTGGAGAACTTATGATCCCAGAAAATCCAACCCAGATTTGAAGTTATGATTATCCTTTAAGCACCATTCTTGTGCTTATGGGTTTCACAAAATGGTTATCGTCTTAAAACCTGCATCATTTTAGGCTTTCATTCCACATTTTGAAGGCACACTGTGAAGTAGCTGAAAACTGTTTATAGCAGTGTTAAGCTCACTCACTCACTCACTCACTCTCTCACTCACTCACTCACTCACTCACTCACTCACTCACTCACTCACTCACTCACTCACTCACTCACTCACACTCACTCACACTCACTCACTCACTCACTCACTCACTCACTCACTCACTCACTGAATTGAATGAGAGCTACACCAGGAACATATCTTGTGCATAACACACAATGTGACGTCAGTACTGATGAAAACTTCCACTTTTCCTCGGCTGAAACATTTGGTGGTCATCACCAAGACAAACAGTTTTCTTGACTGGCGAAACAGGAACTTTTACTATCTCTACATCAGCTAGTGATGATATTTCAGATTCCTTTCTCAATGAATAATTACAGATCACTTGGTGGTAGCTTAAAAATAACAAATGTTGACACTGCAAATTTAGTAAACATGTTTATAGTTACAATGGTTTGTAATTGTTTGAACCTTTTCCTCATCACGCCGAAGGCCTGGGTTCGATTCCCCACATGGTACAATGTTTGAAGCCCAATACTGGTGTTTCTTCCCCCCTATTCGTATAGCTGTAATATTGCTAAAAGATGCATAAAATCATACTCACTCATAACAAATCATCTCTTTGCACCATTGAAAACATTCATGGATATATGAGTATGAATGAGTCCTTGATATATTTGCAGACTATTTGTGAAGGATTCCTGCTTGGGACCGTTGCAAGGTGAGCCAGTTATTATTGTTGTGTTGTAGCACTGTGCTAGATACTCCCATCAACCTGACTTCACATTGCCTTCATGCATGGCTTTATCTGTTTATACTTGTGAATCACTGTTAATTTCTAGATCAGTGATTATCCTGTTTCCATAGTAACACAAGTAGGAATGCACAACATTGTATAATCTTTTGGTATTGAATGAATAAATACATGTAGTCAAATTGTAGTTTATTGTGGCTTTCAGATGGGGGAGTTGTTTCATGATTTTCTGACCTGTGATTCCCCATAGAAACTAAGGGTGTCTCAGGAATTTTTCTTTACTGTTTTGATTTAGGGACCCAATAAATCTTGATAATTTCCTTGGCTTTCATGTTAAGTTTTGATCCTTGCCATGGATTCCAAAACCCAACGTTGTTAAGCTTATAAGAGAATCCCAGCACTGATCGCCATGACATGAATGATTTTAACTGACCCCATTCCTTAAACCCTGCGCATTGCCATTTACCTGACACAGTGTTTACAAATTAATAACAGTAGCAGTAACTGTCAACTATGAGTAGTGATGTATCCCCAGTCATGCCAGATTCTGCTGGTGGTGGAACGCACATATTCATGCACACACACGTCACCTTGCTGTATCCTTTCACCCCTAGTTTAGAATCCAAGATATTTGTTTGCACTAATTTGTAAATATCTCAGACTTTGGTACCCTGGACTCTCCTCCCTCATTAAGCTGACGTTCTGTGAAATATTTCAAAAGTACTTTCCATATGTGACTGCCACACAATCGTGTTGATGTATTGCAGCCACTATGACCAGGATGCTGTCCTCATGGCTGTTGGTGTCACTGCTGTAAGTAGATCAGCTACATCACACTGTAAACTGTCTCATGAGACCTGTCTCATATGTAGGAAATCACCTGAGATTGATCATGTTTAGGTAATGGCAGTTCTAGCCTGTTTAGGATCAGGGAAAAAATATTCACACAGGATTATCATCATCATTATTTCAACATATCATCATATCGGCGGCGACGTCATTATTAGTTACCTTTCAGTACATTGAGTAACTCTTCAGTACATGTTCAGATGTTTTCTGATAATTTGTTGTTTTTCTTGCAGATTGTGACTGTGTCCCTGACCATATTTGCTTTCCAGACGAAGGTTAGTACTGTGTTACATATGGAATTATCTTTCATTTGAAATACATGTGTCTTCTGATTGCCTGGGATGAGTCTCGTGAAGATCCGGGGTAGAATAGGTCTTCAGCAACCCATGCATGCTGTAAAAAGCGACTATGCTTGTCGTAAAAGGCGACTATGCTTGTCATAAGAGCCAACTAGCAGGATCAGGATTGGGTGGTCAGGCTCGCTGACTGGGTTGATGCGTGTCATCGTATCCCAATTGCGTGGATCGATACTCATGTCAATCACTGGATTGTCTGGTCCAGACTGGATTATTTACAGACCGCCATCATATAGCTGGAATATTGCTGAGTGCGGCGTTAAACAACAAACAAACAAATGCCTGTGATGAGCACTAGTTATCACAAGCTCCATTAGACATAATAAAGCTGTTGTCTTCATCTTACAACACTATTGTATGATGCCTTGATTAGGGTTGCGACCGGGTACAAAAACTGAACTCGAGTACCCGGCGGACAATACCCGAACCGGACTCGAGTACCCATAGTTCAATGTTTTCCCACTTGTTTGTAATGCTTTTGTGAATAAAAGGTCATCAAACATCTATTGATCTATTCTAAGGTATTATGTTTTTTATTAAATGCCTGCATGGCTTACCTAAAACCACAAGTGACGCAGAATATCAAAGTAAATGTTCTTGTGTTTAAAACTTAGATGCTTTTTCATGGAACTCGTCGAACTACCTGCGTAGCTGATATATATGCCACAGAGACGGCATTTGGTCTTTTTCTTTGTGTCATCAAGGTCAAAATACGCCCAAACATTTGAACGTTTGTCCGCTTTGTCGTCCATTTTGAAGTGACTTACGAGTTATCTCCCCTGAACGGGTACTCTAGTCCTGAAAATTGGACTCGAGTCCTAGGCTACCCAACCCGTTATCGGGTACTCGAGTACCCGTCGCAACCCTAGCCTTGATTGTTGTTGTTGATATGTCAAAAGATTAAGAAATCTGAAGTGACAATTTGCAAACCCAAATTATTTGCCGGAGAAAATCAAAATATCACAACTTTAACTGCACTGCAAATGTTTAATCAGTGTCACTCTGAGCTTCCAAAGATTGAAGTCTTTCTTGTGTTTTTCAGTGGGACTTCACCATGATGGGTGGCATGCTGTTTGTCTTCCTCATCGTGCTGCTCTGCTTCGGTCTTCTGTGTGCAATCATCCGAAGCAAGGTATGCCAGAGACGATCATAAGTAACTGGATGCAGTTGCTTACTGTGTTCATATGAGCAGAGGGGGCAGTGGTGGCCAAGTCGTTGCAAGTCACTTCATGTAGAGTTGTGTCCCTTGGTCCAACCAGAAACCTATGATTGTGGGTTCAAATCCACTGTTTACAACATTTATTTTTGTAGGTTTGTCAGCACCATACCTGTACTTGTAGGTTTCGACAAAGTGGTAAACATCTAAGACTTGCATCACTTGGGTCTTTCCTCCCACGTCAAACTGACACACTGTGATATAACTGGAAAGCTGTTAAAAGCAATAGTAAACCAAACTCATTAATTCATTCATAGAAACAGAGGAAAATGATAAAATTTGTCCGCTGTTTTTATGATTTGAAAAACCTCAACGTCAGAAAGGGTTGATACACTTTTAATAAAACAAGCGAACAACGTTAACTTAAAGCAATGTCAATATGTAATATCTGTTTAAGTGACACCTGGGTACTTTAATTCATATTTTGCATTTAATCTAAAATAGGGATGTTACTGATGCAGATGTTGGTGTGAACCTGAACAATTTGCACCTTCAATCTCATCATTCCTCTGATTTATTGCCATTATGATTATAAATCTAATGTCTACCACACTTCATGATCTGAAAATAAAAGCCAAATATCCTTTGTGAATGTGTCTGTATAAAGACGTTCACCTGCTATGTTCCAGTATGTCACCCTGGTGTATGCCTGCCTCGGAGCCCTGCTGTTCTGTGCTGTAAGTAGTCTAGTGTCCTCACTGTTGTACCAGGGTACGTAGGCCCAGTCATCTGACACACCACCATTCACTGTGCACTCGTCCCCAATATTTGATACTTGTCAAGAGAGCTGACTAAATGGACTGTAATATTTACGGGCCATCCTGATATACTGTAGCTGGAATGTTGCTGACATCAGTGTGACACTGTATTCCCTCTCAATAAAATTAGGATTTGTTGGATTCAGTGTGTGACCTGGCTGGTTACAACTAACCAAACAACACTGATCCATGTTCATACTATCAATCACTGTTTTGTCAGGCCAAGATTATATGATATAAGTTACTATGACTACTCCCCATGTATTACTATTCCAGAACCTTACTGCCCATGTATTACTATACCAGAACCTTACTGCCCATGTATTACTATTCCAGAACCTTACTGCCCATGTATTACTATATCAGTACCTTATTCCACATGTATTACTATACCAGAACCTTACTGCCCATGTATTACTATTCCAGAACCTTACTGCCCATGTATTACTATTCCAATACCTTAATGCCCATGTATTGCTATTCCAGTAACTTACTGCCCATGTATTACTATTCCAGAACCTTACTGCCCAAGTATCACTATCCCAGTACCTTAATGCCCATGTATTACTATTCCAGAACCTTACTGCCCATGTACTACTATTCCACTACCTTACTGCCCGTGTATTACTATTCCAGAACCTTACTGCCCATGTATTACTATTCCAGTACCTTAATGCCCATGTATTACTATTCCAGTACCTTACTCCCCATGTATTACTATTCCAGAACCTTACTGCCCATGTATTACTATTCCAGAACCTTACTGCCCATGTATTACTATTCCAGAACCTTACTTCCCATGTATTTCTATTCCAGAACCTTACTGCCAATGTATTACTATTCCAGAACCTCACTGCCCATGTATTACTATTCCAGAACCTTACTGCCCATGTATTACTATACCAGAACCTTACTGCCCATGTATTGCTATACCAGAACCTTACTGCCCATGTATTACTATTCCAGTGCCCATGTATTACTATTCCAGAACCTCACTGCCCATGTATTACTATTCCAGAACCTTACTGCCCATGTATTACTATACCAGAACCTTACTCCCCATGTATTGCTATACCAGAACCTTACTGCCCATGTATAACTATTCCAGTGCCCATGTATTACTATTCCAGAACCTTACTGCCCATGTATTACTATTCCAGTACCTTACTCCACATGTATTTCTATACCAGAACCTTACTGCCCATGTATTACTATTCCAGAACCTTACTGCCAATGTATTACTATTCCAGAACCTCACTGCCCATGTATTACTATTCCAGAACCTTACTGCCCATGTATTACTATACCAGAACCTTACTCCCCATGTATTGCTATACCAGAACTTTACTGCCCACGAATTACTATTCCAGAACCTTACTGCCCATGTATTACTATTCCAGTACTTGACTCCCCATGTATTACTATTCCAGAACCTTACTGCCCATGTATTACTATTCCAGAACCTTACTGCCCATGTATTACTATTCAGAACCTTACTGCCCATGTATTACTATTCCAGAACCTTACCATGCTTACTGCCCATGTATTATTATTTCAGAACCTTACTGCCCATGTATTAATATTCCAGAACCTTACTGCCCATGTATTACTATACCAGAACCTTACTACTATTCCACTACCTTACTGCCCATGTATTACTATTCCAGTACCTTACTCCACATGTATTTCTATACCAGAACCTTACTGCCCATGTATTACTATTCCAGAACCTTACTGCCCATGTATTACTATTCCAGTACCTTAATGCCCATGTATTACTATTCCAGTAACTTACTGCCCATGTATTACTATTCCAGAACCTTACTGCCAAACTATCACTATCCCAGTACCTTAATGCCCATGTATTACTATTCCAGAACCTTACTGCCCATGTATTACTATTCCAGTACCTTACTGCCCATGAATTACTATTCCAGAACCTTACTGCCCATGTATTACTATTCCAGAACCTTACTACCCATGTATTACTATTCCAGAACCTTACTGCCCATGTATTACTATTCAGAACCTTACTGCCCATGTATTACTATTCCAGAACCTTACCATGCTTACTGCCCATGTATTATTATTTCAGAACCTTACTGCCCATGTATTAATATTCCAGAACCTTACTGCCCATGTATTACTATTCCAGAACCTTACCATGCTTACTGCCCATGTATTATTATTTCAGAACCTTACTGCCCATGTATTACTATTCCAGTACTTGACTCCCCATGTATTACTATTCCAGAACCTTACTGCCCATGTATTACTATTCCAGAACCTAACTGCCCATGTATTACTATTCCAGAACCTTACTGCCCATGTATTACTATTCCAGAACCTTACTGCCCATGTATTACTATTCCAGAACCTTACTGCCAATGTATTACTATTCCAGAACCTTACTGCCCATGTATAACTATTCCAGAACCTTACTGCCCATGTATTACTATACCAGAACCTTACTCCCCATGTATTGCTATACCAGAACCTTACTGCCCATGTATTACTATTCCAGTACTTGACTCCCCATGTATTACTATTCCAGAACCTTACTGCCCATGTTTTACTATTCCAGAACCTTACCATGCTTACTGCCCATGTATTATTATTTCAGAACCTTACTGCCCATGTATTAATATTCCAGTACCTTACTGCCCATGTATTACTATTCCAGAACCTTACTGTCCATGTATTACTATTGAAGAACCTTACCATGCTTACTGCCCATGTATTATTATTTCAGAACCTTACTGCCCATGTATTACTATTCCAGTACTTGACTCCCCATGTATTACTATTCCAGAACCTTACTGTCCATGTATTACTATTCCAGAACCTTACCATGCTTACTGCCCATGTATTATTATTTCAGAACCTTACTGCCCATGTATTACTATTCCAGTACCTTACTGCCCATGTACTACTATCCCAGTACCTTACTGCCCATGTATTACTATTCCAGAACCTTACTGCCCATGTATTACTATACCAGAACCTTACTGCCCATGTATTACTATTCCAGTACATTACTGCCCATGTATTACTATTCCAGAACCTTACTGCCCATGTATTACTATTCCAGAACCTTACTGCCCATGTATTACTATTCCAGAACCTTACTGCCCATGTATTACTATTCCAGAACCTTACTGCCCATGTATTACTATTCCAGAACCTTACTCCCCATGTATTACTATTCCAGAACCTTACTGCCCATGTATTACTATTCCATTACCTTACTGCCCATGTATTACTATTCCAGAACCTTACTGCCCATGTATTACTATTCCACTACCTTATTCCCCATGTATTACTATACCAGAACCTTACTGCCCATGTATTACTATTCCAGTACCTTACTCCCCATGTATTACTATACCAGAACCTTACTGCCCATCTATTACTATTCCAGAACCTTACTGCCCATGTATTACTATACCAGAACCTTACTGCCAATGTATTACTATTCCATTACCTTACTGCCCATGTATTACTATTCCAGTACCTTACTGCCCATGTATTACTATACCAGAACCTTACTGCCCATGTATTACTATTCCAGAACCTTACTGCCCATGTATTACTATTCCAGTACCTTACTGCCCATGTATTACTATTCCAGAACCTTACTGCCCATGTATTACTATTCCAGAACCTTACTGCCCATGTATTACTATACCAGAACCTTACTGCCCATGTATTACTATTCCAGTACCTTACTGCCCATGTATTACTATTCCATTACCTTACTCCCCATGTATTACTATTCCAGTACCTTACTGCCCATCTATTACTATTCCAGAACCTTACTGCCCATGTATTACTATTCCAGAACCTTACTCCCCATGTATTACTATTCCAGTACCTTACTGCCCATGTATTACTATTCCAGTACCTTACTCCACATGTATTACTATACCAGAACCTTACTGCCCATGTATTACTATTCCAGAACCTTACTGCCCATGTATTACTATTCCAGTACCTTACTGCCCATGTATTACTATTCCATTACCTTACTCCACATGTATGACTATTCCAGAACCTTACTGCCCATGTACTACTATTCCAGAACCTTACTCCCCATGTATTACTATTCCAGTACCTGGTGTTCGACACTCAGCTGATGCTAGGGGGGAAACACAAGTATTCTCTGTCACCAGAGGAGTACATCTTCGCCTCGCTCAACCTCTACCTGGACATCGTCAACATGTTCCTCTACATCCTCGCCATCATCGGCATAGCCAGAGACTGATAGCAACAACTTCAGCATGAACGCAGGTTGGACGACATTGGCATTTTCTATGGCAACCTAACCATGCCATGTTCTGTAGATGGAAAATGCGTTATCTCTGTAGATTGCTTCAGATTAACTTCAGTGCATGCACTATCTATCAAAATATGTTTGCTTGATAATCATGTTATCTTGGTTGCAGTTGTTTACAAAGATTTTTATTTTATCAGTTTTTTTCTTTTTATTGCAATCACATGAAAATAGCACAAAAGTGGTAATTATTTGTTTATCAAGATATTTTCTGTGAAAGTACCGTGGCAAGGTTTAAGATTATGGACTCTTCTGGGATCATTATACGCATGTTTATAATTGTTTTCTTTGATTTATTGTTTACAATTTTGTTTGCTATACATTGAAATTTGTTATTATAATGATCTTCTAGAAACTAGTCCCTACTGATGTTACAAAGGAGATGGAGAGTATTTATCGGATATATGTATCTTTCTCCTGTCATTGGCAAGGAATACATCTGATCAAGTCAGATTGTTTTAGCATGCACACTGGCTGTTGAAATTGGTTGGTTTGGTTGCACCCTACATATGGCCTCAGAGGTAGGAGGTCTGCAACAGTGAACTGTGACTGGTACACTACTATTATGAAACAAATCATCCATTTCCTCTAATGTACAGGAATAGAGCACTTGTGGTGGTACTGCAGTCCCTCTTTACCCTGGCTCACCAGCATGACTGGTCAGTAGCTAGTAACTTGTGTTTATGAACAGGTTGAATGCAGGTCACTAGCCCTACTATCTGGTGGATCTCACAGACACCTGAGTTCAGATTCTCTCTTCAGTGTGTAGGGAGGACATTGTGCATGACTTATGTGATGCAGTAAGTCATGTGGTACAAGGGGATGTTGTCTTTGGTGTACCAGCTGAGGACATATATCACATTTCATCACATTCAGTTCACCTCCTTTTCAAACAATAACATACACATTATTTCTGTTCTCGTATTCATGATAATGATAAAGTCCATATTTGATGTAAAGTCCATATTTGATGTAAAAGTCCATATTTGATGTAAGGTCCATATTTGATGTAAAGTCATGCATCAGCACTTCTGTGGTATGGGTGGCCCAGTCACCTGGGACGCCTCAATCTGCTGTGCAGAGTTGAATCTCTTCTATATGCCAGAAACCTATGATTGTGGGTTCGAATCCTGGTTCGACCCGATTATTTTTCTAGCTATGTCCTCACCAGACCAAAGCTCGTGGGTTTCTCCAAAGTGGTAAACATCTAAGACCTGCCTTATTTCAAGCTTTCCTCCAACTTAATTGCCCATGATCTGTCATTCTTATTAGAATCAACCTGACAGGCATGGCGACATATGAAATACTGTCAAAAGCAAGATTAAACCCTCAATCAAGTGTTAGATGATAGATACAAAATTGGAATTTTATCATTGTTTCTGCATTTAATATGCATCTCTGTATGCTGCCATGTACATACATGGGTTATATCATGATATGTTGTTATGCTGATACATGTTGACTGACGTATCATGACATTCAAATCCATATCATGTTACTGTGTACATACCCTATCTACTCAGCTCACTGCAGCCATTTTGACTGGAAACTGACATCAACAGTACACAGTAGTTAGGACTCCCGTCCGCAGAGAAGATCTGTGACCTTATGCCACCTTGAATGTTGATGTAGATGTATACTTATAAACAATTAAGGATCACCGATTCTTTCTTGTTAAAATATTTAATGTGTCATGACCTGATAGATTAACTATAGAAATATGAAAGTATGGTGTGATCCTGAACTTGTTTTGTGTTTTGAGTAGTACATGTCATAGCCTGTAGTCCCCAATGTGTTGTAACTTGCACACTATGTGTCAAGTATTTGAAAGGCATTAAGAAGTGGTACACATGAGGAAGAGAATTTATGGATGTCAACTTCTTTATTAGGAGGAACACAACGTTTCGGAGTATATACTTACTCCTTCATCATTCACCTGATGAAAGGTGAGGTGAAATGGGGTTTAACGTCGCGTCCAAGATTATTGAACTTATATAGCAATGTGCATGCACGTGTATGTATGTGTGTGGCTGCTTGTACTAGTCCGGACTGATGCCGATTTATAGTGCTAGCTCACTGAGATACCATGCCACAGTGTAACATGAATACCCCACTCAGACACAGTATACTGACTCCGAGCCGACCAGTCCTTGTTTTAGTGTCGAGCGCCTTAATGCCGAGCGCCAGACAGGGTAACAACAAGTACCATCTTTTAACGTCTTATGGCATGACGCGGTCAGGGATCGAACCCCGGGCCTTCTGCTCTCCGGGGAGGACGTTCTACCATTAGTCCACGGAGGCGGTCCCTGATGAAAGAGTAAGTATATACTCCAAAACGAGTTGACATCTATAAATTCTCTGCCTTACACTATGTGTCATCGATTGAACATGTGAGAGAACATGTTGAGTGCTTCAGGTGCATGTTTATATATCAGGTAACACAAGCAGGGAGGACAACAGGTTACACGCCAGGACATCCTCTTAACACCCTGGTAAGCTGAAACAGTTTCAGCCATTGTCATCCCTGCGCGGAAGATAACTCGTACGCTTGTACTTGATAAGACAGATCTAAAAACAAAGGACAAACAAGATAGTTGTCAGAATGAATGAACAGCCTTTCATTAACTTATATGATAGCATACCTACTGTTTGTGAACTGCGGGGGGGGTGTGAGTTAGAATTAGTCCCAGCAACCTAAGCTGATCGTAAGAGATCACATGGTCTGGTACGGTGACTTGGTTCATAGTGTTACCTCATACCCTGATCATGTTGATTGTTGCTCACAATATCGACCACTGCATTACTGTTGGGTCTTTTCCCAACACATTTGGTTTGAGGGAGTTGATTGGGATCATTTTATATTTCCATGGGGTCATGAGAACCTCCCATGTATTGCAGTATATATCTTTAATAATGATTATCATACATAAAACTTTATCACTTTTAATTTAATTTAATTTTATTAAATTTATATGATCATTGTCCTTTAATTAGTAATCAACATGTTTAAATATCATTGTGATTTACAAATATTTTTCATCATGAATAGTGCTGTATGGGAATACACCAACAAGGTATTCCATAAACAGGTTGTTCCGTTGCACTGCTGCATTCCATGGCTTGCTCCAATATGTGTTATCATGAAAGCGGGGATGGGGGGAGAGGGTAGGGAGGCCTAAGGTGCCGCAATTTGCTGTGCAGAGTCACATCTTTTGGGCACACCAAGAACCTATGATTGTGGGTTGGAATCCCAGTTCGACCAGATTCCAGATTTGTTTCTGTGTTTGTCAGCACCTTACCCATGCTCTTTGGTTGTAAAGTTGTAATCATATCAGACCTGCATCACTGCGAGCTTTCCTCCCACATGAAGCTGACATGCCATGATATAACTGGAATTCTGTTCAAAGTGGTGATAAACCCAACTCAGTCTCTCACTTACATGAACTAGGCCAATCACTGCAAAGGCTCATATCCACACCCACCATACCGAGTGGTAATCTGGCCTGGGAATATCAGGGCATGGACACTGAAACCTAATTGATCCAGACTTGTCAAGATATCGTATGAATGATTATTTTTAGGAATGTCTAGCTTGGATTCATTAATTTGGAAATTGGAAAATCTGGACAACTTAACTGAGAGCGGCATGGTCTGGATTGACAAGGTTTCAGTATGTATGGCCTATGTGTTTGAGGTGTATAGACGGGAGGGAGGATACTATTGGCTATTTCTTTCTTGGATGACGTGCTCGTAATTTTTGAAGTTGTTTCATGTTGTGAGTGTCAAGATGTGGGAAGTTTTTGTAAGTTTGTAGAACTGTTATCCATGACCGGTATTATGTCAGCATGTGTTTGTTACATGTGGTTTGAGTCTGATTCCCATGAGTTCGCTGGCATGATATGGCTGCAATGCTGCTTACCCCGGTATTCAGAGAAAAGCTTAGCTCAATCACACCTTCACAGCCATTGAAACAGTGGAATCATGTAGATATGTTCCGTAACTGTGCTTTTGTGTCATTTTGCTTGGTGAAAAACACTATCAATCTTGGCTTTAGGGTTGATCATGAATATCAAAGTGTTTGTCAGCCATGTTGACCAGATTGTCAAATATCATGTTCATCATGTTCATGCATGGGGCAATGGTTTTCTTTCACAGTTTGTTAAGGTCACAGCAAATTGTTTATTTGTTTGTTTTCTGTCACTTGAGCCCCTTCTCCAGCCACCTCCTCTAACATAGGGGCTTTGTTTTCAACAAACGGAGCAATTTTTTGTTGCCTTAACATCTTTTGTTTATTTTGAATGGTGCAATTATATCTGATACTCGTATAATTATTGTAATATACATCACTGTCATAGCGTATATGTGACATATTGGAATGTAGAAATCATTGGGTAACTGTAGTTGTATATATGCTGTAGTTCTTGCCTTTTGAATTTAGTGTAAGCTTATCCTCTTAACAGATAAGTTCTGGACTAATGTCTTCACATATTAGTGTAAAAGAATCCTCATGGCTATGTTCAAATTGTTTGATTTGGGTTAATGTGCTCCAGTTCCAAGATCTGTCAGGGACGGCTGGCCCAGTAGATCAGGTGCAGCAATACTCTGCAGAATTCCATCCCTTAGCAGAGCCAGGATCAAATGGCTCTGGGTTCAGATCCCAATTTGTATCCTCTATGATCCTTGGTCTGTCGTACTTGTGTTTGTTGGCTTCACTTTGAGTCAATGGTTTACCCCACATCAACTGACACATTGTGACATTACTGAATAGTGTTAAATACAACACCAGGCCCCAAAATGGTTCATGTTTGTTTCTTGTCTTGGATTGAGTTTATGGGATTTCTACATCTGGGCCCTGGTTCACAAAGTGATTGTAACATTACGACTGTCTCAAGTTAATACTTTAACACTGGCTTAAGACAGTCATAGAGATACTACCACTTTGTGAAACTGAGCCCAGGAATAGAAGTGAAACATGTTCAGAGTTACCTCCCCTGCATTTAATATGTTCAGAGTTACCGCCCCTGCATTTAATATGTTCAGACTTACCTCCCCTGCATTTAATCACATTCAGACTTACCTACCCTGCATTGAAACATGTTGACAGGGTGAAAAAGTGTCTGTGCTGACAAGTGGAGTTCAAGACCTTTTTGGGGCCTTTGATGTAAAAAATATCATAATAGTGATTTCTGTGACACCAGACACCTACCAGGTTAGATCTTCAATGATGGGTGTTGTCTACATTGATGTCTGTCACATGTGTAATATCACGCTCTTGTTAATTGCAGACATGGGTTAATTCAGTATTCATTTGTTGATTATATCCTTTCGTGTATCAGTATTTTCTCTACATTTAGACCTGGTGAAATGACATTGAGATTGAGATCTGTGGATGAACAATTTATTTCAAACTAGTATTAAGAGGGCAGTAGGGACAAAAATCACTTAGGTACTCAAGCAAGTTGAGTTGTAAACCGCTAGTCCTCCTTGAAAGGAGGACCACTCAGCGACACTCGTGGAAACTAAGGAAGTAAAGTTAAAACATGAAGTTTTGTGATATGAAGATAACAACAGTGAAATAGTTGTTGTAAATAGTACTAACACTACTTAAACAAATGTGTGTGAATCTCTTAAGGGAGTTGCCAAAGGTTAAGATTGTATGACAAGACTTTCTGTTGAGAACACACAAGTGACTTGTGAGTCTGCCCACACGAGTACTCAAGTAATTATTCCCTACTTGTTTCCTCAAAAAGAAAATAGCAAGTGCTGCTAGTCAGTCCACCAAGTATTTGTGCCTGTTAGTAATTTATGTATGTAAACAGATTAAGATCTGATGTTCAATAATAAATGAGAACCATCCACCCTGAAGCTGATTTCAGGAACTTTGTCAACCTTTTTGTTTCTACTTCAATGATGTGAGAGTACCGGTATACATATTCTAACTGTTGTTACTGTGGATGATGATGTGTTTATTGTGTGAATGTATACACTTGTTATGAAACTTCTATATGCGTCAATAAATTCTATGTATATCAGAGATTGAAGTTTGTTATTTATAGCCAGAATGAAGTTTGACAGATACAGATCCACTAGACAAAACTTGGTAAACATTCCCAGATCAATGGCAGAGAACTGACTGAATTGCCTCATTTTGGACCAATGTACAAGGGAGGAGGAGGACCTCACCGAGGGTTCAGACAGAACATACACTGCTGATTTAGACAGTAGTTCAGTTAAACCACAGCATGGCAGCTTGATGTGGAAGGAACGTCTGAAGTGAAGCAGGTCTCAGATGTTTACCACTTTGGTGAATCCAACAAGCATGGGTATGGTGCTGACAAACCTAGAAACATACTCCGGGAGAACAGGGATTTGAACCCATGATCATAGGTTTCTGGCACACCTAAGGGACACATCTCAGTGCCCACTGGGACACATACCACATGTACTTCATTTTAACAATTCAATGCTCCTCTGTAAAAAACCTCAACTTTATTGAGTCATTCATTAAAGACAAACATACTTCATAATAAAATAGCCCATTGTAATGAGTCGATCTCTTGGCACATCAACAAGCATCAATGTCATGTTATGCATGAGAATTCATAATGGAGAATAGAACATGAGAATATCAAATGGTTCTCCAAAAAACACCAACTTTGAAATAATAACTTGGCATACATTTTATGTTTCAAAATATAAATTTAGCTTTAGTGCTCTTGTTGTGAATTGTGAGTTTTCTGCTGGCCCGAGGTACATTATGAAACCTTGCAATAAACTGCTACACAAACACGACAGCTGTGCATGAAGAGTTGTTCTTGGAAAGACATACACATGATGGTGCATGTAACACTGGAAAAGGCCCAAGGTGACGCAGGCCATTGATGTTTACCACTTTGGTGAAACCCCCCAGCACAGGTATGATGCTGACAAACCAATGACATAACAAGATCTAACATATCAGTAGCAGATCCTGGCAGCAAAGGGACACAACTCTGCACAGCACCACCGTTGTGAAAGTCATAGACACATGTATAGTGCTGACAAAGCCTGGGTCATAACGAGATTCTAACACCACTAGCAGATCCTGACTGCAAAGGGACACAACTCTGAACAGCAAAATGTGGCATCTTAGACTTCCAGGCAGGGCATATGTATCACAAATGAACATGGTGCATGCAAGAAAGATCTTTTCTCGTGGTATGGTTTGGTGTCGTTCACAGGTTATAGAAGACTTACATGTGAATAACACAACTGGTCTTCAGTGTGAAAGTAAACCCCTTTTTACAACTCTTATATTCCACCACAGGTATAAACCTCATATCAGCTTCCTATTGGTTGTAATCATTTGTACCGATGTAACAAGTAGGGCTGGGATGGATAACTCGGGTACCTGGGTAGTAAATTTGGACTCGTCCCAGCCCTAGTACCAGGGCCGGGGTTGTAATACTACCAAAATACACAGTACAAGAAGTAATGATGTAATATGTACCAGGATACACAAAGATGAACACTTATATTACACATCAAAATGAGGTATTTTGTTTGATGATGACCTACAAGGAATACAAATATACATTCCATAAACCTGATCACCAGTTAGTTCATTTGACACAAAGAATGTCAGATGTGAAACCAATGAAAGTTATAAATTGTGTCAAAATTGAGATGAAACTTCATACAAGACATGACAAATTTATATTTACACATCACCTGAAACATACATATAGTTTTTCTTAAAACAAGCAGTTTTTGAATATGTAACAGTTCACATTAAAACAAGAGTCATCAAGGAATGACAACCACTTTCTCCCCCCTCCCCCGATGTGGTGCAATTTGTAATAGAGTTTGGCCACTTATACCCTACTTGGCTCATTGCCAGTGGATACCTTCAGTTCAGTGAAGTAACAAATACAGCTGTTCAGGATTTTCAAAAATTCCAAATCATCAAAAGGCACTAGTTCACCACTAGACTGATCTGTATAGCAAGTTTGAGCAAGAATTATTCAACGCTTCTGCTCTGGAACCGAAAACTGGATGGAGGACAGACAGACGAACATGCTGATTGCATGAGATTTTCAAAACTGGGTGACAAAAAACACCACAGAAACTCGAAACAAAAATTGAACAAAAGATTCACTGACGTTGCATAAAAAGCTCAAGTGTTAGGCAATGGCTGATAAAATATCAATGAATACAAGTTATTGCCACTGATAGTGGTATACAGATATTTGTAAACCCGTTCTTGTTTGATCACATTTGCCCTCAACCACACAATTTGATTGCCGTACATGCCTTTTTGTGAGTAAAGGGAGGTAAGTGGAATGTAAGAGTGACATATGACCATAAGCAGTTGTTAACCTCATGTTCTATGTGAGGTAGGTGTGAACACTGCAGACAGCTCCTCCTTTGAGTGCCCCTCGGGAACAGGGACGTCGATGACAATGGCAGGGTTGGTGGGTCGGTAACGTAACGTACACATGGAGGCGTTGATGAAGGTTGTTATCCCATCGGTAGTCAGTCCATAACCTGAAGACAGAAAGTATTTCTAAAAGGTTGTTATCCCATCGGTAGTCAGTCCATAATCTGAAGACAAAAAGTATTTCTAAAAGGTCCCATCGGTAGTCAGTCCATAATCTGAAGACAAAAAGTATTTCTAAAAGGTCCCATCGGTAGTCAGTCCATAACCTGAAGACAGAAAGTATTTCTAAAAGGTTGTTATCCCATCGGTAGTCAGTCCATAATCTGAAGACAAAAAGTATTTCTAAAAGGTCCCATCGGTACTCTGTCCATAACCTGAAGACAGAAAGTATTTCTAAAAGGTTGTTATCCTATCTGTACTCTGTCCATTACCTGACGATGGAAAGTATTTCTAAAAGGTTGTTATCCCATCGGTAGTCAGTCCATTACCTGACGATGGAAAGTATTTCTAAAAGGTTGTTATCCCATCGGTAGTCAGTCCATTACCTGACGATGGAAAGTATTTCTAAAAGGTTGTTATCCCATTGGTAGTCAGTCCATAACCTGAAGACAGAAAGTATTTCTAAAAGGTTGTTATCCCATCCGTAGTCAGTCCATAACCTGAAGACAGAAAGTATTTCTAAAAGGATGGCCGCTGATCCCTATTCAGAGAATTTAAGTTTTTCTATGATAAGAATTATAAAAATTGTATCTTTCCAGTTGAAAGAGGAAGGGGTTTAGTGTGCATTCTATTGTGCTCTTTTTATATACCATTTTCACACTTTTCTACAGAGGCATTTGCAGAGGCAGGTTTGGTAAACAAATATAAAATTTGGTCTGGTCTTATAATCCTTTTCTGAGAAAAAGGTTATCAGGGTGAGACATTTAAGAAAAAAGTAAATACCGGTAAGACATGTTTTCATATCTCAAGTAAGGGAGGCTACTCTAAACTAATTCTCTACCAATCAGATTGTGTGTTTCTTGAGCCCACTTGTAATGGTGGTAAACAAGGTGGGAACAATTAAAAGAACAAAATCAAGTTTTGTTTTGGCACAATGTAATTAGTTGTGTTTGCCATTTCTCCTTGCTTTATGTCAAGTTACTTAGTGTTAAAGTCTGTCAACCTTATCAAGGAGCATAACAGTCTTGACTGACAATAACTTGTCACTCTTAGCTCTTGAACAAAGCGAAAATCAAGAATGTTCCGATAGGAATAGTTTGTACCTTCATGAATGTGGCCATAGACATGATACTTTGGTTTCACTCGTTGCTGGATGGTGTTCAGCAACTCCAGACATCCAGCTCTGTCATTGGTTAAACACAGGTCACCTCGACCTGCAGAAAAAACACAGTATATATAATATACAGAGTTCTTCTGGAACCCCAGGGTACATACCTAGAGGGGTACATGAGACATGAGGGTACATACCTAGAGGGTACATGAGTCATCAGGGTACATACCTAGAGGGGTACATGAGTCATCAGGGTACATACCAAGAGGGGTACATGAGTCATCAGGGTACATACCTAGAGGGGTACATGAGTCATCAGGGTACATACCTGGAGGGGTACATGAGTCATCAGGGTACATACCAAGAGGGGTACATGAGTGACAGGGTACACACCTAGAGGCGGGTACATGAGTCATCAGGTCACATATCCAGAGGGGTACATGTGTCATCAGGGTACATACCAAGAGGGGTACATGAGTCATCAGGGTACATACCAAGAGGGGTACATGAGTCATCAGGGTACACACCTAGAGGGTACATGAGTGACAGGGTACATACCTAGAGGGTACATGAGTCATCAGGGTACATACCTAGAGGGTACATGAGTCATCAGGGTTCATACCATGAGGGGTACATGAGTAATCAGGGTACATACCCAGAGGGGTACATGAGTCATCAGGGTACATACCTAGAGGGGTAAATGAGTCATCAGGGTACATACCTAGAGGGTACATGAGTCATCAGGGTACATACCTAGAGGGGTTACATGAGTCACCAGGGTACATACCTAGAGGGGGTACATGAGTCACCAGGTTACATACCTAGAGGGGGTAACATGAGTCACCAGGGTACATACCTAGAGGGGTACATGAGTAACCAGGGTACATACCTAGAGGCGGGTACATGAGTCACTAGGATACATACCTAGAGGGGTACATGAGTCACCAGGGTACATACCTAGAGGCGGGTACATGAGACATCAGGATACATACCTAGAGGCGGGTACATGAGACATCAGGATACATACCTAGAGGCGGGTACATGAGTCATCAGGTCACATATCCAGAGGGATCACATGAGTCATCAGGGCACATATCTAGAGGGGTACATGAGTCACTAGGATACATACCTAGAGGGGGTACACGAGTCACCAGGGTACATACCTAGAGGCGGGTACATGAGTGACAGGTCACATACCTAGAGGGGGGTAAATGAGTCATCGGGGTACATACTTAGAGGGGGTTACATGAGTCATCAGGGTACATACCAATAGGGTACATTAGTCACCAGGGTACATACCTAGAGGGGGTTACATGGGTCACCAGGTCACATACCTAGAGGGGGTACATGAGTCACCAGGGTACATACCTAGAGGGGGTACATGAGTCACCAGGGTACATACCTAGAGGGGTACATGAGTCACCAGGGTACATACCTAGAGGAGTACATGAGTCATCAGGGTACATACCTAGAGGGGTACATGAGTCACCAGGGTACATACCTAGAGGGGTACATGAGTCACCAGGGTACATACCTAGAGGGGTACATGAGTGACAGGGTACATACCTAGAGGGGTACATGAGTGACAGGGTACATACCTAGAGGGGTACATGAGTCACCAGGGTACATACCCAGAGGGGTACATGAGTCATAAGGGTACATACCTAGAGGGGGTACATGAGTCACCAGGGTACATACCTAGAGGGGGAAAGCGAGACATCAGGGTACATACCTAGAGGGGTACATGAGTGACAGGGTACATACCTAGAGGGGGGCCGTGAGTGATGACGATGTCTGTATCCGAGGGGATCAAGTTCCACTTGTCAAGGATCGGCTGTCCTCGAGCTATGTTAAATCCCATGAAGCAGAACTCAGGTACCCTGTGAACATAGCGACCATTTCAACCGACACACTATGGAAATATAGGATCAAATATTGTTTCTATCTGTGGCATTCTTCCTATCAATGGAAGAACTTAGAAAGACATTGCCACAAACATCCTGCTAGTCCAGTTATGCTTGTTCTTATCTGACGCTGCTTTATTCCAGCAATATCCTGCGAGGTATATCCTGCGAGGGACACCAGATTATGGGCTTGACACATTGTAGCCATGTAGGGAATCAAATCCAGGTCTAGGGTGTGATGAGTGAAGGCTTCAACCACCAGGGTACCCCGCCATCCCCAACTGACGAAGGATAGCACAGGTCCCAAAGAGCAAAGACAGTAAATGGTGAAACTAGAATCACAAGAATGAAGCAGTCGGCATGTCGATATGATGTTGTTGTGTACAGTGGCTTTGAAAAAGAGTTTTCTAAGTTCCGTGTTGTCGGACGAAGACACATGACAATGTCAAGGTGATCTAAAACACAAACACCAAAGGCTTTTTTCACCTACCATGGAGCTCCATAGACCTTGATACCACAAATGTCTACACTGCTGTCCTCTAGGTAGACACAATTCGTCAACAGCTCCTTAGACGAACTAACGCTGTGGTCCTGAATATATTTTTCATATTTTGTGTCAGTAATATTAAAGTTGTCACAGAGTTCATCCCTGCTGTTCCGTACTTTGTTTTCATCCAGGGTCATGTCATGGTTTCCTGCTACGACCACCTTGACCTTATGTGGTAGAGTTCCTGTAACCATGGTAACCACACTTCAAACTTCAAATGCAAACATTTTTTCTGTTTCAATGGAAATTGAAAGTACTGTATCATCATTTAACATGTTAATGTGCAAAGTTGACTTTCATTTGATTGGACAATTTGAAATATGAGTTGCTTTGTAGCTCCTACATGCTCCTACATTGAACATGATGGAGACAAATAAAGGTAGTATAGTATCAGATAAATAAAATGGATCACAGATGTTTGTCACTTTGCTGAATCCCACAAACATGGGTAAAGTGTTGGCAAACAATAACCAGCGTTTAATCGTTGCTCACAATATCAATCACTGGATTATCTGGTCAAAACTCAATTATTGACAGGCCATCGTCATGTAGCTGAAATATTTTTTTTGAGTAAAGCATCAAAAACAACAAACATGATAAAAACACAAACCAACATGAAGAACTCTATTTGTCAATATGTACAAAATACCTACCCAGGAAGTGATTGAACTTGTCAATCTGAGCTGGCGTCCCAGTCATTGTGAAGTCCCCAGCATGGAGCAGAACGTCTCCCGGAGGTACGAGGCCCGGGTCACACTCGACCTTGTTGTGGGTGTCCGAGATGCACACAAACCTCACACAGTCAGCGGGCACTGGGCTGGTGGGGTCGAGGGGCGGCACACACTCCACCTTCTGCTTCACACTCAGCTTACTCCAGGCGTACACAGTGTTGTGAGACAACTTCGGCTGCACCGTAATCTGGCTGTTGTCTGATGAGATGAGCATAAGGAAGACAAGTTGACAAATCATATGCAGTGTTAAAAATTGAGGGGGGTCTTCAGGTCCATGCTGTTTATTTATGTATGTTTTTATATTTATCTAGGGACTCACTAAAACTTATTTTCTAACATTTGTGCTACTAGGTCTCAAGACTTTGACTTTCATATATAATTTCAAACACTAATTTGACATGTAAATAAGTAAGTTGCCTCCACATTGATAAGAGGTGAGGTGGAATGGAGTTTAACGTTTCATCCCAGATTATTGCACTTATATAGCGACATGCATGCACGTGTGTGTGTGTGTCCGCTTGTTCCAGGAAAGACCAATTTATCATGTGTTAATAGTGCCAGCCCACTGAGATACCATGCCACAGTTTAACATGAATATACAACTCAGACACAGTTTTCTGACTCCGAGCGGACCAGTCCTTGTTTTAGCCCCTTTATGCCAAGCGCCAGATAGGGTAACAACATGTACCATCTTTTAACGCCTTTTGGCACAACCCTTGACCATGTTGACCTTCTGCTCTACCACTAGGCCACGGAGGTGGTCCACAGTGATAACAAGATACATGGGTCAAGTATTACTAGTGGAAACAATCATGATGATTGGCCTGGCGAAAGACTAAGAAATGGAGGGTCATGTTTGAGTACTTGAAACAATGGGACCATTCCTGAATAATTATAATATCTATCGTTTGGAAAGCGTATTGCACTATACCAGTAGACGGAGAATACCATCCAGTCTTATTCCTATATTACTCATTGACATTTTAAGAGAGTAAATGAAGAAAAGTCTTATGAAATTACATCCCTACAGAAAAACTTCACTGACATAATGCGTTCAATTTGTGACATCATGAACAATGAACGACAGCATATGCTTTTTCTCAACAATGAAGCATTATGATGTCATATGGCTTCAATTGACCAATGAGCATTGTGATTGGCTAAAATGCACCTGTACAAATATAGGAAAGTTATTACACACAATCAATCTACCTTTATGTGTACTGGTAATATGTAACAAATAATCCATGTCAATAAACTTCACATAATTATAAAATGAAAGGTGTCACCAATTACTCATTTAGTCATTACCTGAAGCCATGCTGTGTGTTCTGTGGCGTCACTCAAGTGCTGTTATGAGCTAATGTCCTGTCAGATATGTAGATACTACATACGTAGGCCTGTCGACGTGTGATTCTGTTTCGTAGTTCTCGATAAACAATAGAGCTGCCAATGTTGTCATGATACTATATATATACTATACACGATACTAAATATAGAACCTTATGCAAATAGGCAGCATAACTTGAATACCGATTGAAAACTCGTTAATTCCAACTGACATGCAATAGATACAAAACATTGCATTAGATACAAAACAAATTGTTGAAATAGTACATCAAAGCCTGATCTCCGATGACTGACGTGAAATGGGAGAAAAATGTCGTTACACGAGACTGGTGACCAGGACGGTCACAACAGTCTGTTGTACTTATCAAGGGAGATAACTGACACAACTCCCAACACTGAAGTTATTTTGAATGATGAACGGAGCTTTAATGGTAACTGGCTCGAAAGAGAACAAACTACCCAGGAACTAGAGGGATAAACAATAATTAATTCTGATATGGAGTGAGTGAATTCAGTTTATAGAGAAATGTAAAGAGAGACAATTAAGAAACTATGTATGAAATGTCCGCCATACAGAGATACTTCACTGAAGGCAGCCTGTTGTTCAGATGACGTATGATGATAATGTAATCAATTTGCGACAATAAATGACGTCCAATTATCGTATATATCGTATATATTTTTTCAACAATGTCAAGAAATGTTATGTCATATGGCCTCAACTGACAAATCAGCACTGAGAATCTATAAAATGTATATGTGCAAATATCGGGTCATTCTACCCTCATGTGAAATATGTACCATCGTTGACACATTGCCGACGGCACTGTTGACGTCATGTTTATGACAATAGTAATGAGACCCGTGAAGATCCGGGGAAGAATAGGTCTTCAGCAACCCATGCTTGCCGTAAAAGGTGACTATGCTTGTCGCAAGAGGCGACTAACGGGATCGGGTGGTCAGGCTCGCTGACTTGGTTGATGCATGTCATCGATCCCAATTGCGTGGATCGATGCTCATGTTGTCAATCACTGGATTGTCTGGTCCAGACTCGATTACTAACAGACTGCCGTCACATAGCTAGAATATTGCTGAGGGCGGCGTTAAACAACAAACCAACCAACGACAATAGTTATGCCCTAGTATATAACACATAGAGGCCAGGATATCGGTCATATTCTCACTCTCACTGAGCATTATAAATTTTGTTCATGCTGATTGGCTAGTTCACGCCAATTGTTCCATTGTATATTATTTGCAAAGCAGCCCATATCAATGTGTCGTAACGCATTGTCACAAATAATTGAAGTTGATGTCATCCATTGTTCATGACGTCACAGAAAATGTTTTGTGACGTCCATCAAACAATGGATTGACTGAGCTGGTGTCTCCACATTAAATTTCATCGGGAAACACATTTTCTATATTTCACTAAGAAAAAAAAGACGGTGTACTGTTGTGACTCACACCTGGCAATACGGATTATCTGCCCCTTGTGAAAGGCTCGGAACTTTCAAAAGAATATTTTCGGGACAGATAATCTGTAATTCATTGTAGTATGTTGTTTATGGATTGGGTGTCATTGTTGACTTCACTTCGACCCTGTTAATAGCCTCAATGTTTTCAATGTATTTGTTGGTAGTACACACTATGATACTGTGTTTTCAATATACATGTTTCGACCGAAGACTGAAATTGAAATATACCAGCGGAAAATAAGTTATGGTGCATGATTGTCTATCACTGTAAATAATAGACGCATGCTTTTAAGAACGATTTTGCAAGAGAACACACAATAAATTAATGTGCATAACGACGGTGACCACATGTCCTCTGTGAACGTCATCTCGTGAGTTCAATTCCCAGAGTATTGATTATAACATCCGACCACGACGTCCAGCCATACGCCCAATTGTATTTCATCGTCACCGTCAGGCACGTCTAGCTTGGTGTAGACTGCATCTGAGTGTCAGCACACCATACTGCGACAGTCTACTGTTCACAGTTGACCGAGGTGAGTCCAGGATTCACCCGGGCAGGTCTGATGTTCGGGCAAGCGCCTACAGACGTCCAGGAGAACGTTTTAGCGACGTTTGCGTTATTCAACGTCGTCAGATTTGGGGTGGAAGTATAATGGTATGCTGTGGCACCTTATGGGAGAACACAACTCATCATTGATGATGGCAATTTGCAGTATTGACTTTGTAACGAAACTGTTGAATACCCAGTTTATGGCTCATACATCGGAATTTACATAATATGCGGATAATAGGACAAGAGCATTAGACAAAAAATAACAACCTGGAAAAAAGTAGTAGAAAGCTGAATTTTTATGGAGACCTTCAGAAAGTCACACTGATAACCCTGGCATAAAGTTCCCCCTGGTGGCATTTTCAAACTGGCCGCCATTATTTTTGAAAATAATATGACATTTTGAAGTTTTACATTCATGATATCATTACAATATATCAAATGAGACCCATGAAGATCCGGGAAAAGAATAGGTCTTCACCAACCCATGATTGCCACAACAGGCGACTATGCTTGTCGTGAGTGCGACTAACGGGATCGGGCGGTCGTATCCCAATTGCGAAGATCTATGCTCATGTTGTTAATCACTGGATTGTCTGGTCCAGGCTCGATTATTTACAGACCGCCGTCATGAAGCTGGAATATTGCTGGTTGCGGCGTTAAACAACAAACACACATATAATGAATGCTCTTTTATACGCTTTCACACAATACTTGATTCAACCTTGTGGTATAATTAGGATTTGTTTTATATGCATTTGAAGAATTATTTATTTATTTTTTGTGTGGAATACCTGGTTATAGTCAGGTTGCATAATGATAAAAACAATCTATGAAAAAGAAGGTTGTAGTCCTGAATTTGCAATACTTTAATCACATTGATAAACAGTAGAAAACATCCCCTTGTGTTAATACAAGAGTTTTAATACTTTCGTACATAATAGTAGGATAGCCAAGTACTATTCAACTCAATCATCTGGTGTTGTTCATGAGCTGCTGCAAAGTAGTTAACAGTTATGTCCACTTGGAGTGAGTGAGTGAGTATGGTTTTACGCCGCTTTTAGCAATATCACGGCGGGGGACACCAGAAATGGGCTTCACACATTGTACCCATGTCGGGAATCGAACCCGGGTCTTCGGCGTGACGAGCGAACGCTTTAACCACAAGGCTACCCGACCGCCCCTATATGTCTACTTGGAGCAATATATGTACAGGTGCATAGTATTATGGATCACTATTATGAATAATTTAGTGATTGAAGTGTTGTAGAAGTTTGACCATTCACATCATTTTGTATCTCGATAACAGAAGCCTTTTTACAAATATAACCACTACACCCGTGCATGGGAAAGTGCACTCCACGCCTGCTTTGTCGCTACATTGTTTCCGCATCCCTGCCTTGCAGGCACAAAATATCACTTTCAGGACTTTCAGAGTAGCAACAGGTCTGTCATTCTATTATATTGTTCATGAGCTGCTGCAAAGAGGTTAACAGTTGTGTCCATTTGGGGCAGTATATGTACAGATGCATGTCGGGGGTCGAGGTATGTGAACCTACGCCGCCTTATATCTGCCTGTCGACCAAGATCGTTTGTTTCACTAATATCTGTCTACGTCAATCGAATTGGTTGATATTCTGAGTAGTTTGGCATTTGCAGATGAATATATGCACTTCTATATTGTTGAGTGCGGCGTTAAACAGCAGACAAACAAAACTTAAATTGTGATCAAATGATAATATTTATATCCGATTAAGCAACTGAAAAAGTTAACTGATAAACTTGCATAACAGTAACAAATCATATTCACTAAAAAAATATCCAGTTTAATTGCTTTTTGTGTGCAGCATTAAGCAACAAACAAAACAGTAATGGTGTCGGCCGATATTGTGCGTGATGGTATATACTGATAGTGATGGCAGAAATTTACGGTGGAGGTTACTTGAAATTGGCGATGCTCAATTTGGTGCTCTAGTTTGGACACTGCATATATGTAAGATTATCACATTATGTGTTCTGCTAATGGCTGTAACCTCTTGTACGAATTCTAGTGCCATAATTGGTGGGAAGTTTCATCTTCATTGACCGGTGCTTGTGAAACGATGAGCATAAAGTACGACCCATGGTGATCCAGGTGATGGAATAAACACTGCTGGGGAGTCGTGCAGGAAGCATCGGTACTGTAGGCCCCCATCATGAGGTTGTCAATAGCTTTCGTTACGGGTGGTCCATCTTTGGTTTCTGGTTGTCTTAGCCTAGTTTTAAGTGATAAGGCTTAATTTATTGAATATTTATATGTTTTTAATTTTTTGTAAGGTTTGTTTTATTCTAAACCTGATATACCTTACTGTTTTACTGTCCTTTGTCGACAGATGTTACCCTGTTCTCATCGCTATACGGCTGTAATATTACCGATGCGATGACATTGTTTAACTCATTCACTCTGAGATCCTAGAGTGCATTTGAGAAAATTTTACAGCATGGTCAAAGTTCAAAAGACGAATAAAAACGTGGAGAAAATGGAATATATGTGTTGAATCCCACCCATGACTATATATATACCTTTGATGTAATTTTGAACAGGCTCATGAATGCATGAATACTTGAGTATGGGAAATCTGTGAAACCAGTTGATATTTAGTAACTGTAGGTACCTTCTTGTGTGCAAGGTGACGCAGGTCATTGATGTTTACCACTTTGGTGAAACACCCCAGCACAGGTATGGTGCTGACAAACCAAGGTCATAACAAGATGTAACACAACTCTGCACAGCACCACCGTTGTGAAAGTCATAGACACACGTGTGGTGCTGACAAAGCCTGGGTCATAACAAGATTCTAACACCACCAGCGGATCCTGACAGCAAAGGGACACAACTCTGAACAGCAAGTTGTGACATCTTAGACTTCCAGGCAGGGTATGCCCCTGATATGTATCACAAATGAACATGGTGCATTCGAGGAAGATCTTTTCTGGTGGTATGGTTTTTGTCGTTCACAGGTTGTAAAAGTCTTACATGTAAATAACAAAACCGGTCTTCAGTGTGAACGTGATCTCACTTTAATACTCATATATTCCACCACAGGTATAAACCTCACATCAGCTTGCTATTGGTTGTAATCATTTGTTCCGATGTAACAAGTAGGGATGGATAACTCGGGTACCCGGGTAGTAAATTTGGACTCGTCCCAGCCCTAGTAACAAGCCCCGGGTTGTAGTACTACCAAAATACACAGTTCAAGAAGAAATGTTACAATATGTACCATGATACACAAAGATGAACACTTATATTTCACATCAAAATGAGGTATTTTGTTTGATGATGACCTTCAAGGAATTCAAATATACATTCCATAAACCTGATCACCAATTAGTTTATTTGACACAAAGAATGTCAGATGTGAAACCAATGAAAGTTATAAATTGTGTCAAAATTGAGATGAAACTTCATAAAAGACATGATAAATTATTTATATTTACACATCAGCAGCGGATCCTGGCAGCAAAGGGACAAAACTCTGTACAGCACCACTGTTAAAGTCTTAAACACACGTATGATGCTGATAAAGCCAGGGTCATAATGAGATTCAACATCCCCAGCAGACCCTGGTAGCATAGCGCCACTGCAGTGAAAGTTAAAGACACATGTATTCTGCTGACGGGGTCATGAGATTCTAACACCACCAGCGGATCCTGGTAGCAAAGGGACACAACTCTTCACAGCACCAGTGTTGTGAAAGTGATAAACAAGTTATTGCTACTGATGGTGGTATACATATACTGTTCTTGTTTGATCATATTCGCCCTCAACCACACAATTTGATTACAGAAATGGCTACATGATTGTCGTAAACACCTTTTTTTGTGAGTAAAGGGAGGTAAGTGGGAATGTAAGAGTGACATATGACGTGCAGACAGAATGTCCATAAGCAGTTGTTAACCTCATGTTCTATGTGAGGTAGGTGTGAACACTGCAGACAGCTCCTCCTTTGAGTGGCCCTCGGCAACAGGGACGTCGATGACAATGGCAGGGTTGGTGGGTCGGTAACGTAACGTACACATGGAGGCGTTGATGAAGGTTGTTATCCCATCGGTAGTCAGTCCATAACCTGAAGACAGAAAGTATTTCTAAAAGGTTGTTATCCCATCGGTAGTCAGTCCATAACCTGAAGACAGAAAGTATTTCTAAAAGGTTGTTATCCCATCGGTAGTCAGTCCATAACCTGAAGACAGAAAGTATTTCTAAAAGGTTGTTATCCCATCGGTAGTCAGTCCATAATCTGAAGACAAAAAGTATTTCTAAAAGGTTGTTATCCCATCGGTAGTCAGTCCATAACCTGAAGACAGAAAGTATTTCTAAAAGGTTGTTATCCTATCTGTACTCTGTCCATTACCTGACGATGGAAAGTATTTCTAAAAGGTTGTTATCCCATCGGTAGTCAGTCCATAACCTGAAGAAAGAAAGTATTTCTAAAAGGTTGTTATCCCATCGGTAGTCAGTCCATAACCTGAAGACAGAAAGTATTTCCAAAAGGTTGTTATCCCATCGGTAGTCAGTCCATAACCTGAAGACAGAAAGTATTTCTAAAAGGTTGTTATCCCATCGGTAGTCAGTCCATAACCTGAAGAAAGAAAGTATTTCTAAAAGGTTGTTATCCCATCGGTAGTCAGTCCATAACCTGAAGACAGAAAGTATTTCTAAAAGGTTGTTATCCCATCGGTAGTCAGTCCATAACCTGAAGACAGAAAGTATTTCCAAAAGGTTGTTATCCCATCGGTAGTCAGTCCATAACCTGAAGACAGAAAGTATTTCTAAAAGGTTGTTATCCCATCGGTAGTCAGTCCATAACCTGAAGAAAGAAAGTATTTCTAAAAGGTTGTTATCCCATCGGTAGTCAGTCCATAACCTGAAGACAGAAAGTATTTCTAACAGGTTGTTATCCCATCTGTACTCTGTCCATTACCTGAAGACAGAAAGTATTTCTAAAAGGTTGTTATCCCATCGGTAGTCAGTCCATAACCTGAAGACAGAAAGTATTTCTAACAGGTTGTTATCCCATCTGTACTCTGTCCATTACCTGAAGACAGAAAGTATTTCTAAAAGGTTGTTATCCCATCGGTAGTCAGTCCATAACCTGAAGACAGAAAGTATTTCTAAAAGGTTGTTATCCCATCGGTAGTGTCCATAACCCGAAGACAAAGTATTTCTAAAAGGATGACCGCTGATTATATTCAGAGAATTTAAGTTTTTCTATGATAAGAATTATAAAAAATTGGATCTTTCCAATTGAAAGAGGAAGGGGTTTAGTGTGCATTCTATTACGCTTATTTATAGGATATGATTGGCAGGTTCAGTAAACAAAAATATCATTTGGTCTGGTCTCATTATACTTTTCTGAAAAATGTTATCAGGGTGAGAACTTCCCCTTTTTTTCCAAATTGCGAAAAACAACACACAATCTGCATTCCCGCTGCAAAAGTAAATAGTACAATTAAACAGCCTCGATGTTTATATTTCAAGTAAGGGAGGCTACTCTAAATTAATTCTCTACCAATCAGATTATGTGTTTCTTGAGCCCACTTGTAATGGTGGTAAACAAGGTGGGAACAAAAGAACAAAATCAAGTTTTGTATTCGTACATTGTAATTAGTTGTGTTTGCCATTTCTCCTTTATGTGAAGTTACTTAGTGTAAAAATCCGTCAACCTTATCAAGGAGCATAACTGTCCTGACTGACAATAACTTGTCACTCTTAGCTCTTGAACAAAGCGAACATCAAGAATGTTCCGATAGGAATAGTTTGTACCTTCATGAATGTGGCCAAAGACATGATACTTTGGTTTCACTCGTTGCTGGATGGTGTTCAGCAACTCTAGACATCCAGCTCTGGCCCTGTCTATAGTCCGGTCACCTCGACCTGCAGAAAAAAACACAGTTTAATAGACAGAGTTCCTCTGGAATCCCAGGGTACATACCTAGATAGGGGTAAATGAGTTATCAGGGTACACACCTAGAGGGGTACATGAGTGACAGGGTACATACCTAGAGGGGTACATGAGTCACCAGGGTACATACCTAGAGGGATACATGAGTCATCAGGGTACACACCTAGAGGGGTACATGAGTCATCAGGGTACATACCTAGAGGGTACATCGGTCATCAGGGTACACACCATCAGGGTACACACCTAGAGGGGTACATGAGTCATCAGGGTACATACCTAGAGGGGGTACATGAGTCATCAGGGTACATACCTAGAGGTTACATGGGTCATCAGGGTACATACCTAGAGGGGTACATGAGTGACAGGGTACATACCTAGCAGGAGTACATGAGTCATCAGGGTACATACCAAGAGGGGTACATGAGTGACAGGGTACATACCTAGCAGTGGTACATGAGTCATCAGGGTACATACCAAGAGGGGTACATGAGTCATCAGGGTACATACCTAGAGAGGGGTACATGAGTCATCAGGGTACATACCAAGAGGGGTACATGAGTGACAGGGTACACACCTAGAGGGGTACATGAGTCATCAGGGTACATACCAAGAGGGGTACATGAGTGACAGGGTACATACCTAGCAGGGGTACATGAGACATGAGGGTACATACCTAGCAGGGGTACATGTGTGATAGGGTACATACCTAGCAGGGGTACATGAGTGATAGGGTACATACCCAGCCTGGGTACATGAGACATGAGGGTACATACCAAGCTAGAGGGGGTACATTGTCATCAGGGTTCAAACATTGAGGGGGTACATGGGTCATTAGGGTACATACCTAGCAGGGTTACATGAGACATGAGGGTATATATCTAGAAGGGGTACATGGGTGACCGGGTACAAACCTAGAGGGGGTCCGTGAGTGACAGGGTACATACCCAGATGGGGTACATGAGACATCAGGGTACATATCTAGAGTGGGTACGTTGTCACCAGGATCTATAGCCAGAGGGGGTACATGGGTCATCAGGGTACATACCCAGCGGGATAAATGAGACATCAGGGTACATATCTAGAGGGGGTACGTTGTCACCAGGATCTATAGCCAGAGGGGGTACATGGGTCATCAGGGTACATACCTAGCGGGGTAAATGAGACATCAAGGTACATACCTAGCGGGGTAAATGAGACATCAGGGTACATACCTAGAGGCGGGTAAATGAGACATCACGGTACATACCTAGCGGGGTACATGAGACATCAGGGTACATACCTAGAGGGGTACATGAGTGACAGGGTACATACCTTGAGGGGTACATGAGTGACAGGGTACATACCTAGAGGGGGGCCGTGAGTTATGAGGATGTCTGTATCCGAGGGGATCAAGTTCCACTTGTCAAGGATCGGCTGTCCTCGAGGTAAGTTAAATCCCATGCTGCAGAACCGAGGCACCCTGTGAACATAGCGACCATTTTAACCGATACACTATGGAAATAGGGGATCAAGTATTGTTTCTATCCGTCAAATATTTTAGGTCATATACATGTGGCATACTTCCTATCACTGGAAGATCTGAGCATTATCTCCCCAAACATCATGTTTGTCTAGTTACCCTCATTCTAATCCGACTGTAAGGGTGAACCCGAGACTTAAATTTGGCGTGACCATTGAACGCTTCAACCACCAGGCTACCCCGCCGTCCCCAACTGACGAAGGATAGTACAGGTCCCAAAGAGCAAAGACAGTAAATGGCGAAACTAGAATCACAAGAATGAAGCAGTCGTCATGTCGATATGATGATGTTGTGTACAGTGGCTTTGAAAAAGAGTTTTCTAAGTTCTGTGTTGTCGGACGAAGACACATGACATTTGCTTACGATGTCAAGGTGAGCTAAAACACAAACACCAAAGGCTTTTTTCACCTACCATGGAGCTCCATAGACCTTGATACCACAAATGTCTACACTGCTGTCCTCTAGGTAGACACAATTCGTCAACAGCTCCTTAGACGAACTCACGTTGTGGTCCTGAATATATTTTTCATATTCTTCGCGGGTTATATAAAAGTCCCAACAGAGTTCATCCCTGCTGTTCTGTACTTTGTTTTCATCAAGGGTCATGTCATGGTTTCCTGCTATGACCACCTTGACCTTATGTGGTAGAATTCCTGTAACCATGGTAACCACATATTGAAAACAACGAAAATGGAAATGACCTTATAAACATTTAACATATTTAATGTGCAAAGTTTTCTTTCATTTGATTGGACAATCTGAAATATGATTTTTTTAACAGTGTTGAGATATTGGTATGTTATTTTAAAATGTATTTAAAATGTATGGTAACAATGTTTGCTTTAGAAAAAGCAAAACTTAAACAGACAAACGATTGCATCAAAATAAAATCTTGAATCAAGTAACATGCTCCTACTTTGAACATGGTGGAGACAAATAAAGGTAGTATCAGTTTAACATTTGTAAAATGGATCACAGATGTTTGTCACTTTGGTGAATCCCACGAACATGGGTAAAGTGTTGGCAAACAATAAGTTTAATAGTTGCTCACAATATCAATCACTGGATTGTCTGGTTCAAACTCAATTATTGACAGGCCATCGTCATGTAGCGGGAATATTCTTTTGAGTAAAGCGTCAAAAACAACAAACATGATGAAAACACAAACCAACAGCAAGAACTCTATTTGTCAATATGTACAAAATACTTACCCAGGAAGTGGTTGAACTCGTCAATCTGAGCGGGAACCCCATTCATTGTGAAGTCCCCAGCATGGAGCAGAACGTCTCCCGGAGGTACGAGGCCCGGGTCGCACTCGACCTGGTTGTGGGTGTCTGAGATGCACACAAACCTCACACAGTCAGCGGGCACTGGGCTGGTGGGGTCGAGGGGCGGCACACGCTCCACCTTCTGCCTCTCACACAGCTCCTTCCACGCGTGCACAGTGTTGCGATACAACGTCGACTGCACTGTAATCTGTCTGTTGTCTGTTGAAGGAGAACATGGCCCTATTTCTGCTGCAGAGATGAGCATAAAGAAGACAAGTTGACAAATCATATGCAGTGTTAAAATTGAGTGGGTCTTTTGGTCCATGCCGTTTGTTTTTATGTCGTTTTCTTATTTATTTAGGAACTCACTAAAACTAAACTTTTGAACATTTTGGTTATAAGATCTCAAGACTTTGACTTTCAAATGTAATTTCGAACATTAATTTGTGTACATGTAAATAAGTAAGCTGAGACTGATTGATGAAGAGCAATTGAGTGAATATGGTTTAATGATGCTTTTAGCAATATTCCAGCAATATAACTGTAGGGGACACCGGACATGAGTTTCACACTCTGAATCCATAGGAAAAACAAATCCGGCCTTGGGTACGATGTGTGAACGCTTCAACCATGACAAAGCAACCCAACTGCCTCCACATTGATAAGAATATATATGGGTCAAGTGTTTCTGATTAAAACGATCATGATAATTGACCTGGTTTCATACGCTGTCAGTCAGTTACTGCCAAATGGCGGGCCATATTTGAGTATTTGAACCAATGGTACCTTACTGAACTTCAAACTTGAAGATAACCACCTCTACATTAAAATAAAAACATAGATATTCATCATTGTTTATTTAGAGAACAACCAACGAACTACAAGGACTTACTGGATAAGCTGTCCCCAGTGAATGTATGGTGTTTATCCCGAGCCTTTGGAAAGGGACAACATTCATTCACGAGGGACAGATATTCTGTAATTCCGAGTTTCTAGTAGGTTATTGTATATATACTCCTCACAAAAATTAAGCAACAAATCTATTATGTGTCAGTCCATGTTCATATATTCCAATACCTAAAAACTGACTAAAGCAATACAAAGAAAGAGCACAAACACACATTGTCTTCAAAGGGAACTGAAAAGCGTTTATGCCTAACAGGTTTACAAAAACAGTATCATGAAAACAGTCGTGCAAAATGTGCTGCACTGAAAGATGAAAATCTTTAAATTTGAGTTTAAGTCATTTTGAAACAATGATTCAATGTCCAGTAACGTGTATGTCCACCATTGGCTTGAAAGCAAGCTTCTACACGTCTTGGCATTGACCAGATAAGCCTATCAAGTGTCTGTTGTGGAATGTTCTGCCATTCTCTTCTGATCCAGATTCTGAGGACGAACATGAAGACCATAAACACGCCTTCCAAGAATGTCCCATGCATGTTCAATGGGATTAAGATCCGGAGACCTTGCAGGCCAGTCCATATGCGTGATGTTGTTGGTCTGAAGAAGATCAGTGACAACTCTTGCTCGATGTGGACGAGCATTATCATCCATAAAGATGAAGTTAGGACCTGCTTGTTGTGCCAGGGGAATAATCACAGGTGTGACAGGTCGTCCCTGTACCGTACTCCAGTCATGGTACCACGTCTGATGACCACAAGATCAGTTCTGTGTCCAACCCTGATGCCAGCCCAGATCATCAAACTTCCACCTCCGTACTGGTCGTGTTCAGCAATTGTACAGTTGGCGTATCGTTCATTACGGTTTCTCCACACACGTGCCCTACCATCGTTGAAGTCAAGGCAGAATCTTGACTCGTCTGTGAAGAGAACGTTACGCAAGCGATTGACCCTCCAGTTACGGCGTTGATTGGCCCAAGCAAGTCTCTGTTGTCGATGGTGTGCAGGCAGTGGGATACGTCGTACTGGTCGTCTGGACCTCAGATCCTGAGCGTGAAGTCTGTTTCTTACTGTCTGTGTTGATACTCTGTTTCCTGCAACTCTCTGAAGGTAATTCTGGAGAGATCTGGCCGTAGTAAACCTGTTTCTCCGGGCTAAGGTGGCTAAATACCGGTCCTCACGAGGAGTTGTCACCCTTGGACGACCTGTGCGTGGTCTCTCTGTCATCAGTCCAGTTTGATGGAATCGAGTTTTCGCTCTTGAGACGACACTACGGTGAACATTAAAATGATCGGCAACAGCAGTTTGGGTGAGACTCCCCTGTACCATTCCAACAATCTGAGCAACCTCAGTTGGCGTTAAGTGACGCCTAGCCATGTCTAAAGTGTTAATGTCGACAAATTGCCCTTGCTGGCAGTTTTTAAGCAATCAGGGTGCATGGGTGAAGTGTGTAAAACATGCATGTCGTGCATTTTGCAAGTGTGTTTTGAGGGTGGTTGTGTTCAGGCGATGTTATCAGTGTTATCAGGAAAATCTACATGGAAAAGGCTTTAATTCGAGTATTCGTAGGTAATTCTCCTGCCTGAATTTGTTCTCATTGGATGGCATTCAACACTGATGAGAATGTTGCACGGAAAATAATACTTGTTGCTTAACTTTTTGTGAGGAGTATATTTTGTAATCGTGAATTCATGGGAGACAACATGAGAGCAAAATCACTTCCATGTTTCTCTGTGTTGTCAATCAATTTCGAAGGGCAACATCGTTTGTGAATGAATTTCTGTATAGATTTTAGATTAAAAGGATGGTGACATGAAGCTTGTTATATTTTTATTAACCTACATACCAGAACTTAAAAAAATAGTGTCATCTGTATGTATATGTTATCTGCTTGAAAAGCGTATAACGATATCACTATAATGATAATACCATCCAGTCCTATATATTACTCAATAATTAAATTTTCGTTGTGTTCATTGAAATTCCAGCATTCTGATAAGCTGAACTGGTCACGTGTTATTGTAATTCAATATTGTTATTTCCCAAAGAATTTTAAAAATTAAGCCACGCCCATCGAGGCGGACTACTTTTATTACTGTGGAATGTCGGGGAATCAAAATATTACAGTTGGGGAAATTCCCTTTCTGCTCACGTGTATCGTCACGCACAGGACATTAAGCAAAATTCATGCATATTCATTGTCCTAACAGCTCTTTGAGACCGAAAGTCCAGAAGGAATGAAAAAGCAAACGTGCAGGTTCGCTCGCCTGTTGTTTTCCCCCCTCGCCTCGGTTCCACAACTTTCATGTCTTCGGGTTTTATTTCTAACCAGCATTTTTCCAACTTTGTCTTCCCGTTTTCAGGGAACTAATGTTTGAATCTTGCGTTAACTGACCATGTTATTTGAAACGGCCGCCTTCTCCCGGACATATTTGTTCCGGTTCTTTACAGTCTGACTGTTGCATTTCTTCTCGCCTCTTGCCTTGATTGACAGGTCCTATGAACTTTGATTTTATCATACTCTCCGTTGATTGGCTAATGACTTTGTAGGCGTGTGAAGCTATGTGCATAAATTAAACAATCGCCTGATTCGTGTCACGCCCCAGCATGTATACCTACACCCGGAATGTTTATAAATCTCGTCATTTTTGTCTGCTTTGATATATACAACTGTTTTTGGTTTAACTATTGCAGATAAACTATGTTTTCGTTGTCGAATTTAATTATAAGCATTGACTGTATTTCTTTCGGTTCATTGAGGTATGAATCGAAAAACCGATGTGCAAACTTTTGTAAGAATCCGCCACGCTACGCGGATTCATACCGTTTGCACATCGGTTTTCGATTTATACCTCAATAAACCATAAAAGATCCTGTCAATCCTTAATTGACATTTTAAGAGAAGAAATGAAGAAAAATCATACGAAATGACATCCCTACGGAGAAACGTCACTGACGTAATGCATTCAATTTGTGACGTCATGAACAATGGAAAGCAGTCATTTGTTTTTTAATTTGGGCGTTTACACGATATGCGACTGTTCCATTGGACGAGAGGTCGGTCACATGACCGCGAAATTGACGTTCATAAGTGTATGAACGACACAATTTGACGTTCATACGTTTTTTCACGAGACCGTGTTCTTGAAATGACGTAAACACTGACGGACTACCTCCACATTCCTGGGGAAAACCCTGGGAATTCCCTAGCACGAAAACATACATAAACATTATTTCTGATCATTTAGAACCTTTAATCTTGGTCTCATCATTTCAGTATACATTGAGAAACGTAAGAGAGCTTGACTGCATGATTGTGAATTTCCTCGCTACGGCCCATCCTAATGAACAAACGAAAAAATGCACATCCAAACTATCGTCAGTATCGACTCGATCTGTGTCTAGGCTGACAGTGATTGTCTCCAGCAATCTACGAATTTACTTTGGTGTCTGTTTGACGCATCTTTAATCACCTTTCAATAATTGGTCAGTTGATCAATGATGACTAACACATGTAACCGCCACAGGTTCATTAACAACTTCTGAAATCCCCCCGTCACGTTTATCGTGTCGGCCATTTTGACGTTTTGTACTTGATGTAAATATATTACGACGCGCTGTTATTGTGACTGACTTTCTGAGGTAGTTCATTACAGACCTTTCTCATCTAAAGGGGATATTATATGAACACATGTGTTGCGTAAGATGTTTCTGAAGAGCAAGTTCTGCATCAATACGCTCATGTCACCTCTCTTTTTGGGGAACTATTTTATTCCGCGATATAGCTGGTTGTTGTTTGGCGGTCAGTGTGAACATGAAGTCAAACGTACTAGATCTAAATAATAAAATTGTGTTTAGATCTTGGCCTACATCCTTTGAGGTAAGAAATTGTGATAAAAAATCATAAGAATTGACTTTCACTTTGTGTGAGTTCATTGGAGTATGAACCTTCATAGAGTGAAGGTTCATACTCCAATGAACTCACAAAGTGAAGGTCAATTCTTAAATACCTTTTCTCAACAATGAAGCATTATGGAGTCACATGGCTTCAATTGACATCAGCATTGTGAATCTCTAAAATGCACATGTTCACTTATTATGCCTCAAAGTGAGACTGACCAATCAAAGAGCAGAACTACTGACCCCACATAAACCCGTACATCGTCAGGAACAATCCAAGATGGATTTTTACTGACCTTATATGAGACCGTTTTCCGTCAGTAACAGCCATTTTGAATTTTCCAACACCCACCTTACATATTTCACATGGAAATTCTGGTACCGAAATTCGTTATTTGACAATGTTTTGTGTTTTAATATAATTAATTGTGATCCGCAAAGACATTAATTTTTAAAGAAACCACTTTCGTGACTTTATTAATAAGAATTATAGAGAAAATAAGATAACAACGTCGGTAGGTCATTGAGGTACAAATAGGAACGTCATAGAACATACTAGAAGGGTAACGCTATTTTTCAGGGCATTATCATTTGCAGAAGCCCGAGGTTTTCTATTAACTGCCCGACGAAGGAGGGCAGTTGAAAAGACCGAGGGCTTCTGCAAATGATAATGCCCTGAAAAAGAGCGCTACCGTTATTATAGCTAAAATGGATGGAATTTGTTATCAAATAAAAAGAAACAACATCGGTTTTGAAACACTTACTGCAATCAACACGAATGTCACTGACCACATTTTACAAATATGGAAACGTCAAAGAAAAAACCAGATGACGTCACTACGTCACCTAACAACGGGCTTGATAATGGCCCGTCGTCAAGCAATATGAGGGCATTATCAAGTTACAGTGGCCCGCTCATTTTTGATAACGTGCGGGCGGTTTAATGATAATTCTATCCATTTTAGCTATAATATAGGATGACGTCACAAACAAACGTGACGCTATTGACGTCACATAGCAATAGAATAGATAGCAGCCCGTCGTTAGGGGAAAGCGGAGTGCTATCAAGTTAGTGGCCCGCAGATTTCTGTTAACATGCGGGCATTTTTATGATAATTCTATCCATTTTAGCTGTGATACTTTCAACGTATACATTTAGTGTATTAAATATTCCATTGTTAACGTTTATGTTTACATTAAAACGTATCGGAAACATATGTACTGGTCCTGTCGTTTAAATACCGATTGTAAGTGTCAAGTTTTCATTTTGTCATGTGCGACAAAGATACTAAATAGTGTAAACTTTTCGGCATAATAAATGCGGTAAGGTGTCTTTAGTTGCCGTATACGGTGTCATATTAGGTTAGCGGGAAAATATTGGGCGAGGCTCACGCCTGCTAACCTAATATGACACGGTATACGGCAACTAAAGACACCATAACTAACAATATCGACAAGTTATTACACACAATCATTTCTTCCTTGTGTGTTTTGTTTGTTTGTTTTTTAACGCCGCACTCAGCAATATTCCAGCTATATGACGGCGGTCTGTAAATAATCGAATCTGGACCAGATAATCCAGTGATTGACATCATGAGCATCGATCCACGCAATTGGGATCCATGACATGCATCAACCAAGTCAGCAAGCCTGACCACCCCTTTCGTAGTCGCCTCTTACGACAAGCATATCCTTATGTGTAATATGTAACAAATAATCCCTATCAATACATTTCACGTAATTATATATATGAAGGAATTACTCTGGCCGAGAGCCGCGATGGGTTCCTACAGTCAAGACATGACCCTACATGTTGGGTCATGTCTTATAACTGTAGGTCCCCATCGCGACTCCCGGGTAGAACTACTCATTACCTGACGCCATGCTGTGTGTACTGTGGTGTCACTGTTAGCACTGTTAGCACTGTTAGCACTGTTATGAGTTAATGTCTTGTCAGATTTGTAGGTACAACTCCGTGAGTCTGTCGACGTGTGATTCTGTTTCGTAGTTCTCGATAAACAATAGAGCTGCCCATGTTGTCATGATACTATATATATACACACGATACTAAATATAGAACCTATAGAAAAGGCAGCACAACTTGAATATCGACTGAAACTGGTCATTCCAACTGACAATGCATTAGATACAAAACAAATTGTTGAAATAGTCCATCAATGCCAGATCTCCGATGACTGTGACGTGAAATCGGAGAAGTGTCGTTACATGAGATTGTTGACCAGGTTGTCACAACAGTCTGGTGTATGAAAGGTGTCACCAAGGGAGGTAACTGACAACTCCCCACACTGATGTTATTTCGAATGATGAACGGAGCTTTAATGGTAACTGGCTCGAAAGAGAACAAACTACCCAGGAACTAGAGGGATAAACAATAATTAATTCTGATAGTGGAGTGAGTGAATTAAGTTTATAGAGAAATGTAAAGAGAGACAATTACATACAGGGAGACTTCACTTTTGTTCACATAACGTAATCAATTTGCGACAATGAATGACGTCTAATTATCGTATATATTTCCCTCAACAATGTCAAGAAATATTGTCATATGGCCTCAACTGACAAATCAGCACTGAGAATCTATAAAATGTTTTCGTGCAAATATCGGGTCATTCTACCCTCATGTGAAATATGTACCATCGTTGACACAATAGTAATGCCCTAGCATATAACACAGGACTAATGTTTAAACTAACCAACTGGCAATACGGAACGGTTTTCAATGTATTTGTTATTTAAGAAATAAAGGACGAGTGGGAGTTGTATCGTACAGTAAAACACATCAGGAAGATAAAACGCAGCCCCTCATGGTTTATTCTCCCTGCTGTGTTTTACTGTACGATAAACAACGACCACGATTCGTTTATTTCTTATATGCCATATCAACATTCTCTACAGCCTCTTTAAGGATGTCAGTAAAAAGTACACCTTTAAACATATTTTCCCGTATACAAGTAATGACGACTCCCTGAACAGAATCCGACCGCTGCAATGTCTGACAAATCCAATTTATGAATAGGGGGATAAAATTTGGTATTTCCCGCATACTCTCACAATTTTCACGTCGATTATCTGTACCTTTTCTCCCAATACCGATTGTCATATCTCTGCTACTCTTGGGTGCGATCGTTCGGCCAGTGTTGTCCATCTACATCTATGAGGAACAACTCACTAGACACCTCTCTCTAAAAATAACGTTGTCCAATTAACGTCATCAAGTTGCGAGCGCATGTTCAAATCCCCAGAAATGATAGAACAATGTTTTATCGTGAAATAAACCACGCCTCGTTCTTCATTGTTCTTTATCGCGTAGCTATCTTATATTAGTATATAAACTCCAATACTGTGTTTTCAATATACATGATTAAAATTGAAATGTACCAGCGGACAAAAAGTTACGGTGCATGGCAGTCTATCACTGAAAATAATAAACGCACGTTTTTAATAACTACTTTGCAAAGAACAAACAATAGATCAATGTCCATCACGATGTCTTCTGTAAACGTCATCTCCCAGGTTCGCCCATAACATCCGACCACGACGTCCAGCCATACGCCTAGTTATATTTCATCGTCACCGTCAGGGACGCCTAGCTTGGTGTAGACTGCACCTAGTTTCAGAACATTATACTGGTACAGTCTACTGTTCACAGTTGACTGAGGTGAGTCCAGGATTCACCCGGGCAGGTCTGATGTTCGGGCAAGCGCCTACAGACGTCCAGGAGAACGTTTTAGCGACGTTTGCGTTATTCAACGTCGTCAGATTTGGGGTGGAAGAATAATGGTATGCTGTGGCAACTTATGGGAGAACACAACTCATCATTGTTGATGGCAATTTGCAGTACTGACTTTGTAACGAAACTGTTGAATACCCAGCTTATGGCTCATACATCGGAATTTACGTAATATGCGGATAATAGGCCAAGAGCATTAGACAAAATATAACCTGGAAAAAAAGTAGTAGAAAGGTAATTTTTTATGGAGACCTTCAGAAAGTCACACTGATGGGCCAAGCACAAAGCTCCCCAAATTATCCCTGGTGGCATTTTCAAAATGACCGCCATTTTTTTTATTTTTTAAATGACATAAAATTTTGTAGTTTTATATTTATGATATCATGCAATATATCAATCGAAAGCTCTATGCTTTCACACAATACTTGCTTCAACCTTATGATACAATTTGGATTTGTCTTTTGATGAATTATTTGACAAGTTTGTTTGCAAGTACCCGGTAATAGTAAGGTTGGATAATGATAAAAGCAATCTATGAAAGAAAGAATGTATTTCTGAATTTGCAATACTTTAATCACACTGGTAAACAGTAGAAAACATCCCCTTGAGTCAATATAAGAGTTTTAATACTTTCGTACATAGTTGGATAGCCAAGTACTATTAAAATCAGTCATCTGGTAGAGCCGGAAGGATGTTATGAGGTCCCTGGGAATTATGTTCAGTGGCATTATATTGTTCACGAGCTGCTGCAAAGTAGTTAACAGTTATGTCCACTTGGAGCAATATCTGCACAGATGCTACTGATCGCCAGCCACTGAAGGTAGATACCACTCCATACTTAAGATGCTTTGAAACAAAGAAACAACATGCAATTGCTCAGGATGAATCATTTACAGACAACCTGGTGCAATTACATGAGCAATAAAATCTTGTTAAAATCCATTTGAAAAGGATCGTGGACAATCGAACAACCACAAACATTTGAATAAATGAATAAATATGTCTTTTTTATGAAATGTCCATTTATTGAAGCTGCCTCTTGTGGGGGGCAATTTATCGTATTACCTGTTTATCAGATCTATCATCTGTTGACCAGAAGGTATTCTGATACAAGGGGTGGGTGTGTTGAGCTGTTTCTGAAGACCATTATATATCAATAACAGATATTAAGTTTACAAATCAATATCTGGATCAAATGAGGATAGCCAGATCAATATCCCAATTTGTTCATTGAGGTGAAGTATCTCAATCTGCCAGGTGAGGTAAATGGTAACCTGTGCTACAATCTGGTTCATTTCCTTTCACGTGGTCTGAAGCTGGTGCTGCGTGTGCGCAAGACGGGGGCGCACTTGCGAAAGTGGACACCGCCCTTAAACAGAACGTATTAGCAAGCGTCTGTGAGAGCAACCGTAAGAGGATGACAAGATAATACAGATTATCTAGCCCATTAATTCCTAGCTTTTTACCCCCGTTTTCAAATTTACATATCTTTTTATATTCTTTTTATATCATTATTCCCCCTTGGAGACCCAGGGTAGAATGTATCCCCAGCACCCCTTTCGTAAGAGGCAATCCGTTTGCCGTGGGTTGCACCCGTGTCGGTGGAGGAAGGGAGTCTGGAGGAAGGGAGTCTGGAGGAAGGGCGTCGGAGTTGAGGTGAGGCGAGGTGAAATGGGGTTTAACGTCCCGTCCAAGATTATTGCACTTATATAGCGACGTGCATGCACGTGGATGTGGATGTGGATGCGTGTGCGTGTGCGAGTCAGGACTGATGCCGATTTATAGTGCTAGCCCACCGAGATACCATGCCGCAGTTGAACATGAATGCCCCACTCAGACACAGTATACTGACTTGTTTTAGCCCCTTAATGCCGAGCGCCAGACAGGGGGTGTCATAGGAGGAAGGGTGTCGGTGGAGGAAGGGAGTCGGTGGAGGAAGGGAGTCGGTGGAGGAAGGGTGTCGTAGGAGGAAGGGAGTCGGTGGAGGAAGGGAGTCGGTGGAGGAAGGGAGTCGGTGGAGGAAGGGTGTCGTAGGAGGAAGGGAGTCGGTGGAGGGAGGGAGTCGGTGGAGCAACTTGAAGGTACTGGTTCCAGTTCCTCTGCCCAACACACTACACTGACCCTGAGACTTCACCGGGACAGGTGGTAGAATGGGCTCGGTTCTATCAATCGGCTGCTCAAGTCAAGCCCTGTGTATGTTACAGCCATGATACAGTGGTATTAGGTTAGGTTGTCAATGTGCATAAACCACAGGCTACGGGTTGTGAGGTACTATCCGTTTATTCCATGATAGTGGAAGAAGACACTCGGTAATAACAATAAACAAACAATTTACATAAAATAAAATCACACTCGTACAGTAAACCTATATAAGGGATAATACACTGATCAATAATATTTCTTGATAACTAGATTATATACAGGGCTACCATTATACTTACTGAAACATATACATAAAAGTGACCACCACTATGAAGTTCTACAATATTACCAACAATACAGGATTGATGATATATATCAATCTTACATCGTACAGTAAACAGTTACGAAACAATAATTACTAGCCAGCATATTGACCAGATTAAACATAGAAAACAAACCATACGCACATTCATACAGGTTAAATGGTAGATTGTGTGTGTGTAATATATATATTCACACGCAAAAGAAACGCAAGTGGTTTTAAGCAAATAGGTAACAAGGTGAGGTGAAATGGGGTTTAACGTCGCATCCAAGATTATTGCACTTATATAGCGATTTGCATGTACGTGTACGTGTACGTGTGAGTGTGTGTGAGTGTGTGTGAGTGTGAGTGAGTGTGAGTGAGTGTGAGTGAGTGTGAGTGAGTGTGAGTGTGTGTGTGTTTGGGTGCTTGTACTATTCATCTAGAAGGGTGGCATTGTCATCTTAACAAGGTCGTCCAGAGAGCCCATCCGAACATTTTTGCCTTCATCAAAGTGATCCAGAGACTAAAGACGGAAAGGAACAAGCTTGCTCAGTATCGCCATAGTGCCCGTCCACCACCCCGTAAGAGAATCTACCTAGAGATCAACCAGAGACTAGAAAGGCTACAGGAGCAGCTTCGACTGGTTATCAAGTCTCCTCTCCAGTTCCTTGATGCAGCTGGATGTGTTATAAAACTTGGCTAACAAAGGAACTATTTGTGCAACTCTGACACATGAAATATGAGAAATGAAACTGAATGATACATATGGATGATGTATGAGATGATATATGATGAATGTAAGTCTGATATGTATTTAATGTACATGAAATATGATAAATGAAACTGAATGAAATGTATAATGTAAGATGTGTGATAAAATGAGAGTGTGAATGTGATGTTTGAATCATAATGTACATGAAATATGATAAATGAAACTATGGATGATGTATGAAATATCAGAAGAAATGTATGAACAAAGAAAAACCACTAAATATCATTTGCTAGTGTTTGTCATTGTAGGCAATAGTACACTAAAATAGGCCAGTTCAACTCTGCAGAGAAGTAGCAGGG